CTTTATATATATTTACTTTACATACATAACTATATTACCGATAACATTATATGTCTTCATAGAGACCTAACCAGAAACATTAGGATCTTAAAGTAAAACTAAACCATTCTCGATTTTTACGCACATTTAATTAAAATCGGTCCAGCCGTTTAGGAGGATTACAAACACGCACATGAGATTTATTTATATATGTCATTTAATTATGTCACATCTCTTATAACCAATAGAAAAGTAGGATATGGCCGTTTCACAATTTGACGGTTTCACTTCGATAGATTACAATCTACCGAATAATAATACGTTAAATTGTAAGCAGTACGCTGAGGTTCACAATCTTTCGACAGTTTATAATCTCGCGAGATAGATTACAATCTAACGGTTTTTACAATTTTACGTTAACATATACAAGTTTCCAATTTTCTAGTCTCCTATTAAAGCGATGAACTTTATTTTCACGTTGGTCTTATACATGAATACAATTCTTTAAATTCAAATATTTTTTTACCTAAACTTATTTAATAACTCATCCCCATTCAACAAAACTCGTATTGACACATCCCTTCATTCAAATTTCAATCAACACTCTCAATCAAACGGATTCAAATTTCGAACGTCTCCAATGTCTATGGTCAAGATGGCTGATATGCAAATTAGTCCTTTGTATAAATATGTGTTCGCGCATAATGATTCATAATGTAATCTTTGAATTATGACGTGATCATTCTACATTGCCTTCCTGTCCAGTATAATAATATCTTAAATCCAGTGGCGCTACAACTACACATATATATTTTTGTATATAATTAATTTTATAGGTAAGGCAATGTGTGGCCGACTCGCGCCGATTTTGACAGTTTCTATTAAAGAAATTTAATAAAATGATGCGATTATTAAGATTAACATTATTAATTATATTTATACTAGCTGCCATCGCGAATTTAGTTTCTAATGTGATTGTGAGCCTACCTTTTTAGTACATACCAACATAGAACATTTTGCTATGCTACCCTGGAGACTGTTCGATTTTCCGGAATGAAAACTCTTTAGGTTTTTGTGTGAATTTTTCTCTATATAAACCTCAGAGTTCAAGTCAATAGATTTTAATATACAAATAAAAAATAGGGGTTGATCGTAGAGTGGTGAAAATTAAGGGTTGAATGTATTTTAGTATGTTGTATCATAAAAAAAAAAAAATAAAAACAAAAACCTTGTCTTAAAAATAAATTTTTGGGGTGGACACCCCTTATCACTTCGGGGTTTGAAAGATACATAGTAGCCGATTCTCAGACTTACTCAATATGCATAAAAAATTCATAAGAATCGGTCGAGCCGTTTCGGAGGAGTATGGGAACGAACATTGTGACACGAGAATTTTATTTATTAGATAAAACCGATACGGGATCACGCAAAATCAAATGACATTTTAAATACTATTACAACCCTTGTTATACAACATCATTATCTCGAAACACAATGGGCTGTCAATTGTCAAATTTATACGGGCCTATTGCGATACCTGTGTAACTTTTTTTGTATATTTTTTTTCGGAAACGGACATAGGAAGAAGGTGCAATCAGCCAGTACAATTTTGAACCTGTGCGCGTAAGGTGGAATTGTAATTTTACGATTTTAATTTAATAATGAAATATCCAAGCAAGGAACGTATCAGATATAGTGAATATATGGATTTTTGTAAGTTTAAAATTATATTTTATTTAGGTATATAGGATTCGCAATTTTTTTTTAATTTTTGGAAAAATAATATGGTGACACTATAGACACTATAGACTATAGACCAAAGGTTTTCGTAGTGTTGTTTGTTAATAAATATTAATACTTGTAACGAATATACTCAAAGATTACTTAATATATAAAATAGAACATATGTTTATATGTTTTTGTAGCTGCTTTGTTGCCAATAACTGTATATAATTATTTATATCATTAAATATAGTTTAATATTATAAATTTTGTGCGCTTAAAACTAAAAAAACTTCAAAAATGTCTAAAGAAATTCCCGCCAAAAATTGGCAGCTAACACTGACGTGTCAAAAACATTCTGATTCTTAACATAATATAATCTATGATATCGTAGCAGATAAGTATTATATTTATTCGTCAACTATCACACCATTTCTTTTCCGCACAGACTATAAAAATAGAAGAAACTAATTTGCATAACGCCATTCGAAATTCAAATTCGGACATTTCCAATATCACTTAATAAATTAGACTTCGGGCATTGCTATACCAGAAATAAATATTTATTATTTTTATTGTTTCTATGAAAGGTACGCCCCTAGCGAAATGAATAATTCAATTCCGCGGTAATACTTACAAATGACCGCACTAACACGAAATTGTTATTGGCTAAATGTGTGACAATAAACACGACATATGGCGCCAATTTATATCGCTATAGTTGTCAAACGCTCTATAATTCTGTAGTTTATGAATTCGAATTTTGAATTTAGAACGTTGGTTTTGGGCGGCGGCGGCACTTAACATCAGATGAGCCTCCTTTCCGTTTGCATTGATTGAAATACTTCAAATTTAAATCTTTAGATAGTATATATGTACCTACGGCTCGCTTATCTGCTACTTTAAATGGTCCAGTGAATAGGCTATCTCGCTCTTACAACTTAATTACTAACATTAATATATTTATATATATAACAGTTATTAATATATTTATATTATAACAGTTTTCCAACTTACCGTAACTTTGTTTATCATTCTGCAGTTTTTGTTATTATTTTCTAATTAATGTTTGCTTGTTTAATTTTTTCCCGTGCTAGCTAGCTTATATTAACATAATTTATGTTTGTGTGTTAAATTTGTGAATAAAAATACAGAAATTTCTGTATTTCGTATGGCTTTTTCAAGTCTAAGTCAAGTCAATAAAAGCTTTTAGTTAAATGTAGGCTTTTTTTGAGATCTCTATCTCCAGTAGGCCCTGGACTGACCTCTCTGCATCCACAGGGAGCTAACCTCTGACCAGTCCTAGTTAGTGGTCTGCCGGTCTTTTCTTCTGCCGAGGTCTCTATTCAAGGAGCCTGCGAGTCTATCGGTTCATGTCCATGCGCGATATGTGGCTTCCGCCACCGCCACTTACATGTTGGGGCAGCAATTTTGCCAATTCCTGGAATTATGCATTCTCCTTTTCTGTTCTCGATCTCGTTGCATTCTTACTCTATTCTTTAACGATCGCAGCGTTGATGGAGTAAGGCCGCGACTATATGCGGCACGTTTTGAAAATGTGATGGGATTTTAGCCCGTCCTACGTGGGTCAGGCCGGTCTTCTCACGATAGCCTCATTTTGTACGCAATCGCGAATAAAGTTTTGGAGAATATTATATATTTATAAGGTCAAAGAGGACCAGATATCACACCTGCACTTTATATAATCAAAAGCTTGTGCTTTTTCGTCTTACATTTTCTAATATTTTAATATTCATAACTCTTGTTGGTGATGTAAATTATTTGCATGCATAATTCTCTCATGTTTATAAGCACTGAGGGGTGAGAATGTATAAACAAAATGGCGTATCGTTTGATTTCAGTTGGTCAAACAGTCGTCGCGTGTCCGTGATTGAACAAGACGTTGACCAATCCCAATCAATCGATTAGGTCGTTCGTGTTTTGTTTTATATCTTCACTCCCTCAGGTAACATTTGCTGGTCCCAGAAGAGCAGAATAGGCTTGACTATATCCCTGATGTCGTAAGTTCAAGCTCCTGTGACTACCAATAGACTTTTATTTTTGTATAATGAAGGAAAACATCGTGAGGAATATCGGAATATGGCAGGCAATGCTGAGACAATCTAAGACACAAAGGGAATAAGACGCCTCAACAGAACTAAACCATTTTTATAATAATTATTTATTTATTGCAAGAATATGGTACAAATATGTGTAAGGTGGTACAATCGTAAGTTCGCATATTCTGCCACACACAATGGCGCGCAAATTTGTCTTTAAAGGAATTTTACATTTTACATTATTAGTCAAAGTCAATTCTTATATTATTATTTGTATCGTACATATCATAATTTATTAAATTTATGTCAACTACAGTGTCGCACGCAAATAATCGTTTATTGAATAGTACATTTTTCCAAAAGTAATACACCAAGTCGCTTTTTAAAGACGCTAGTCGGAAGATATTTTAATTCTTTTGGTAATTTATTGTAAACTTTAATTGCCACACAAAAGGTGTTTTTCCTAAACAGTTCCAGATTGATTTTTGGCACAGCCAATTTGATACTAAAACTAGTGTAGTGAGTATCAGTGCAAGTGCACACGAACATAGTGTTAGTGTAAAGAACTATTGAAGATCACTGTTAATGAACAATAATCTTTGTTAGTCTGGTAGAAATTAAGGCAACAATATTACTTACTGTATAGGCTAGATAGTAAGTCTGAACTTTATACTTAAAAAAATTGTCAGGCATGAAAGGCTGATCACCTTCTTGAAGAAGAATAAATATCTCGAAATAGGTGTCTCAAGCCAAGATCAAGGGTTCCAGTACCACTGGTTTTGGTTAGTCTCAGATTTCCCGCACCTCTATATGTCTCTGTGGAAATTAATTTACATTATTATCAACGACTGTTTATTATCCGTTTAAACCTACACATCAGAACAGCCCTGCGATTCTGTAACTCACTTTTCGAACTCACACAGCGGTTTTCGTCGATCGCTCAGAAATCAGTCGTGAAGCAGTAATTTTATGATTTGGCATTCTGATAAACAATAAACTACAAGCTCCCACCTTTTCAGAACGCCAAATCATAAAATGACTGCTTCACGACTGATTTGAGAGCGACCGCCGATGCGAAAACCGCTGTGTGTTCGAAAAGTGAGTTACAGAATCGCAGAGCAGAACAGAACTGATTTTAGATAAATTTAATTTAAATACCTTAAGGTCGTTTAAAAATCCCATTCAATTTTCACAGCGTGCCGCAAAGAGTCGCGGCCTCACTCCCTCAACGCTGCGATCATGAAAGAAAAGAGCAAGAATGCAGCGAGATCGAGAAGAGAAAAGGAGAATGCAGAATTCCTGGAATTGGCGAAGTTGCTGCCACTCCCTTCTGCAATAACGTCGCAGCTGGATAAAGCATCCGTCATACGACTGACGACCAGTTACCTGAAGATGAGACAGGTTTTTCCTGATGGTATGTAATTGGTTTTAGTTGGTAGTTATTTCGACTATGTATTTGCGTGTTGTTCCCACGAGAATGTAAGTGCGTGCTCCTTTTTCACCATGCCTCCTGCTGATAGAGGAAAAATCTTTGTTTTTAATTTATGTTATTATTATTAATTACTTAAGATCATGTGGAACATGGTGTAATGGTTGCAGCTCCTTACAAACATTGTGTAAAACAAAAAACTTGGCAATTAAAAAGAGTGGCGGAGAGTTTATTGCCAGTTCTTCTCTTCCGTTCTACGCCCTTGATTTGAGAACTGGCAGTAAATGTAAAATTAGAAGCATTTCATATATATTTCTTTTTTGACGTTCATAAGTGTACATTGTGTTACCTAAATGAATAAATGATTTTGAATTTTGAATGTATCCACTAATGGATGATTCTATGTAAGCTAATTGCACACATAGAATCATTCAGCTCACATGGTGAAGGAAATTATAAGAACAGGAACGACGTCTAAGACCTGAAAAGAAGGCACCGTGTGTCAGGCACAGATGGCTCATACTTAATAAAAACATAATTTTATATACAATATAAAATAACACTAAATTAATATACGTATACATACAAAAGGAAATTGTGTCGTACGATAGGAAATTTATTTCCAGAGCGAAATTGTCACAATTTTCTTTCCAATCATAAAATTACTCAAAACTTTTAAAAACATTGTATACAGAACAACAGACAGAAGGGGAGGGGGAGGTTTTTAACCAGTAGATTGGTCACCAGTATCTCTAGTCCAAAACGCGTTCACACGCGACATGACATGTCTTTCTGTAACATTCTCACCCCCATTTTATGTCCTGAGATACCTGGGGCCTTACAAAGAGTTTTACAGGCTTAGGAGACGCTTGGGGGGCCGCCCCACCACCACCGCAGCCGCGGGAGCTCTCTATACGGGAACTTGGGTCCCATCTACTTCAGACCCTCGATGGCTTTATCTTCGTAGTGGCACCTGATGGGAAGATCATGTATATCAGTGAGACTGCGTCGGTACATCTCGGTTTGAGTCAGGTATGGAGTGGATTTTTAACCGAATTCAAAAAAGAAGGAGGTTTCTCAACTCAACCGTATTTATTTTTGTGTGTATAACTTATGATTATTTTTTGTTGGAAAAGAGATACTCCAAGATGGTACCAGGATAATGATGGCATCCCAATGAAATCGGACCTTCGAAAATGAACTGGCTTTGAACCATCTTTCTTTAACCTGCTCTTTTACTTTAAACTTTTAAATTGATTCAGAACAATAATTTATGAAATCTTAAATAATATCAAAATTTATTTGCAAAGAAAGTGGTACATTCAGATTGAAAACTGGTGCATAACCAAGAAATTCGTTTAATATTCATAATATCTGTCCAAGCATTAATGTTTAAACTCATCAGGATATAGCAATTCATGGATCAAGTCTGAACAAACTGGGTTGCAAAGACCATTGCTGTACATTTTGTTTCACCTTAAGCTCTGCTTCGCCCTACAGTTCAAGGTCAAAGACGCGTGCGTCTATCGTTTGACAATAAGCTTACGGTACAGAAAGAAAATAAATTGTTTTGCCATATTGCTAAAATTATGAACTTTAATGAAAGAGTGTCGAAGCGTTTCTTGCCAATTCACCTCCCTTTGAGAACTAATGTAAATAAGGAGTCTTTTTAAGTTCATAATGCGATTTTGGCTTCGTTTTCGGTAGCTCACTTTAGGTAGAAGGTGAATGAGCTACACTTAGTTAATTTCACAGGTGGAGTTGACTGGCAACTCAATCTATGAGTACATCCACCAAGCTGATCATGAAGAGATGAGCGCTGTCCTCAGCTTACAGCATCCACATAGTTATTTGGGTCATCAGTGTCCATCTATTGGGTAAGAATCTGTTTCATTTACTTTGGTTCATCTTAGTACAACTTCTGGATGGGAATTAAAAATATGCAAGATATTTCGAAGAGAAATTTCAAAGCCTGGTTTGGAGTGTCGGAACGTGCGAGCATGTTCAAGTTAAAGCTCTTGCGTCTGCTACTGATACTGCTGTGACCCTATGATGGTATGAGAGTCATGAAGTAGAGAGTGTGAAGAAGCCGTGGCCGAGTCAGAGATATGGCATTCTGATGCTTGAAGTGCCATAAGCCATAGGGTTTTTATTCCTTAACGCGATAATTATAAGTTTAATAAAGAGAACTGGCAGCTACCCCGGACAAAGAATTGGTCTAGCTATTCAAAGGGGGAACGCTGCCAGTATCTTTGGAACCTTGTCTAAAGGGACTCCTTTTAATAATATATTTTAGTTTCGGGAAATAAAGTCAGTTATAGTTCAAGAATGTTTGATATACAAGAAGGATTAAAAAAAATTATTATACATATGTATATATTGATCCTAAAACTTGGTTATTAAAAAGAGTGGCGGAGAGTATCTTGTCAGTTCTTCTCTTCCGCTCTACGCCCTTTATTTGAGAACTGTCAGTAAATGTTAAATTAGAAGCAATATATATTTGTTTTATTGACATTCATAAGTGTACATTGTGTTACCTATATGAATAAATGAATTTGAATTAATCAACCTTTACTTCCATAGCTACCCAGTCGGAGGCACTTGGAGCTCAAGTGTAGACATAGAATGCGAGAGAGCGTTCTTCATAAGAATGAAGTGTGTCCTAGCGAAACGTAATGCTGGTCTAACAACATCAGGATATAAGGTAATTTGTTTTATGGAACACGGGGCAAGGGGGCAGGGGGCTTTCATTATTCAACCTTTGAAATATGAAAACTCCAAGAGTTTTCATATTTCAAAGCGTGCGTTGTTTGTAAGTATGGATGGATGTTTGTTACTCTTTCATGAAAACTACTGAATGGATTTTAATGAAACTTCACAATAATATAGCTTGTACATCAGAATGACACATACGCTACTATTTACAAAGATATTGTGTGAATTCTCCAAAATATCAAGTAAGTAAGAAAAAATCTACCATATGCGAACTATTCTGGCGTGCGCTGCCAAAACCGCTAGAGTTACACATATGGAATGTATGTTGGAAATGTTTATCTTAAATAGTCCTACTAAAAAGCCCGTCGCAGTATATATCTATATCTTATATGTAAGCCATTATAACCAAAATAGTGAACCATAACTACAATTAAAATTGATAATTTATTTCAAATGCACATTTAATAGTAATAAATTGATTCCTAAATGAAAATAGATACTTTTATCGCTTCTGGTATTTAAAGTAGATAAAATACGTCTTTCACGCTACATCATTTGGACAAATATTATTTTAATCCAGCGCAGACGAAGCTACTAGCTTGTAGGAACTGCTTTTGGGAAATCCCAAAAGCTTAATAAGTATTAACTTGATGTACTCTCTTGTTGCTTAATTCTAAGTGTTCTATATTCGGTGATCACAGAGCTATAGGTCCCTGTTTGAGCTGCTTTTTATGTTAATTCGTAAATCCAAACGCGAGAAACCAGCCCCTCGCATTGTATAATGTTAGCATACGTTCGAGTGTGTTAATTGGGCGAGGGGTGACTTCAATTTGTTTGGATTTGTAAAGCATATTGCTTGGATTACTCGGTTACTAACGGGTATAAAGCACTCGATGCCACTGCTACTGGGTTCTTCGGGCCAGTCAGTGGTTATACTGGGAAAATATTCTCCTTTTAGGATGAATTAAGAGTACAGTTTTGCTCTTTCGCGAATTTGTAAACGTATTTGTCATTCATAATGCCCTAAGATGCATCTAAACTGATTAAATGTATTTTGAGTGATTGATATCGAACTCACTTAAGAACAATTTAATAAAGGTATGGTTTTTACATTTATTACCGCCGAATCAAGGGCGTAAAGCAAGAAGAACTGGCAAGAAAGTCTGCTTCATTAATGGGACGGGCTTTGGTATGGGATGCTACTTGTGTATACGTTAGCTCCGTCTTACCTCCCTCGGCCAAGCACTAAAGCTTGCGCAGGCGCAGGCGGAAAATAATAAACGGCTCAAATCTTCCTTCAAGTTTATGGCTGTGGGGTTCAAGTGCACAGCTAATTAAAGATTTAATTAGACGCCTGTGCACAAACCACTTTCCCACCAACTTTAAGCTCTTCAGATGACATCAAATTGTGGTGGGCATTTCTTTGTTGCTGTATTTCTCTATCGGGAGGAAGTCTATAGAGGGTGGGAAAAACTTGCTGAGTTTCTTGCCCGTTCTTCTCAGAAAGCCTCCTGGTAGTTTTGCGAACGGATGGCGTAGTCTTGCTCTTTCGCGAATTTTGTAAACGTTTTTGACATTCATAAGCTCATGCTTAAGTCATCCTAAGACGAATCTAAACTGAATAAACGTATTTTGATTTGATTGATTGATTTCTCTCGTATGTCAAAAGCACTATCATTCGTATTCTGTAAGAGAGCTGTGTTGGCCTACTGTGTGCGACTCATCTGAGGTCGTAGGTTCGATCCCCGAGCCAATGAACTTTCTATGTCCGCATTTATAATACGCAGAAAGACATCGTGAGGAAACCGGCTTGCCTTAGACACAAGTCGACGGCGTGTGTCAGGCACAGATGGCTGACCACCTACTTGTTTATTAGATTGAAATGTCATGAAACAGATACAAAAGTGAGGCACAGACTTAAAAAGGTTGTAGCGCCACTGATTGTTTGTTTTATCCTTCGTATTCAGAGACGAAATCAAACTTGGGTTGTGTATGTGCCAAGTTGTAAACCTGGGGCCATTCTTATTTATAATCGTCATTAGATCCCTAATGTAACTGTTAATGTATTTTGCGATAAAAGAAATTTGGTTTCAGGTGATTCATTGTTCGGGCTACCTCCGCGCTCGGCGATTCGGCGAAGGCTCGGCCCCACTTGGGCTGATCGCGGTGGGTCATTCCCTACCCCCCTCGGCTGTCACGGAATTGAAACTCCACTCAAACATGTTCATGTTCAGAGCGTCACTGGACATGCGACTTATATTCTTGGATGCTAGGTAAGTGTCAAAACATATTTTAAGTAAAAATATCTGTTAGTTTAAGTTTGGTCTTCTAAAGTGGAGTTGGACGATATATGATGAGAAAAAAGTATCAAAAAGAGAACAGAATTGTAACGGAGTGGTACCCTCGAAGTGTGAGACAGACAGACAGATAAGAATGGTAGGACGATTTAAAATAGTTGTTCCAATGTGGACTCGAACCGCTAGAGAGCGTCAAGTTTGGAAATTTTATAAGGTGGCGTTGGTCGAAGGATAAGCTGTAAATAATAATATAAATATAATGCCGATAGATAATAACTTCAATATAACTTAAGTCAAGTTAAGTCTAAGTTAAGTTTAAAAGCCACTGTTGAAAGTTAAAAATATTTAAAAAATTACTGATCGCCTCTTCTAAAAGGTAGTCCATTTGGAGAAGAATGGGCAAGAAACTCCATACTTACTCTTTTAAAATAGTTTTAACAATATATTGTAGACATTCATTCGATATAAATGAGTAGACCATTTACCTAGAAAAAAAAACTACCGTTCTAAAATAAAATAGGCAATAATTATCCGAACTTTGACTTCAAGAACGCAATTTTTGGAGATTCTTGACACCCCCCCCCCCATGTATCGCGCCGTAACGTCGTACCGTTTTTCCCACCCAGTGACTCTTTATACCTACAAGTTATGTGGTGTAAAGTACTGGAAAGTCGAAAATAATATTAACAATAACGCGTAATTCAATCCCGCGTCGCTTCGTAACGTTTTACAAAAGACCCCCCTCCCAAATTCGTTACGTAATACTAACGAATAGCCCCTGTATACTTTTGTATACTGTTTTTTCAGTTAGTCTCTGAAGTCACCTCAAGGATTCCTCATGTTTTCGTAAGACCAAGTGATAATGATGACCAAGTTAAAGCTTGTCCTTTAGTAAAACTCACAGACAATTGAAAACTCGATGGTACAACTGCGAGGCTTCGTCGAAACGGTCAGTTACGATTCGTTTTACCGCTGATTGGCGTGAACTAATAAATTTGAACGCGTTTCCAATATACAAGGACCAGGCGAATAATATCCATAAATGCATATAATCATTTTTATATTATTACAAGTCACTATATTTTAGTAAAATTATGTAATATGTTATCTTTATACTAACACACTTAATATAAAAACAATAACTAACCTTAAAATATAATAACTAAAATAAATTATTAAAAGGAGTCCCTTTAGGCAAGGTTCCGAAGATACTGGTAGCGTTTCCTCTTTGAATAGCTAGACTAATTCTTTGTCCGAGGTAGCTGCCAGCTCTTCGGTCTCCTGTGTTGTCGACTAACCTTTTTGATATTTCCTTAAAAAGCCTTATAATGCAAATTATTCATTCCGTTTACATAGCAGATCCTTTTTAGTGAATTAAAAACTAATTTTAGTACTTAACAACAAATTAAAATACATTCTCAACCTACAAAAAAATGTGTGCGTGTACTAGGTGTACACACGTAAGAAGTGAAACTTCTTTATGACCTTATTAGAAACTATTTCTTTAAACACAGTAAATTTTGATACACTGCCTAGCATACAATTAACAAATTAATTACTGCAAATTGCGACTAGCAAATTTCAAGTCGAAAATGTAATCCGTTGTCAAACTTCAAAGTCAAAAACATACTATATGTCATATTTTAACGCCGATAAAGAAGTTTGACTTCAAAAAGCAACATGACGCGTAACGGAAAAATGTGACGCGTAACGCAAAAATGTTACACTAAATTTTTTTCCAACCCCGATAAAGAAGTTTCACTTCAATAATAAAAATTAAATTAAAATGTCTCTGTGTCAGTAATTTTAACGAAGGTATTTCCTCAATGTATTGCGATATTTATTCGTTGAGGACCAGCTCTGGGGTCACCGGTACTATGTACCAGGCGCTAAATTAAATCTTTAATTAGTGTCTGTGAACTTGAACTTTATTTGTCTATCGGGAGGGAGTCTACAGAGGGTGGATAAAACTAGCTGAGTTTCTTGCCCGTTCTTCTCAGAACAAGACCTGATAGTTTTGCGAACGGATGGCGTAGTCTTGCTCTGAGTACACAGAGGAAATGCTGTCAGCTTTGGGTGCCACAGGGACCAAACTTTTAAATTTGTTTTAATTTTCTTTTTTATAACTTTTTAATTATTATTATTACTATGTTGGTTAAGAATATTGTAAATATATATTTGTGTGTTGGAAATATATATTATATACGCTTAGTTCAAGACATACAATGGAAAACGATTCTAGACTAATATTGTTTCTCGGAATGCAATAAAGATTGCCAATGTCAAACAGGCATGCGCAATGCGAGAATTATTTTCGCGTTTTATTGTTCGAGGGTTTTGCGCGCCACAGTTCAAACAGTAGAACATGTTTTTTAAAGCTTCAATATCGCAGTGAACGTTTAAAAGTTAAACGTACAAAAACATATATTTCTCTTTTGCACATATTGTAGCCGATAGACTAACATATATAAAAGTTACAAGCCTTTCATCACCTCGTCGTACGTCTTTCCACAACTGAGCGTTTCTTAAGTTTTCGCACCATCACTATGTGGTACCAGATGCCCACTGAATTTCCGAACCAATTCGACTTAGGGTCCTTCAAGAGCGTACCAATCCTTAAAACGATGACAAAGCACTCGCATCTGGCATTGAGAGTGTTCATGGGCGTGTTTGCTACATGTTCTATTAAAAAAAAACTTTATTGTACGAACTGCACGAGTTTCTATCAAAATCTGATATTCCAAAGACCCAGCAGCACTACAACCCTTAATCTTAGCCCCAGATTTCTTTGGTTTTTGATATGTTTTTAATAGGCAAGTAGGTGATCCGTCTTCTTGTAGAATTAAAATTTTTGGGTCTAATTTGGTTTCCTCACGCTGCATAGAAATTCCCATTAATGCCGGGAAATTAAGGCCCGATATTTGCAAGTGTTAAAATGTGTTTTGAATTTAATTATTAAATTACCCAATAACAAAATAGCAAAGGTTTTCTGTAAATAGTGTAGTAATAGTAAGTATATAAACGTGTTTTTGCAACACCAACTGTTTGTAACACTGTACTGCTAATACCTAACCTATACTAAGAACCATAGACCATATTCGTTACAAAATATATTGAATGTCAAAACACCTGACAGATGGTCGTAATTTAACACTTTTCTCTATGTCAACAAAACTAGAAATTCTATGAAATTGTTAACCGATTTCGAACCGAAGTAGTGTATCAATAAAAGTCTATTAGCTATGTTTACTAACATTAGAAATGTGGGAGATCTCTGCATCTTCTAGAGTTCGAAAAGTGAGTTACAGAATCTCAAGGCTGAGCTGAGTTTCATAATCGGACGTCAAGACAGAATACGAAATTACCATCCGTATTACCTTGACGTCCGTTCCACAACTGAGCGTTTCTTATAAAGGCAATTTCTGCCGCACACCACCACTATGTGGAACCAGCTGCCCACTGAAGTATTTCCGAACCAATTCGACTTAGGGTCCTTCAAGAAAAGAGCGGACTATTTTTAAAAGGTCGGCAATACACTTGCGAGCCTCCTGGCAATGTGAGTGTCCATGGGCGGCTTAAAAAAAATTGTGTTAACACGCAAAAAATATGTTTTTTAAATAATTTAACGAGAACAGATTTTTGTATTCAATACGATAACGATGATTTCATTTGTCCAATGTCGTTATAGTGGTTTTCCCATGTATATTATTTCTGGAGCAGTGTTGGCCTAGTGGCTTCAGCGTGCGACTCTCATACCTGAGGTCGTAGGTTCGAACCGCGGCTATGCACCAATGGACTATGTGCGCATTTAACATTCGCTCGAACGGTGAAAGAAAACATCGCGAGGAAACCGACATGTCTTAGAACCAAAAAGTCGACGGCGTGTGTCAGGCACTGGAGGCTGATCACCTACTTGCCTATTAGATTATAAAATGATCATGAAATAGATTCATACTGAGGCCAAGACCTAAATAGGTTGTAGCGCCACGGATTTATTTATTATTTCTAAGAAAAATAAATTAGTTGAATAAAAATAACTGTCTACTATAATAAAAAATAGGGGTTGATCGTAGAGGGTAGATGAGAATTAAGGGTTGTATGTATTTTTGTATACTGTATCATAAAAAAAATAAAAGCAAAAAAAAAATCCAAAAAATAAAAAAACCCCTTATCACTTAGGGGTTTGAAAGATAGAAGCCGATTCTCAGACTTACTGAATATTATAAAAAAATTCATAAGAATCGGTCGAGCCGTTTCGGAGGAATATGGGAACATTGTGACCCGAGATTTTTATATATTAGATAGTATTTTAAAAATGCTTACAAGCATGGTCACGGCGTTTAATGACCATAAAAATATTGCATAGCTGAAAATGTAAAAATGCTTACAAAAATTATTCTAAGAAGCTATTATTTGAATTTAAACCTTATTTTAATCCGATAGAATGCATTTTTAAATATCAACTGTGGTACGTGTTAAAGTGGTGTCGGAGCAGATTGCTTCCGCGGTGTCAGCACAGCGATGGCCGTGGAGTATTGTTTAATTTATAAATAAAATTTAAAATAAGTTTTGAGTAACGCTGATTGAGCAGTTTTGTATAAATCAATTTAGTAATTTAATAATTTACGTAAAGTTTGATTATACGTACTATTAATTTTTTACTAACAAAAAAATTGAATTTAAAAATTGTCTATGTAAGGCAGAAGACTCTGATGTTAAGTGATACCCATAGACACTCATATTGACTGCTCTGTGCTGCCGGTCTTTTAAGAATTGGTACACTCTTGAAAGACCCTAAGTCGAATTGGTTCGGAAATACTTCAGGGCAGCTGGTTTCACATAGTGGTGATGCGCCAATAACTGACTTAAAACGCTCAGTTGTGGAACGACGGATGTCTTACGTACGTAATTTTATGAAACTCAGTTGCAGCATATTTAAACTTGCTTTAACAAAGATATTAGCGTTTGCTTCAATTTCTGCGACACATCAGATTAAGATACCAATATTATTTATTGAGTTATATGAATATACAAATAATATTGATTAATCTAAGACTATTATAATCCATTTGACAACTAAAAATGTATTAAATTTGTAACTACAAATCTAAAAAGTAAAGTAATTCTCAAATAATAATTAAAGATGAGGAAATAGACTTTGTTGATAATTCAGTGTTCTTGGGAATTACTTTAGATAGTAAACTCCAGTAGGGCCTACACATAGAAGGTCTTTCGAATAGGCTAAGTTCTGCAGCGTTTGCGTTCGCAATGAAATGTTGGCCAAACGCCTCACTGTACAACGCGTAGCAACCAACCAATTTGTTTTTACTTAATTACATAGTTTTTCAGTAAATTTTAGCGTTTTGCGTATTTTTTAACGGAGTTAAAATATAGTATTGTCTTTGATTGACATAACCTTTACAAATTTAAAGAAAAAACTTTTTAACCGGATTAAAGTTATGTATTATTATAAATTTACAATTATTTAACATAATTTTAAATTTATCCGACGTTTTGCGTGCTTTACAGCGTGCGTGGTCACGGTGACTGAAGACGTTGAATGTCAAAAAGTATCACAGCTGTGATACTGCAAAGCACGCGATACGTCGGATAAATTTAAAATTATGGAGTTAAAATAGTTTTATGTGACCGTATTTTCATGATTCCTTTTTTGTAGGAAGACAAACTTCGAAAATGTAATTAAAATATAAAAAAAAATCATGAAACGATTCCTTCGAAAATCGTTTTATTATTTAAAAATTATATTATGATAAGAATAACCCCTCCATACCATCCCTGTTCTGGAAACTCAAGTACGAGGGGCACAAAAGCGTCAAACTGCCGACGCAAATAATTGCCACGCGCCTCTTTACACACCGACAAAATAATTGATCTTATTTCACACAGTATTACTCCCGGTTTTGCTTGCATTATGCATTTAATTATATTATAAAGAGGAAAGGTTTGTTTGCATTACTCCAAAACTACTAGACCGATTTGATATAATCTTTCACAATTAGAATCCTTTATTATCCTTGATCAAAATAAGCTGTAGAATATTATCAAAAATGTTATATGAAAACTTCAATAATGAAAAAATACTAATAAAAATTCTTATATCGCGTACGTCGAAACTATAGAAAATAGAGCAAAGCAATGTACTACAGTTTTATAGAACACATCAATATCTACAAAAAAGTCCCAGATACTATATGTCTAACTATTACACATAACTGTAAAATTAAAAGAATAGGAATCCATATGAAAACTTCGATAATATAATCAAAAAAAGTAAAAATATCAAAAATTCCTATATACGTGGAAACTATAGACAATAGAGCAAAGCAATGTACTACAGTTTTATAGAACACATCAATATCTACAAAAAAGTCTAGAAAAGCACATGTCTAACTATTACAAATGTGTAAATTTAAATTTACTAACTATACATGAACTACATATTTTCATTCGCTTTCAAATCTCATAATGTTGATCTATAGAATCCTAACCTAAGCTGTTAATAATTATAGTCTATACTAATATTAAAAATAATTATAGTTTGGGAGGTTGAAGGTAGTCTCCTGTTGAGTGATATAGTGAATATCAAAAGTCTTTTTCTTGGCCGGAAAATAGTCGAAAGAAAACGTTTCATACAAACTCTGTCTGTGATTTTTTTTATATAATAGGGGGGCAAACGAGCTTGCGGGACGACCAAAAAGGGCAGTCTTGGCCCATAGACACCCATTTTTAGCGGGTGCGTTACCGGCCTTTGAGGGAGGGAGGAGTACACTCGCTTTTTAAACATAAAAGTGATGAGATATGTGATCTAGGGAATAGTTGTAGATCTTGATACATAAAAAAACATATATCTATCTATAAAAACAAAAACTCAAAAACTACTGTACGGAATTTATTGCGGTTTTCAACAATATCTAGAATGATTCATGGGGAAGGTTTTGGTATATGTATAACTTTTTAAGGTTCCGGCCACGGACCATGTGTAAATTAAGCAATGAAAATATTAGTTCTTTTCATTATCTAAACTATATAATTACTATCAACTCGATATATTGATGAATATATCCCAAAAGCGAGCAGTGATGGCCTAGTGCCTTCAGCGTGCGACTCTCATACCTGAGGTCGTAGGCTCGATCCCCGGCTGTGCACCAATGGACTTTCTTTCTATGTGCGCATTTAACATTTGAAAACATCGTGAGGAAATTGACATGTCTTAGACCCAAAAAGTCGACAGCGTGTGTCAGGCACTGGCGGCTGATCACCTACTTGCCTATTAGATTTAAAAATGATCATGAAACAGATTCAGAAATCTGAGGCCCAGACCTAAAGAGGTTTTAGCGCCATTGATTTATTTATTTTTATTCCCCGCTCTCCTGTTGTCAGCTTAAGCAAGCAAAGCTCTCAAAAATATTTATACAATGTGTGGGTAATATGTGTAAAAAAGTAAATAATTACTGTTGACGTAATCACCAAATAAGAAAGTCAAAGACCCCACCCCCCCTTACGTAATACTTGAACGGCCCCAGTGATGTTTGAGGGTAAAAATAAAAAAACGTTTAATTTGACATTAATTGTCATCTGTCATCAAATAGAATAGATACGTCAAAAAGCACTAAAAATACAATTAATCTGTTGTCCTGTCATCACGTTGTTGTTGCTCTGTTCTTTGTTCCAAGTGTCCTTTGTTCTTGTAATAGGTTTTTTAAAATTAAGACAAAGAGTAAACGGAAGCACTCAACGCTAATTGCCGGAAGTGATTGATGTCAACAAGTAGGTAATTGGATAGTTGCGATTTTTAAGGGTCGATTGAATTGGTGGGGTAAGATTTTGTTTATAGAGGGTTTTTTACTTTTTAAACGCAGGGGCAGGTCTATTAAGGGGTCTATATTAAACTTATTTTATTTAAAATTACCAAAATAGTGTTTGTTCGTTATTTCAAGGCTTCCGAATTATATAACTTGAAAATAAAACACTATAAAAATTCAAAATCATTTATTTATATAGGTAACACAATGTACACTTATGAACGTCAAAAAATAAATATATATTAAATGCTTCTAATTGTACATTTACTGTCAGTTCTCAAATCAAGGGCGTAGAACGGAAGAGAAGAACTGGCAATGAAGTCTCCGCCACTCTTTTACAAGCTTTTTGTTTTACACAACGTGCAACCATTACACCATGTTCTAAAACCTTAAACTAAAATCCTTTAAAAAAATATTATGTAATAACCAATATAGGTTCAAAAATTAAAGGGAAAACCAAGCAATAAAAAGTCTGGTCAGCAAAATGCCACGGGCCCCGACCCAAGAAGAGCCCCTGCCCAAGAGATATTATGTTCTATGGATGAATGTGAAGTCTCCAATACGCATTGGGTTAGCGTGGGGACTACAGACCATTCCCTCTCGCCATTAGTGAGACATATACAACGTGTAATTGAGTACGCTGAAAATCTCGAAGTTTATTGAAATTAAACTGAGTAGGGACGATTTTTACTGATAAGGCCCCATCAAAAGAATTTGCCACGGGCCCCAGATGGTATAGTGGCGCCACTGTATACGTATATTGTATATCAATAAACTGTTAATAGAAAAAACATGTACATGTATATAAGAATTTCGTCCTAAATATTGTTTTTTTTTTAATTTCAGGGTGGCATCTCTCACGGGATATGAGCCGCAAGACTTGATAGAAAAAACACTATATCATTATATCCACGGAACTGATGTGCTTCATATGAGACATTCGCACTGTACATGTAAGTAATATTTTAGTATTGCAAGATTTTTTTTCTACGACTTATTAAAATCCTACAACTCCTAGTTACTACTCCTAGTTTGGCGGTAGTTTTGACTTGCGTTCCTTAGAAAATCTAGATCAGTTTGTGAGTAGGAGACTCATAAACTGAATTTAGACGACTCATTGGTCTAGTGGTTAGTACCCCTGACTGCAAATCCATGGGTCCCGGGTTCGATCCCCGGCTGAGACGAACATCGATGTGATGAGCATTTGGTGTTGTGCTTAGGTCTTGGGTGTTTAAATATGTATTTATATGTCTATTTATCTATAATATGTATGTATAATGTATATCCGTTGCCTAGTACCCATAACAAAAGCTTCACCAGCTTAGCATGGGACTAGGTCAATTGGTGTGAATTGTCTTTAAAAAAAAATAAAAAATAAAAAAAAAGGTCCTTTACTGTGCAAAGTATCCTGCTATGGAATTCCTTACCAATTGAGATCAGACGAGCTGTCTTTCTGATTTAGATCATTTTCTTTCTGCCTCGTAATTAGCTCTGCTTTTATATATTACTTATTGTGAGTAAGTTAACCTTTTGATTGGCTTTTAAATTTTTGTTTAAACACATTTTTATTTATAATTTTTATGTTTTCTTTAGATTTTACTTTATTTTATTTTAGTTATTGCATCTCTTGTACTTTACCCTCTGTAGGTGTTTCTTTTTTTATATTGATCCATTTTAGGGTTGCCTGGAAGAAATCGCTTGTTAGTGATAAGGCCGTCCATTGCCTTATAACTTTTGTAACCTGTTTTTTTATTTTTGTTATGTGTATGTTTTTGAATCAGGTAATAAAGTATAAATAAATAAAGTTCACCTCATCATACATATATATCTATTTAATTTATTTGCTCAACAGTATTCCTACAGCTACTCACTAAACAATATCCAAACAATTACACTATACACAAAAGCCAAAAACGGAATACACATTCAAACATACACAAAGCACAGTTTTACATATTTACACAAAAAATATATAGTATACTAGTGGAGCCCACAGACGTTGTCCTGCATGATATTTAAAGCGATTAGGATATTAAGCAAAGTATGAAAGTACCGACTGCAGTGCCATCTGCCGGGCTGATTTGTGAATCTAAACCATTCCCAGATCCCCTTGAACACACACAAAAAATTTCATCAAAATCGGTCCAGTCGTTTGAGAGAAGTTCAGTCACATACACACGCACACAAGAAATATATATATTAAGATATTTATAGTCTGGGTAATGAAAAAGCGCAGCAAATTCATTTTTTTAGTATGGTATCCCTAAAATATATATATTTTGTGGATTAAACTTACTTTGATACTTGATTTTATTTTATTATTTTTTACCTTGATAGTAACGTATTTAGTCTTTTACTATTGATAATTAAAATGACTAGCATTGCATGGAAAACTAAAACTATATTTATTATAAAACACAACTTTATTCGGAATAATCAAAATCAGAATCCAAAAAATCAATAAAACAAAATTTTGGCTATTATACCTGTTAACTATTCGGAAAAAAATATATAATAGAAATAAAAATGAGTATGATGATGTTGTCCTTTTGTAAAACGTTACGATGCGGTGCGGGGATAGAATTACGCGTTATTGTTAATATTATTTTCGACTTTCCAGTACTTTACACTACATAATGGTAATAAAGAGTCACTAGGTGGTCACGAAACGTATTACTATACTTGGGAACAGAAAAACGTTACGGCGCGTTACATTGGGGGGGTCCAATAATCTCCGAAAATTGCGTGACGTAATTTGAACGCTTCCTAAAGAAATTATCTGTAAATGGTCTTTATAGTGACTTATTTGTTTCAGTACTAACCAAGGGTCAGGTGACATCCAGGTATTACCGCTTCCTCACGAAATCTGGGGGTTGGGTGTGGATGCAGAGCTACGCGACTATTGTCCACAACTCCAGGTCTTCCCGGCCGCATTGTATTGTCTCTGTCAACTACGTACTGAGGTATGGATGGTCATAATAATTTAGATTTTCCTTTATATTTTATAGAATGTTATGGTGGTACAATCTAAAGTTCGCATATTCTGCCAAACCATATGACATGCAAATTTGTTTTAAAAGGAATTTTACACACAAAGTCAAAGTCAAATCATTTATTTCAATTAGACCATCTAAAATGGCACTTTTGAACGTCAAAAACACATTATGAGTCATATCATTATCGACAATTCTTATAATATTCTCTAACGATTAAATACATTCATGTATAGAAATAAGGATTTTAAGTGTTAATTGTTCTTAATAAGCCGTTCAGTTAACGACCTAGCCTTTTAACTAAACAGCGCCGTTTAACTAGCGGCCTGAAAGGTAAAAGCCGTAGAGTTTGTAACAACATTTAAGAATCCGGCTGGCTAATGCTTAGGCTATTCGTACGACAGAATGACAATGAGGCAGAACATCTGACATAAAAAATATTTCTTTGAAAATTCAATTGCTTGAGTCAGTCGCAGCTAATTCACATTATTATTGTCACTACACTCTCCCATTGTACTTGTTGATTTTCATTAAACTTTGGAAAACACCATCAAAGTTCTGGTTTGCCGACGCCACATTGACAGATTGAAGAGTTTCGTTTCGAGATTGAGAGTGACAGAAAGTATAACTAAATTTAAATTAACAGTCGACAGGCTAGGCAAGTAATGAAACGCCTAGCTGTTTGATCAACTGGCTGAATATCTTTGAGGCCGCTAGTTAAACGGCTAGGCTGTTAATTGTAAATATAACGCTTTTTAAAGTCCTTATGTAAGTAATGTAACGTCATCCAAGTCATTTGTCTAGCTGTTTGATCAACTGGCTGAATATCTTTCAGGCTGCTAGTTAAACGGCTCTGTCTAGTTAAGAGGCTAGACTCTTAATTGGCTTATTATCTTAGAATAGATATTTCCAAACTTATGGTATAGCGATTAAATTAAAAATATATAATTTCTATTACAGTGACATCGAAGAGAAGAATTTAATTTTAAATTTGGAACAAGGCGCGCCAAAACCGAACACAGACCCGCACATCCCACAGGTCTCGCACATCCGGCACACAGATAGAGTAAATGACGAATTCAGCACAGACTACACGCAATTTCCGGAATATACTCTACTGCCGACAATACCAACATACGAGACCGACGACTACCAGAACCAAAATGGCTACCAGGATATGTTTTATAACGAAAATTATACAGAGCCCGAGTTGCCGAACTACGCGTACCCACAAAACCAAAGACCATTTTCAGCGAGTTCGTCATCTTGCTCCTCCATTGAGAGTTCTGAAGTGAATCAATATAGTTACACGAATCTTATTTCGTTCTATGGACAAAATGGCCGACCGGAAAACTTTGGCAGCTTTGGGAAATTACCACAGAGTCAAAACGTTCAAGAAGGCTACACAAGCGTAATTGTAGATAATACACAGCAGTTTCATGGAAGTAATGTCAACGAATTCGTGCATTGACTTTGTATTTTAGGCTGGAATTACCGCGCGGTAATGGCCTTTAACCTTGGTAATATTACCATTAATTACCGCTTTGGTTAACCGCTTCAAAGGCATACCTGCTTTGAAAGAAGAGCGTTCGGTATTTTACCGCGCGGTAATGGCCTTTAACCTCGGTAATATTACCATGAATTACCGGTTTGGATATTCGCTTTAGAGGCATTACTGATTTGGAAGGAGAACAGCGTTCGGTATTTTAACCGTTTCTGGTATCTTCATTGTGGAAAAGCTTTTTATATAACATGTACACATATTGCCAGCAACTGTGTTGCCGGTATTTGAAGAATTGGTACGCTCTTTTCTTGAAGGACCTTAAGTCGAATTGCTTCGGAAGTACTTCAGTGGTCAGCTGGTTCCACATAGTGGTGGTGAGCGGAAAATACTGCCTTAAAAATTAGTGGAACGACATACGTTGAGTTGTTACATAGGTTATTTCGTATTCTACCTTGACGTCCGATGATGAAACTCAGCTGCAGGTATTAGTCCGAACAACTCCTCTGAACAGTCCCCATGGTAAATGCGGTAGGCAGAGAGACCGCAAATCTGTGAAAGTGACTGGTCGTAGACGATTCGAATCGCTCTTCGTTGAATACGGTCAAGCGGAAGGAGCTGGTGCTGGGGCCAGAGGTGAGAACAGTTATCCATGTGGGGCCGTATTTGCGCTTTTTAGAGTTACATGTGGTAGCCCGGAGTGAAGTACCGTCTCGCCTTGCTGCACACCAAGCTTAGAGGCTAACTTAGCCTTACCTTCCAAATGACCGCGAAACTGAACGTCATTCGATATGTCAATGTATTCCGATGCTAACTAAGGCTCTTCTGAAGAGTCTCTTGTGTCTTCTTGGGGGTAAATTGGACTACATTTAGTCTACTCCAGTCCGAGAGTCCACGTATCATAGTTTCGACTTTAGACACCAAAAATTACCTCATTGGTACCTTGATAAAATTGTCGCCTTCATAGCATTAGCCCCCATACGTAATTTGGATTATTGGAATTATTAATATTGTATTATGTCTCTCTATTGGATCAGGAAATATGTGCCAAAACAAAAAGCAAATATTAACGGTGCTAATTCTGATAAAAGAATAATAAAAAATGTATTTATTTTTGGTCTAGTCTGATGAAGAAGCACCTGTAATTCATGTTTTAAGGTAACGCGTAAATTCTTGTATATAATGTAAATATAAATATAAATTAATAATGTAAAAGGTATTATCATTAGATTACACTTTTTAATCATAATAAATAGGTGGTTAAAAAACTAAAATTGTATCGAATGAGAATCTAACCTAAAAAGGTGTTAGCGCCACTGACTTATTTATTTCGTATCACGATGAAATAACGATTACGTTTCGAACAAATTTGAAATATATAGGTTATGATGGTTTAAATGAAATTTGTCAATTCGTTCAAAGTTATTGGCGAATATCTAGTCCTTATTTTCGTGTGTCTTTTTGACAAATTCTCAGTTTTACCGATTTTTATTAGTAAATACGATTTATATAAAGTCTAAGTTGTATTTAAATAGTAGCCATAGCTACAAAGTTTAATAATAAACAGGAATTGAGAATTTAAAACAAAAAACGTGTTTCAGCGCCATCTGACGTCCGACGCGCGTACTACATTAATTTTTGTTTTAAATTCTCACCCGTGTTAATAAGTATGCATATATCATGTACTAGACAATAATAGCTTATTAATTGTATATAATCCTATTGTTACATATGGTTGAATCTCATTTCTCATAAAATATTACGGCCTTCATACTGAAGCATTGTAAATTAAGATAATGTTAGCAAAACATTGGGCTTATTAAAGTGAATTAAGCATCTTTGTTACCATGGTAACGATTGTATCCATTTACAAAGAATGTAAATGGATACAATCGTTAGTCTGTGCGGAAAAAGCATTTCATTTGTTCACGAAACTAATTTATTTTATATTAAATACCAAGTAATAAAAAAAGTGCGTGCGTACAAAGCACACATGTCAGAAGTGAAACTTCTTTGGCAAACTAATTTTAAGTCTTGTTCATATTTATACAAATCTATAACTTTAGATTTCCGAGACTTAGAGGGAGGGAAAAAGGAAGATATCTTAGGAATTTAATGAATTATATTGTCATTAAAATATTAAGTGTCGATATGTAATTGTATTAAGTGTAATTTTTAAATCAAATAAAAACACGTGGCATTTTAATTTACAATTTGTCATTTGAGATTTCAATAAATTATGTGGCATAAAATATAAAATACTAACACATATTTCAAAAAAATTTAATTTTAAAAATAGAATTTCTATAATGTAATTCACCCTTCTCACTCACTCTCAATCGCTTTCTCCCTTTACTTCGACAAAAACGCTGCACATCTTCGTGACGTTCGGTAAAAAATTTTACCCTCACGCCAAAAGAAGTTTCACTTCAACAATTACATACTGTAACCATGACAACCTTATGTACTAACTCTGGCGTTTAAAAGGTTTAAATACCGTATCTTTCAATCTAATTGCAGCCCTGAAATAAATACATAAGCATTCTTTGATTACATAATAAAAATCTATGAAATATAATCACAGGTTTGGAACTAGCCCTACACAATCTTGTATATTGTCAAAATTGTTTTGTGATAGCAATTATTCGTTAATTGAATGCGCAGAGGCGATGAGAACTTGGAGAAACTGATCGTGGTTGGTAAAAGATCACGTGGAAGGCTCATCGTCCCCAAAACTGACAGAGACACGCTGGACCGAAACCGGTGGAAACAGAAGTCCGCTCCAGACGCTTTCTTGAACGACTGTCAGAGATTAGCTGCCGATTAAAGAGAGATTCGTTTATTTATATTTTTAATGAGATAAAAAATATTTCAGCATAAAGGTCTAGGTTATGATAAAATATTATTTGTATATTTTTAACTAAGTCTCGAGGCTATAATTATTTCATATATCAGTATTATTTTCTTAAGGACCATATAGGACCAGTCTTCTTTTCACTTAAATAGTGCTAGTCGTATTTTTAACTATACGTCGCTAAGGGAGCGATCAAGTATTACGTAACGCAATTTTTGGAGTTTATTGACCCCCCCATGTAACTCGCCGTAACGTTTTTCTCGTAACTACCCAAGTGCAGTACTGTACTCAAGTATAGTAAAACGTTTCGTGACCACCTAGTGACTCTTTAGTTACTATTATGTGGTGTAAGTCGAAAATAATACTAACAATAACGCGTAATTCAATGCCCGCCCCGCATCGTAACGTTTTACAAAAGGACCCCCCTCCCAAAATTCGTTACGTAATACTTGAACGCTCCCTAACGCACTTCGCACTCACTGCGCTAACTCAGAATTGGCTTGTGTGATTTCACCATTGGTTCAAGTATTACGTAAGCATATTTACTGCAATTTATTCCCCCCATTCCTCTTGTCAGTAAAAGTAAGCAAAGCTCTCAAAAGTTATAGTACATAAACGTAACATGTTTTGCAGGAATCCTCGAAAATTCATTTCGTTTTCAATCATAGACAATGTGTGGGTAAAATGTGTAAAGTAAATAATTACTGTTGCCGTAATCACCGAATAAGAAAATAAAAGACGCCCCCATCGCCCCCTATAGTGCTTACGTAACACTTGAATTGTTACGTTCTGAATTGTAACATTCAGAAATGAAACTATGACCTGTTTGTCTAACATTCATATATTGTATTCAGTAACGCTCGAAGCAAACTCATGTGAATCTAACAAATAATTAATGTTTAAACACATTACACAAATAAAATGCTATATTAAATAAATTATCTTTATTGGTTAAAACCTTTCACTAATTTTCTTACACTAAGATGTTTTATTGCAGTTTCAAATGAACATATTGCAATATTACACAGATTAGTACAATGTTTTCATACCAAAAACAATAGAGACTTGTCAAAGTTTGACACGGATGTTTATGAATACAATTATTACAATTTACAACCATATCTGAATAATCTAAGAATCGTGAATGTCAAAAACGTATTAAAGTTCGCGCTTAGTTTCTTCATACTATGAATTAACATTCCCATGTCAATATACGAAGAGCTTTGCGTAGTTATATCTGAATTGCTAAAGTTATCTAGTTGCGCTCTTTCGTGTCTCTCAAATTGTGGGTACGCTGTGATGAGAAATATTGTAGTTAAAAATGGAACAAGATATATTTTGTATGAGTTAATGATCCATTATTTTAATTTAAGATAACCTATGCCCGTGTTCTGTAACTTCCAAAAGCAATTCCTACCTTTTTGTTAGCAAGATCGATGTAGCGCTGATGACACCTTGGGATCTGTACACAAACATATATATCGGGTTCGCTATTGGAACTAACAGACCAAGGACTGATACTATTATTTCTTACTATTAGTATTTGGTAGCTTTAATCTTTTATTTGTAAAATATATTTATTCCATATAATTTTGTTTTCTTTTATCATAGACCATAGCGACCTAGAACTTCAAGTGAACATTTATTTAGTGTAGTACAACATTAAGTTTATTTATTTGTACATATTCTTACAGCTACACATAAACATAACACTTAGACAATATACAAAGCCTAAACATATTACAATGATAAATAAAATATACGAAAGTCATACTAGATCAACTAATTGTAACGGACGTGACGTCGCCAGTCACATCCTACCAAGCCAAAGCCAAGCCATGCCATGTTGACCAACCCTCCAACCAACCGCCATGCCTGCCAACCGCAAATGCTAGCCACTTGGGGATGAGTCTATATAAGCCAAAGCCAGCCATATTAAAACCTACTTTTTGGAAGACGTAATAAATAAAGAACAAGTGTACTGTCACACTGCCATTTTATTTTCACTGTCAATTATAATAAATTAAAATACAATTATCAATAAAAGAATAGGTCAATTATATAATCCAAATCAAAAAACAGTTGTCTACATGGTAAAACACATTTTTGAAGAATATTTTCGAAAAGTTAAGAAGAAATCTTCTAACACTGACTATTTATTTGTGTTTTAACTAATCCAAATAAAAAAAATCGGTTGTCTGTAAAGAAGGTTTACTGACGATAGTTGAACGTGAAAACGTCATAAGAAAATATTGATGAAATATTGCATTTTTCAAAAGAAAATTTAAATTTAATTTGTTTGATAGATATTTTGTATGGATATAGAGGAGGTAAATGGAAATCACAATTGAATTTATCAAGGTACATTTATTTGTACGCATAAATACAATCATGTCAATTTTTTGTGCCTCTTTGTCGTGCTCTCGCTTGCACTTCAAGCCTGAAATGGAACGCCTCAGAGGTAACGCCACGCCGCGAGGTAACGCCGCATGAGTCATGTTTTTTCGTGCGTGCAGCCGGCTCCATCGAATTATAAGACGTTGTCACGTCAAAAAATATAAACGGTGGTTATCTAAAATAAATATATATAAAATTCTCGTGTCGCGGTGTTTGTAGTTAAACTCCTCCGAAACGGCTTGACCGATTCTCATGTAATTTTGTGTGCATATTGGGTATGTCTGAGAATCGGACAACATCTATTTTTCATCCCCCTAAATGTTAAGGGTAGTCCCCCTAATATTTTTTTCTGTTGTTATTTTTTTATGATACAGCATTAAAAATACATACAAACCCCTAATATTCACCCCTCTACGATCAACCCCTATTTTTTATTATAAATGATATACATGGCAAAACGACGTTTGTCGAGTCAGCTAGTTTATTTATAGTTTTCCAACCCAAAGTAAAAAAACCGGTTGTCCACATCGTAAAACGCATTTTTGAACAATATTTTGAAGAAAAAATAAATTGTTACTACTGCTAAATAAAGTCAAAGAGCCCGCCTCTCAAAATATTACCTCACATCCTCATTGATAAGGTGGAAAATGTCTACATCTTCACAATTTGAGTTATAAAACTTAATCCCGAAACATTACCTAGAGGAACAATCGCTATAATGCTCGTAGGGTCCAATGGCCGCTGCGTCCTGGCCGCTAGTGCGCTATTGCCCTTAGGCCGTTTCTCCACTGCTCCGGTCCGGCGAACGTTAATTACCGATCCAATTTAGAAACTCACAACAGTACTTACGTGCTTCTCCACTACTCCGGCATCCGGTTTTTATCGATCCGATAACTTGCTAGATCGGAACGCGGTGTTTTATCGGTCCAAGTATCCAAGAGGTTATAAATTATTATTCACAGGTTTATTTATAGTTTCTTTAATTTGAAAGAATCTGGATAACCTGGACCAAACCAAATTATATTGCTATTTATTTATATTTTAATATCATAGTATTAGTGAACTATTTATTAAGTAGATTATAATATTTCAAGATAGACGATATAAAAAAGTAATAAACTGGCCAGGGCAATAAAATATTCAGAATTTAGAACGTTTATTAATAAAATAAAGAATATGGGTTTTAGTTAATATAAGTGTTGCATGATCTTATACAAGTATCGATTATTGTCGGATCGGATGTAGTGGAGAAGCGCAATCCGGCCTTCCGATATTTTTTCACGACTCATTCCGGTATCCGACGTCGGACCGGAGCAGTGGAGAAGGGCCTTAGGGTATGATGATAAATGGGTAAATTAAAGAATATGCAATGGTGTCAAAAATCTTTATTTCCTTTCCCTGTCACTTAGCAGAAACCCCGATCCTTTTTATGACCATCATTGGTTCTCTTAGGCCAAACGCCTCCGTCAGGTCCTGCAAACAAGGAAATTACAAATATTCAGTATCATTAAGAACCAAAAGACAATATCGTTGAAAATAGCGCCATCTAGTGACCAGTTTCTGTCAACCTGTGTTGTGTGAAACAAAGTATAATATGATACTAGCGGTCTTATTAAGTGGCAGCTAGGTGAGGGGTGCCGGGTTCGATTCCCGGTTCGAGGGCAAGATTTAATTTAAATTTGTTCTCGGCCTTTGGGAGGGTTGTGCGGTACCGGGCGAGTGCCTAAACCGTACATGGAGGACACGGTCGAATTTCTAAAGACAAGCACGAATTATAAAAATCTTATACTTGACGCTGGCCAATGCGCAAATCGTGCCAGAGCCATTAAAATGGAGAGGTGTAGTTATGTGCGTAAGAATTGTAGAGGTGCAAATCGATAACGGGATAGGTACGATTGATTTGCTAAATTATGTTAAGTATAAATATGAGTAACATTTCGCTATCTGAAAATAAGTTTTTAATTTGTAAGATAAAATGTTCGTTTCGACGTATTAATAGAGAAACTGTATAGATGCCCTGAAAAGGGCAGTTTTTTATCTTTTCTCCATTTCTCCATTGTGCGTATTGCGTGTCATAACAATAATATATTTATAGAAAAACAACAACCCTTACTCGTAACGACCAATCAGGAGTCAGAGCGCGTGCGCTGATAGCTAAGTATCGGCTTCATTGCGTGCACATTCCTACTATCAGTGATATTTATTGCCAGACTTAGTATAAAATTAGTCGACTTTAGTGAAGTCGAATGCCTGAAGTTCGCGGAACAAAGACGAAGTAAACGCCAAAAACTTTTTATTGAAATAACTCGTAAAAATATACAATCTTAATATATATAAATTACGTGTCACGTTGTTTGTCCGCTATGGACTCCTAAACTACCGAACCGATTTAAATCAAATTTGCACACCGTGTGTAGTTTGATCAAACTTAAAAGATAGGGTAGCTTACATCTCAATATTATTTTATTGCAAAATATTTGTTTATTATTTGATTGTCACAATTCTAACAGATGGCGCTGTGTTGAAAGTACAAACGTTTCGCATAAGCTTTTAATGGCATAACCAACAAAAAATCATGGTGGTCTTCATGACTGGTGTTCTCCCTACCGTTTCCCTTGAATAGTATACTACTATATAATATAACAAAAACCTTAGCCGCAGCAACGCTTAGCCGGCCTGCTAGTATTTAATAAAATCGCTAGTAACAGCTCTCGGCCACACTAATTTGCTGTAATTCCTTTATTTGTGGCTTCATAATACTCGCCATGATTGAATAAAATTGAAATTAAACCAAAGTTAGAGATAATGTTTTTTTTTGTATCGAGAAATTTATATTGTATCGTGTTTTCGTATCGACTTCGCAGGGTTCACAGTAGCGATATTGTGTATTCAATATTATACAGAGTGGTCAAAAAGTCGTGGATCAAACGCAAATAGGGGATAGATGAGGTCATCAGCTGCAAAAAATTGTTCTACGGGAGGTCTCTAATCTCAACCCCTGCAGAATTGTAATTTATTTTGTGTTTTATAATAAAATTGACTTTTTTTTCCTATTAAAATTCGAAAAATTTTACACCCTGTATCTTTTTCATAATATCTAGATTAGTACTGATAATATAATTTTTTTTCAAATCAAAACTTTTTGTTTATTTCGGACCCCACTGTGGAAAATAATTACTCTACCGAAAAGTGCCCCTGTATTACAAGTTTTGGCGCATTTAATAGGAATTCTGAAAAGGTATTTTTAATACAGTTACTCAAAAAGTGGCGTATTGCAGGGACGTATAGCGTTCGGGATGTGGGCTATTACACACTCGTGCTTTTTTTTTACCTTTTCCGAACTAGTGCGTTTTCTTTCCCAACTGTCAAAATAATGTCTATTAAAAAGAAAAAACCAACCACGAAGTTTTTACTAAAAAAAATCATAGAAATTTTTATGATTCATGCAAATATTTCTAAAAAGAAGCTACTGCTTTGTTTCAATATCAGATTTAATTATTTGATTCAATGACTTAGGTTAGATTTCATTTCATCTCATTAAATTTCATTTCATATCAATAAAAAATTGTACTGAAGACTTGGCTGTTTGGGCATAGTTCCCTTTGCCTACCCAGAATAGGTGAAGAAAAAAAAAATCTGCTTATATTCTTTTACAGTTGGCGCCATTTTCCATAAATGTCCTTTGCGCGTTTAGTTGTTTGTTATATTATATATTAAATATACATGAAAAATCATACGAAATAAATAATAATAGTTTGTCTCAAACAGTAAATAAATATGCAACCTAAAACTTCTCCAGTTAGTATAAAAAACTGTACCAATGTATATGTGAACAATAATTTGTATAAGAAAAAAAAGGGTGCGTGTACTTATGTACGCGCGTAAGAAGTTATACTTCTTTGGCATTATTAAAAATAGTTTTTGATTGCATGCAAATAATTAATTACAATTAAATAATCAAAGACTGGAAAAGGAGTCATTAAAGTCAATAAAGTTCAGTTTACATTTGAAAAATTAATTAAATAAATATTTATTATTATTCTCTTATTTTATATATATATAAACACTATTTATCTTTAAAACATTTTTATTTCATTATACTATTTATTTTTAAGTGACTCTAATGTCTTCATCAGAATTTCGGTTTGTAATTTTAAATTAATCATTACTTGGTTGTGCATCTACGAGGCTTCTCCAAAACTACTTGCTTTCTGCAACAAATAAGAGAATATTAATTTAAGCTCTGTCCATGCAAAACTTAAATTTTTTTATAATTCATATTATAAATTTTTTAACACAAATTATATTAATATAATTATATAAATGTGTTAATAATATAATTTGTAGCACATGCTACAGACCTGGATAGCAACTTTCTTTTATTCTATTTAGAGATAGAGATAATTTAAATATAATACCGGTGTCTTCCTTGTAGGTTTCTTTGGAGTTGTTTGGGGATTCTTGTTGTTCAGTTCGACATGATTTTCTTTAACCTTTCTTTAATCCTACAAAATAATGAAATTGTTAAGTTATGTTGTCACTGTTGTGCACACCTTTGTTTGGCTTTTTTAGTATTCAAGTTATGTCAAAACTGATTTATTACCTTGTCATTGTTGGCTTTATTTGCTTTTGGGATATCAATTGTTTCCAAAATGATTTTATTTGTAATAACCTGAAATATATAAATAACATCTATTAATTTAAGTATCATGGTGAGTGGTTCGCACTCAGGTATTAAGGTGTATTATACCCACTGTCCATTATAAGTGGGAATGGGCTCACTTCTGGCAGGACAGAGTTTCGGTACTACAAGTGCAACATGGATGTTTTGAGGTATTACAATATCTCTAACTACCCTGTAGGGGAATAAAGTAATGTTGTAAGCATATGCCTATGCTTGAAAGGTTGAACCTTGAACATCACCATACATCATATTTATAATTAACATTCCTACCTCGACACCATCACAATCAAATTCATTGAAATCTACTTCAAACCATTGTGTCTCGAGAAGGTGATGGTGGCTTTGTTCCACCTCCAGTTTTTGATGTTTCACGGCGATAAGATGACAACTCTTTTTTTGTATTCAATTTAGTGCACTTCCACTGATTCATCAATTGTTTTTTGTCTCTTGTCCTTATATTTGCTAGATTAAATCTGATGTTTTGATTAAATAATGTGGTCATTTTTTTGAGATGCAGGTAATTATTAAAATGTTTACTTCTCTGTTATATCGCTCCAAGCCTTCATTTTCTCCTTATTAGTATTCGTGCTTAAATCTTTGTTCTCAATTATTGATATATAGGGTCGTAGAATATTTCTAAAAAGTTGCTGTAACAAACGCAATAAACAAAAGCAATGAATAATGGTTCATGTTTCAGTTTTAATCAACAATAATACTCGATAATACATACGGATAGTTAACCTCAATTGTATTGAAGCACTCAGGAAGGTTAGCACAGTTTTTTCACAAATATTTTATATTATTTCACAAATATTTTGTATAATGAAAATAACTAGGTATATAATTATTAATTTTAAACAATAATTAAAACTCCTATATTTGTTTAAAAGGTAAATGTCATTGTCAGATGTCAATTGTCATGGTCATTCAAAATTCTTGTTAAGCTGCTAAGCTAGAATATGCGTGAAGTTAGCTTCACGCATATTCTATTTCTTTTACTTGTAGTTTGTCTTATTCCCATCTCGCTCGCGCACGCTATATCACACTGCCAATTTTGTGTCATAGGTGCGCGCGCAATCGTAAAATTTCACTCTCATCAATTTTTCATAACGCGCCTAAAGAAGTACAACTTCAATAAATTATTAGTTAGTTGAGTTTATTGTTTTTTTTATTAAATTGCATAATTTTTTCGCAACTGTATTAAAAATAGTTGTTCAGTACACGTGCGGAACCGTCATTGTAACTTGTTGAATTTTGTTACGACCAGTCAGAGCCGATCAAATGCTATAACGACTTTAATGTTAATACACGGAACAAACGCAGGCTGCAATTTCCCCGTACTAGACTATCTAAAGTTAGTCATTCTTTTTTGGGAAAAGGGATACTCTTCTTTAATAAAATCCCAGAGGCTCTTTTATCTCTGCCTTTCAATAAATTTAAGAAATGAATTAAAGAAAAGCTGTGTAAAAAGGCTTACTATAAAGTTAACGATTATCTAGTTGATAAAAGGGCCTGGGACTAGTGCTAGACGGTCTACTTTTAATTAATTTGCGATATTTGTTTTAAAATGTTGTTTGATGATTTGCTGTTTTAAAAGAGTACCGAGAGTTTTTTACGCCGGCTTTTTCTCTCGGCCTACACCCTCTGTCTTCTTTTCCGATGAGTAGGGATGCCTAAAAGTTCAAATTTAATGACGTGGAATAAGTGATACATGTATCTTATGTTCCATAATAAACATATTTTATTTTTATTTTATTTTGGACAGACGTTCAGGGAACGCAGTACTGATGGAGCATTCAGTGGAGTATTGTGGTGATGATTTTGGATCGAGTTAGGTCGTAGATTGTGCTTAAAAGTGAGATCGGGGCTTTGAACCCGCTCGTTATTTAAGCTAAAGTTTTATTTATCACTAGCTGGCCTGGCGAACATCGTACCGCCTAACAGTCGATTCTTTATTTTTTTTTAAATACTTATTCTGCTATTCTTATTCTGCTAGTGGAGCTTATGTTCATGTTGTCTCGTTCACACGACTCGCCCATTCGAGAATCGTACGCACTCGCACGCGTGGCCCGCAGTTGCCCTTGTGCGTTGCATCAGTCGGTTGTCAATATGGAGGATAGAATTCCAATATTGATCAAGGATTTTATTTCCTTGATCGAAAAAAAAAATCGAATCGAATGGTTGCCGTGTGAACGATTGCATCGTATACGGTAAAACCGTATACGTGAAAAAATCGAATCGAATGGTCGCCGTGTGAACGTGGCCTACCGGTGACAACTTCGCACGGTATACGGTAAAATATATTTCTCGAACACGGGATTTTCCCGTATGAACGCCGTGTAAACAATTTTTAAGTTTTCATATATATTCTGTTGTCACTACTCTACTCGATAAAATCTCGTATACGGTATACGGGATAATAATCGCCGTGTGAACGTGGCCTAACGATATTTATCTGACACTATCGTATTGGATTTTAAGTAAACTGTATGTATTTTTTTTAATAAATATTACTTTACAGCATTCTGTAATAATATAAATGTTATTGAATTCTATATTATTAATAAAGCCTAAAAATATTATTAATTTCATTCTTAATAACGTGTGTGTACTAATGTTATGTACACGCGTCAGAAATTATACTTCTTTGGCGTAATAACACTCGAGCACTCTTCCCTCTTCGAATTGCATTTTTCTTATCCATTTTAATGGTCACTTCCAATCGATATAATATGTACTAATGATATTTTACCATAAACACTATGTTTAGAAATCATTATTTTGGTTTAAATCACGACTCTGAAAAACTACGCCATGACAGACAATGCAACTTGTCGATAAAACAGAGCAAGCGCCAACAAGCAGGCCAGACTGTTTTACCGACGTTTGAACAGATATTCAGGGTGTCGGTTTAAAATTACTCTCATCATTTCCCTAACGCGCCAAAAGTTTAACTACAAAACGAAAAAATCATTGCTGTTATCACATCTTCATTGGACTTGACCTCAAATCTCACGATTTTTTAAAGTGAAAACTTCTTTAGCGGCATTGTACACTTTTTTTTGGAATGGGTAAAAAATGTTAAACTCGCGTCAGGACACGTGACCTGATCGAAAATTCGTAAGACGGACAGAGAGTAGACAGCTGGCGCGGCGTATTTAATGTAATAAATAAATATTGTATTCTACATAAATGATAGTACTTTTATACTGATAATTAAAGCAATTCGTGTAAAATTATTCCCTAACCATTCCAAAATATCAAAAATACACAACGTTTATATTCAAGTTTTCTCTTCTGCCGGCACTCCCGGAGTGCAACCCGTCGTTTTTTTTTTAAATCACTTACCCTCCATCGTTGCATGTCGATAGAAACAATGAGTTGGTTTTTGTCACTAGCTGTATTCTGTGTCGCCAGCGCAGGCATTGGCTTCACAAACGGAAGCCCATATTCGTCATCTGAAAATATTAATTTGGGCCTTAATAACACTTTAATTAGTGGCGCTACAAGCTTTTTAAGTCTTGGCTTTCCGTAAACCCAACACGACGGCGTGTATCACAGGAGGCTGATCAGCTGCTGGCCTATTAGATTGACAAATGATCATGAAACACATACAGACATCTAAAGCCCAGACCTAAAAAGGTTGTAGCGCCACTCATTTGTTTTTTAGCGTATGAAAAAACAGTAAAAACAAAAATATATAAATCGAGGGTAGTATAGTGCAATTGCTACGCTAATTGTTTACATTACGAACAAAAAGAAATATTGGTTGATTCTCTCTCTCTACGTTGCGTCTCTTTGCGTATTCTACAAAGATTCCTCTTCCCTCGTTGAAACACGAGAGCCGTATCAATTCAAAAGTTCATCAATATCACCTTGATGGCTGAAAGTCTGAACCAGTGAACTGTGGAATCACCTTCAATTGTTTAAAGAAAGAGTATACATCTCGCTCAAAGGCCGGCAACGCACCTACTAAGGCAATTTCTGCCGCGCACCACCACTATATGGAACCAACTGCCCACTGAAGTATTTCCGAACCAATTCGACTTAGGGTCCTTCAAGAAAATAGCGCACCAATTCTTAAAAGGCAGGCAGCACGCTTGTGAGTTTCTGGCAGTGCGAATGTCAATTTTAATTTAAAAAAAGGGTACTTATGTACGCGCGTAAGTTATACTTCTTTGGCTTTCTTTATTTTTTTTTACGTTAAATAATTAATAATAAATATTTAACGTTAATAATTTAATAATATATAATATTATTCAATCATTAATTAATATTAATAATAATTATTTTTTTATTATTTTATTAATTCAATTTAATAACTAGGTATGTTTCATAACCTTTTAACTAAGTAACAATAGGTCTTTATGAAAAAGCATTGCTAAATTTCTTTGAAAAAATAATTAAAACTCCTTTATTTGTTTAAAAGGTACTACAAATGTCATTATGGTCATTCAAAATTCTTGGCATAGCTGCTAACTTCACGCATATTCTATTTCTTTTTACTTGTAGATTGTCTCATTCCCATCTCGCTCGCGCACGCTCGGCGCCCGCCCGTTTAAAAAGAATTCTTTAGTGGGCAACTTCATACTGATAATTTTGTGTCACGGTGCGCGCGCATCGTAAAATTTCACTCTCATCAATTTTTCATAACGCGCCTGAAGAAGTATAACTTCAAAAACATAATTCCTATAAGGTAATTCGCCCTTCTCACTTTCAATCGGTCTCAATAGCTCTCTCCCTTTTCTTCGACAAAAACGCTGCACATCTACGTGACGCTTATATCATTATTGCGTTTCATCCATAAAAAATTAAGCCCTCATGCGCCTAAGGAGGTTTCGCTTCAAAAATATATATACAAATACCTTCAAACACAGAAATAAGTCCGTCCCGTACTAAAAATGACAGGTAGTAAATATTTTCAATGGTTCGACTAAAGCTCGTAGGATCCAATACCATATGGTAGTAGCTGATTGGTCCGTTTCGGCACGCCTTGTTTATAAACCGGTTAACCCTACCCACCATCTCAGAACCTTCATCGGTTTTCTCCAACCTGGAATAGTTTATCTTAATATAATTAAATAAATAATTAAAATATTATAATCTTATATAATTGACAGCTCATTGTCTAATGGTTAGTACCCCTGACTGCGATTCATGGGTCCCGGGTTCGATCCCCGGCTGAGACAAACATCGATGTTATGAGCATTTGGTGTTGTGCTTAGGCCTTGGGTGTTATAAACATGTATTTATATGTCTATCTATCTAAAATATGTATGTATATCCGTTGCCTAGTACCCATAACACAAGCTTCACCAGCTTAGCATGGGACTAGGTCAATTGGTGTGAATTGTAAAAAAAAATATATATATATAATATATCTTAATCTTAATATATATAAATTACGTGTCACGTTGTTTGTCCGCTATGGACTCCTAAATTACCGAACCGATTTCATTCAAATTTGCACACCGTGTGCAGTTTGATCTAACTTAAAAGATAGGATAGCTTACATCTCAATATTATTTTATTGCAAAATATTTGTTTATTATTTGATAGTCGCAATTCTAACAGATGGCGCTGTGTTGAAAGTACCAACGTTTCACATAAGCTACAATTTAATGGCATAACCACCAAAAAAGCATGGTGGTCCCATGACTGGTGTTCTCCTACCGTTTCTCTTGAATAGTTTACTACTATGTAATATAACTAAAACCTTAGCCACAGCAACGCTTGGCCGAGTCTGCTAGTTAATTAGCGTCCCAAGTCAAAGCCCCTTTGCGTGTTAAGCTTAGGTTTCCTAGAAAAGCGGTGCCGTTATCTAACGGCCGTAATGTAACGTTGGGTGACGTCACCCATACGTTGTCTATAAATAACATTGGAATAGGTTTTCTAGAGAACGTTGAGTGTCACCGTAACGTCAAATAACGGTGCTGTCATTTGCATGACGGCCGTCATAGCGGTGATAAACATTAGTTCAACGTTTTTCGCGTGTAGCGGTGCGCATATTTAATTAATACCATGAGTGGAAACGTGACTTGGACGAAAAAAGTAAAGACGGCCGTTATTAACAACCATCAAATGACGGCCGTTAGTTAATGGCACCGCTTTTCTGGGAAACCTAAGCTTTAGGCTATACAAATATTATATAAAAGTCAAAGTCAAAAATCATTTATTCATATAGGTAACACAATGTACACTTATGAACGTCAAAAAAAATGTGTATAAAACGCTTCTAATTTTACATTTACGGCCAGTTCTCAAATCAAGGCGTAGAACGGAAGAGAAGAACTGGCAATAAACTCTGCGCCACTCTTTATAAATCTAATATATAAAATTCTCGTGTCACAGTGTTAGTAATTCCTCCGAAATGGTTCAACCGATTTTCGTGATTTTGTGTGCATATCGGTTAGGTCTGCGAATCGGACATCTATTTTTCATCCCCCTAAATGTTTAGGGTTTAGGGGATAATTTTTTTCTTCTTTTCTTGTTAATTAAAAACTTATGACTTGAACTCTGAAGTTTATATAGAGAAAAAATCACAGAAAATCCTAAGTTTTAATTCTGGAAAACTGAACAGTCTCTGGGGTAGCATAGCAAAATGTTCCATGTTGGTATGTACTAAAAAGGTAGGCTAAGTAAAATCACATTAAGGTGAAACGAAGTTCGCGGGGGCAGCTAGTATAAATAAAAACATAAATACACTTTTGTATTTGCTTTTTGCTTTGGAAGCGTTCAAGTATTACGTCACGCAATTTTTGGAGATTATTGCCCCCCCCCATGTAACGCGCCGTAACGTTTTTCTGTACCCAAGTATAGTAAAACGTTTATTGACCACCTAGTGACTCTTTATAGTTAAAAGTTACCCTTATGTAGTGTAAAGTACTGGAAAGTCGAAAATAATATTAACAATAACGCTTAATTACGCGTTATTGTTAATATTATTTATATATTATATTCCTCAGTTTTATAAAAAGTTTCATATATATGAATCAAAGGTTCAATCTCCCCCCCAAAATTCATTACGTAATACTTGAACGCTCCCTTATCTGGTTTTTGGCCAATTTAACTCACCTCTCCACATTCTCAGGAGCTTTTAATTGAGCAGCCTGCTGCCTCTCCACTCGTTTCCTAGGAGCTCTGGGTCTCTGCTCGGGCGGTGTAGGCGCAAATGTTCCATGTAGTGATGAAATAACAGGAGCTTCACGGGGGAAGGCAAACGTCCAGAATTGTGGATTATCCCGCTGTGGATAAAAGAAGACATCATCCACTAGGTTTGTTTATGATTGATCGCTTTTAGATTTGGCAACCAGATAGCAGAAACATTACCACAGGTGTCTCAAAAGAAAGTTTACATTTATTTATTTAGCGTTATGTGAAAATGTTGGACGACTTCTTGATGCCTGAACTTCAAAAAGTCTTTGATAGTCAGTACTATTATACTTTGTTTAATATACTCTAATATCATGCAAGACAACGTCCCTCGGGTCTGCTAGTATTTTTAATAGAAACACATTGAAATTTATTAAAACTATAATATTAAAAATTGTACTTACAATATGAAGTGCCAGCTCATGTTTGTCATATCTGTTCTCGATACCGCTGACTGCTAATGAACAGCTAATCGCCAAATCACTTGCGACACGTAGAACTCTTGAATCCAAATAACTCTCACCTATTTTAAATAAAAGACACAAAATGTATGTTATGTGTTCATACAAAGTTCTAATTCTGATGCACATTAATTAATATAGAATAAACTTGACAATTGATATTGATTGTATGTTATAAACAGTATGCAGTGGCGTAACAGGTTGGCAGGGCTGGCGAAATGCCACGGGCCCCAACCCACAAGATATTAAGTTCTATGGATGAATGTGAAGTCTACAATACACATTGGGCTAGCGTTGGGACTACAGACCATTCCCTCTTGCCAAAGAGAGGAAGCCAATGGCCATTTGTGGGACATATACAATGTGTAATTGAGTACTCTGAAAATCTAGAAGTTTTTAGAATTAAACTGAGTAGGGATGATTTTTACTGATAGGGCCCCATCAAAAGAAGATTGGCCACGGACCCCAGATGTTATAGTTATGCCACTGAAAGTATATAAATAACACTGCAAGTGAAAATTTAAACTTTTATTGGCATTTTGAAAGACAGGAAAAACTAATTAGTTGTTAACTTTACTGAAGTAGAAGAAAGCCCTGATCTTGATCTCATCTCAATAAATTCCTAAGAAAACAAACTTTTAAAGCCAAAGTTGTAATGAAACAGAGTTTAATCATAAGAAAAATGAGTTTATACTTGTACATGGAATAGCAGAATACCTTAGATAGAAAAATACTGATGACTTACCCGGATGCCGAACTCTTTCTTCTACCCCGCCTTGAGCAAGTAATGTCTGTACTTCTTGCACAGCTTCTGTGGTCCGGTTCATCCGTTCTTCATTGTTGTCATTTTCTTGCTCTAGAAAGTTGTTGTTTTTTTAAATTATGAAGAATTTTAGTTAAGCTATGCATTTAACGCTTAGTAAAAAAATTAAAAAAAAAACATTCTTTTCACTCTGCCAATTATACGGTCATATATTAAGTAAATTTTTGAATAAAATAAAATAAAACTTGTTATTTTAACTGTGCGGAAAATGATCTGCAAATTCGAAATTATTACAATCAACAGATGGTTGTAAGAAACAACTGGCTGGTTACTTTTTCATTTTAAAGAAAAATTAAAACTTACCTGTACTGAGAATTTGAAGTATATCTCGAAGCCTGGATTTTCTTTCATTGCTCATGATATATTTACTGATAATTAGGAAGATCGACAGCTACTTGACATTTCCTAATTTAAATAATAAAAACATCCGGCAATCGGAAAACGCAAAAACAGTGTTGCAATCGAAAAAAATATAGCTTTAGTGTGCGTTTTCCAATTACAGCACTAGAGCGCATTTTGCGGCATAATGCTCAACGTCGAGTGTTCCAACTACAGCAACGCTTCGCACAATTGAGCACTCTCAAAACGAATGCTCTCGCGAGCTTCTCGCAAACAATACCAACACAGTGACAGAAAATTGACCAGTATTTTTCTTTAAGTTGGCATTTATCGAAATTTTCGTTAGTAAATATTATTTATTGTTGAAAAATTTGTAAGGCTTTCGTTTCGTCGTAGATTTTGAAAATAATTAAAGTTATTTCAAACTGCTAAAAAAAATATTAGTATGGATGATAAATAGTTACTTTTTTTATATTCCACATTTAAAATATGAATACAATTTTATTTTAAAATTCGGATCTGTAAACAAATTTATTTTACAGGATTATACTTTAGAAAAAATTGCAATGGTTTTGAAAAAGTATATAATTTTTTTAGAAATCATTAAAAAATATTACTCAAAACGTAAATGATGTAAACTTCTTACATAAAACTAAATATTTTACTGTTAATTTAGCTTGTTAAAACCTTATATTCTTTAAAGGTTTTCTATTATTTCAATAAAAAAATGTTAATGAAATAATTTGATGATTAAAATAAGCGTAAAAAGTTTTCAACCAATTATTATTGTTTACCACATTATTTATACATTAATGAGGTTGCTAACTCAATTCATACAAATTCAACATTTTTTTTACAACACTGACTTAGCGCACTCTGCTGATGCATTTGAAAACTAATTCACGTTCCAATTAAGCTTCAGCATTATGCGGCATTGTGCGGCACTGAGTCGCAAAATGCTCTGTAATTGGAAAACGCACAGTATATGCAATGGTGAAATGATCCTCTAAATATTGTTTATCTGTTATAATATATAATATCTCTAGTCTCTACACAGTCATAGAATAATGTGTTATAAATTATCAAGAACATTGAATATATTAGCAATGGACACCATTTTTAACGAAATGGTATGTAATTTATATTTTTATATAAACAAGTAATTTATAAGTGACGAAATTGGTAACTATTACTTCGCCGAGAATTTTAAATAGGTACTTACAATTGGATTAATTTATCTTGATACTGTTAAATTTTTATTTGTCTTTAGTATTAATGAACATGAAGTATACAGGGCGTCCCAAAGTTATGGGACATGAAGGGAAAGTACCTTAAATATCGTAGATAGGGTATTTTACTGAAAGAAGACTTTATGTTATATATTAATTTTATATGAATTATTAAGATATTCTTAAAATAACTTGCCTCGTTTGGGAATCGAACCAACTTAAATGTAAAAAAAACACCCCTACTTTAATGATGCTAATCGAAAGAATGACCAAAAACTAATAACTCTTCTTAAGTAACATAGTATTTTAAAAGAAAGGAAAAGCGTGAAATTAATAATTTTAATCAAATTAAAAATATTATCTATCGTATTTGGTCTGAAGAAAATCCCCTACGAGTCACTGAAACGAATAACCAAGTGCGTTTTTCACTCAACCGTTGGTGCGGACTTTTAAAAAACTTTACTTTGTCCATTCCATTTGGATTTACTTAATCCATTCTGGATTTAGTAACTTCGGAAAACAATAAAAGTATTGGCAACTTTCTACATTAAGCCGTTTATCATTTTTTAAACATTTTCAGTGTTGCCTACGTAATGTATATAGTTATTTGTAGAAACAATATATCGGGCTCATAAGATAGGAAAATATGTAATGAAAAATAAATCAATCGTAAATTAATTTAATATAATATATCATTTCGGTTTGAATACTTCATCTATCTCTTAGGGCTATAAGGGCGCAGACATGTTTTTGTTTCACTACTTCAAGTTGTTAACATTTACGACAAACATCATTACAATGTAAATCATTTGCACGGAGCCATTCCTTTATATCTTATATTTTAGATACGATTGGCTTGTGGGGGCGGTTTGTTAATACGTACGGAATAATAACTAGAGTCTGGCTAATGGAAGAAGATAATTGAATTATTTGAAAACTTTCGGATGGCAACACAGAATGTCATTGGATTTCTTAGGTTTGTATGATTTGTTGTCTTGATACTTCATGCAATTACTCATTTTTATTTCTATTATAGATTTTTTTTTACGAATAGTTAACACGTATAATACCCATAACTTTGTTTTATTGATATTTTGGATTCTGATTTTGATTATTCCGAATAATGTTGTGTTTTATAATAAATATAGTTTTAGTTTTCCATGCAATGCTAATCATGTTAAGTATCAATAGTAAAAGACTAAATACGTTTAGTATTTAATTTCATAGAAATACAGTTACTATCAATGTAGAAAATAATAAAATAAAATCAAGTATCAAGTAAGTTTAATCCACAAAATATATCAAACATTTAGGGATACCATACTAAAAAAATTTGAATTTGCCGCGCGTTGTCGTTATCTTCTTATGTCTCTATCTGTCGTTATCTTCGCCAGACTCTAGCATTATCCGTAACAATTCATGAAGGTCTTATTAGATTTGGAATTAGCGTCTGTCACCCACATTGAGTTTGAATATATAAATAATGGCAGGCAACACGTGTCACATATGAAGAAATTTTTTTATGTTTAGAATATTAGAATTTAGACGGCTCATTGGTCTAGTGGTTAGTACCCCTGACTGCGAATCCATAGGTCCCGGGTTCGATCCCCGGCTGAGACGAACATCGATGTGATGAGCATTTGGTGTTGTGCTTAGGTCTTGGGTGTTTAAATATGTATTTATATGTCTATCTATCTATAATATGTATGTATATCCGTTGCCTAGTACCCATAATACAAGCTTCACCAGCTTAGCATGGGACTAGGTCAATTGGTGTGAATTGTCCATAAAAAAAAAAAAAGGGTGCGTGTACTTATGTAGGCGCGTAAGAAGTTATACTTCTTTGGCATTATTAAAAATAGTTTTTGATTGCATGCAAATAATTAATTACAATTAAATAATCAAAGACTGGAAAAGGAGTCATTATAGTCAATTAAGTTCAGTTTACATTTGAAAAATTAAATAAATAATTATTATTTATTATTATTCTCTTACATTAAGTGTAACATAAATTCTATGTAGTTAAAAGTATATATAATTATATATTTAGAACATCTCTACCAAACACTAAGAAGTATGTTGTAGCTTTGGCAGTATTGCACAATATAAAATTAATAAATTTCTTTGAAAAAATAATCAAAACTCCTTTATTTGTTTAAAAGGTAAATGACAAATGTCATTATGGTCATTCAAAATTCTTGGCATACGAACTTCACGCATATTCTATTTCTTTTTACTTGTAGATTGTCTTATTCCTATCTCGCTCGCGCACGCTATAATCACACTCCCAATTTTGTGTCATAGGTGCGCGCGCATCGTAAAATTTCACTCTCATAAATTTTTCATAACGCGCCTAAAGAAGTATAACTTCAATAATGCCTGTTTTAATTTTATATAAAATGATTGTTTTATGAAAATTTACTTATTTTCAAGACGGAAAGTGTAACATTTTAAACCTAAAGTAATGTCAATATGTAAGTGTGTAATGTTACTAATATAATATATACATATATTAAACATGAAGAAAGTGTTTTAAAATAGCCCCTTGCCTCAAAAGTCCCCTCAAAATTAGAAACGTCCAAGTTCCAAGAAAGAAAATCACAAAATCTCAGCAGCGGTTGTCAGTGTTGCCAACGACACCGGGACTGATATCGCCATTTTTTACAGCATGAGTACCCTAATGTAGCCGAATTTAAGGATCTGTAGCCTAAAAAAGGAGCCGAAATATAAAAATAAAATAAAATTGTAGTGTATATTTAATTTTACCTTTATTTATACTCATCGTCATTTGTGGTAGCTGACGTGCTGGCGCAAGGTTCACTAACACTGCTGATGTTGGAGGCAGTGTACATTTTCCTGCCAGCATGTAAACTGATCATTTGATAACTTGGTTGGAAGCTGTTACAGCAAATACTTCTGACATTCATATGTGTTCAAATTCTAAGGATAGCGATCAGCATTAGTTGCATTCTGTTCATTAGTTTTGTCTTCACCGTCCCCATCACGCTAAAAATTCTTTCTACGACCGCTTTACTCAAAGGTAAAGAAAGACAGCGTAAGGAAAACTCCGCTAAGTCTTTGAACATGAAATTCCTATGAAATGCTCGAGAAAAGCAGTGCTTCGCTGTTTGTAGAAATAGTCTCTTTTGCAAGTAAATCATTGAACTTATCACCAAAATCGATCGAATCCAGTAGAAGCAACGAATTTTCAAATGATGCTTCGGCTTTGTCTAATTCTCGCTTGACAGCTGCTATATCCGCTTCATGAAGTATTGCGATTCAGGCGTATTCAGACAGGCTTTGACCTCTCAGAAATACTGGTTTGGAAACACGTCTTGCAGTGTAAACAAGAAGAACTCGTATTTCAATGTATAATTTTGTTATATTTGCTTGAAAAACAACATTCTCGTTTATTATTTCTTTTAGCATTGGTGACAGAAATAACAAATACCTATAATAAATTTGCGTCGCATTGTACATGCCAGCAAATTCCTTAACTGTATAACATCCCTCGTCTGATGATCTCACCATTTTGAAGGGAGTTCTAAGCTCAAGCCCCTGGATGTTTGCATTAACTGCTGCGTAAAACGCAATCCATCATGTGGCAGAAGATTGAGTTAGTTTACACGGTTTTTTGATTGATTATCATAGTTTCATGACATGTCCCTGAAGTAGCCTTTCAGATCTTTTCATCGCCGATTACAGTCCTGAGTAGCCTAAATGGCGATAAATCGCCTACGTTGATAACACTGGTGGTTGTCAGATCTCGTACATTGATTTGATGGATGACACTTGGCATTGCCATATGAAAATCTCTTTTATTTATTTTTGTTGTACATCATTGTACACATTTAACATTATCTGTAACTTTTACTCCACGATGTCACTGTCATATATTTTAGAAATTGAAGGAATGCGATAAACGCGGCCCCGACTTTTGAGTTTTGAGTTATCATAATTCATAGGATAGTGAACTAGTTAGTAGATTTGATAGCTTAATTTTCTGAAAAGACTAGCTTTAGTAATATTTTATTTTATTTCAAATGAATTATAAAACAGTTGAAATATTTACAATTGATTACCATAATCTTCAGTTATTATACCACAAATTTAGTAGTGTTTAAAATATGTTCTTAAGTATTGTGAGGTTATATTATTTTTCCTAACTTTTAAAGCGTGTTGGTGCTTTGAAATGGATTCGGGACCTGCCCAAGAAGTAACCGAGTTGTTGCGACAATGGGAAGAGCAACAGGCGACACCAAATTATGATCCCATTCCAACTTTGACTAGGTAATTGGTCGGCATCTTCTTGTTGTGTGGACATTGCCGTTATTTAATGTTTTCTTGCTCAATATAACTTTTTACGACTCGAAAATCTTATGTATTATACTTCTGTTATTAATTGTAAAGAAATTGTTAACTTTATTATACATTATGTAGATATGAAAGTTTATGTTAGTGTATACATTCCGTTATTCATAGTAAGTAGTATTGAAATGGGTAAGTTCGGATATAATTAATTAGACCTCCCGCGAGTGACCTACTTTAATACTATTTAAAATAATGTAAACCAAGTGGAATAGACCTGACTAGTTTAAATTGGTCTAACTTGTTATTTTTCTTAAAGGTTTTACAACATAACTAAAACATTTTATTATTGCATTCAAAACCGACATTGTTAATCCATTAACAAACATTGTTTCAATAATCTGGCAAACTTTTGTGAAAGCGTGTTTGATCATGTTATTACTTGTTAGTGATAACTGAAATTTGTGTCTGAACTAAATAGAAAAGGCGTACTTCAGATTCAAACACACATAAGTGATATAAGACGGTTAAATAAAAACATATTTACAATATCTTCCTACAATATCCTTATGCTATTTAATTTTTTAATTAATGATTAGAATATCATTGTAATCCAAATTCATGTTACAGTTAAATCATTTCAATGTTTTCAGGATAGCAGAGATAATAGAAGCAGAGACAGAGAATTTTATGAAAAAGGACCCAGATCCATTTGATGAAAGGCACCCATCACGAACGGATCCAGAGTGCGCATTGGGACATGCCCTTAAAGTTATGTTTAAGAAAGACAACTTTATGACTAAGGTGAGTCTTTTAAACCTTACCTTAACTGGTAAGTCACATGTGTCCACATTCTAGGTCAGCGCAGGTCGGGTTAGATTTTATTAATTATAGATGTCTTCACCACCTTGTCTATAAAGAAAAATTATCAAGCAAAGATGAAGCACGGCTTGTTCGGTGTATATTCATAGATAATATAAACAATTTATTTTTTCATTTCAGCTAGTTAATGATTATGTTCGTGATACATACTATTCAAGACAGAATATTATCGGCCGTGATGTTAACAAACTAAATGTTGTTGCTTGTCGACTCACACTTGACCTAATGCCTGGATTGGAAATGAGTGTTGTGTTTCAGGTATTGTAAAATATTTGCGTATTTACAGTGATTAGTAGTTATTGAATTGTAATTTAAATCAATTGATCAGTATTTGTTATAACTTCATATTATCTTATGTTTTAAATTTATAAAGTTAATTAAGCACACACAATATTAATTTTTAGTTCAAAGAATACATGTGTTCTTTAAATTTTTCTAGTTGCGAATAGTCTATTAAAAAAAAAAGTAGCGAAATGTAATTATCAGTCAGCTGCATCTATACTATTAAACAGTGGTAGGATTAACATATTTCAAGCGCTACAAAGAAAACATAATCATACCTGAGGTCGTAGGTTGATCCCCAATGTACTTTCTATGTGCGCATTTAACATTCGCCTCAAAGGTGAAGAAGAACATTGTGTGGAACCCTGCCTTGCTTTGCCACGCAAAAAGATCACCTTCTTCCCTATTTTTTTTAGTGGGAGTGCCATGCTGTTGCCTTCGGGCTTCAGCCAAATGGGCAGGCACGACCGGGCAGTACCACTGTCTCTCAGAAAACCGGCGTGAAGTGATGCAAAAGGTTCGCCTTCTTGTACTCGCGTTTCGTGCGGTGAGAGAGATTCCCGGAGCCCATCCCCCCCACACACACAAGAAATATGAAGGTGCAGAAAAAACAGAATCTACCCCAGGGGGTACCACACGCGCTCGCGGTGGAGAATCCCCCTCTGGGCGTCCACCACCGGGACACTCAGCACCCGGTGGTGGACGCACAGGCTGCCCTTCGTATTCTGGGGGGGCAATTCTGCGCTCTACAAAAATAGTAATCGTCCTCGGGGCAAACGGAGCAATTATACAAAGGCACCCCCGTCCACACTCGCCGTGGACTTCACAAATGTTAGGGGGCTTAATTCTAACATCAACGCTGTCCACTATCATCTAGAGACTGCGAAGCCGGCCTTGCTCTTTCTTACCGAGACTCAGATATCCTCCCCGGCTGATACTTCCCACCTATCCTACCCGGGGTACAAATTGGAACATTCATTTGTGCCGCGGGCTGGAGTTTGCGTGTACGTCAGAGAGGATATCTGTTCTCGTCGCCTCGGGACGCTTGAAGGAAGGGACCTATCTAACCTCTGGCTGCGCGTAGACTGCGATGACCATCCGCGATTCTACGCATGCCTGTATAGGTCCCATAGCGGAAATACCGAAACTGACCGACTCATTGAGCACATCCAAATGGCTACAGATTCCCTGCTCGAAAGGGTTCCTACCGCTGAAATCGTGATACTTGGCGATTTTAACGCCCACCATGCCGATTGGCTCGGCTCTGAAACCACCGATCACGCGGGAAGATCCTTTCACGACTTTGCTTTAGCCTACGACCTGACACAAATGGTCCCTGCGATTACGCGAATACCAGATGTGGATGGTCATAAACCCTCTTTGTTGGACCTTCTGCTGACTTCTCATCCGGAGAACTATCAAGTCTCTGTTGACCCGCCATTGGGTTCATCAGATCATTGTGTGGTCCGGAGTACTGTGCCATCTACGCGCCCTTCACGGCCCCGCTTTATGGGTTGTCGCCGTATTTGGCACTATAAGTCAGCAGATTGGGACGGGATGCGGTCTTTCTTTGCGTCCTACCCTTGGGGGCCTATGTGCTTTTCGCCGGAAGCTCCAGATTCCGTCGCCGCCTCTGTCGCCGAAGTGGTTCTGCAGGGCATGGAACTCTTTATTCCATTTTCTGCGGTGCCGATCGGTGGCAAGTCTCAGCCCTGGTTTAAACGTTCTTGCAAGGCGGCCTCGCGTCGAAAGCGAGAATGCTTTAAGGCATGGGCGGAAGCGGCGAAATCTCGTGATGCCAATACCAGCGAACTTAAAAAGCATATAACTCAGCCTCCAGGTCCTTCAAACGGGAAATCACTAAGGCAAAGTCAGAGCACATTGCCAGATTTGGCGAGAGATTGGCCCAACTCCCATCAGGGACTCGAGCCTTCTGGTCTCTCGCCAAAGCTGTCCAAGGGAATTTTTGTCAGCCCGCCATTCCGCCACTGCACAGGGAGGATGACTCTCTGGCCCACACTGCGAAGGAGAAGGCTGACCTTTTGGGCTGTCTCTTCGCGTCTAACTCGACTTTGGATGACCGAGGGAGATCACCACCGACCATTTCGCGGTGTGATTCTTCGATGCCGGAAATCACATTCCGGCAACGTGCTGTCCGCAAAGCACTATCTTCCTTGGACATTCATAAGTCGAGCGGGCCGGATGGTATCCCCCCAATTGTGCTGCGTACTTGTGCTCCTGAGTTGGCTCCGGTCTTAACGCGCCTTTTCCGGTATCTGTACTCGCTCGGCACTGTCCCGAAGTGCTGGAAGACCGCTTTGATACATCCGATCCCTAAAAAAGGCGATCGCTCTGATCCGTCCAACTATCGCCCAATAGCTATAACCTCCTTGTTCTCCAAAATAATGGAATCCATTGTTAATTGCCAGCTCTTGAGGTATCTAGAGGGCCACCAGCTGATTAGCGATTATCAGTACGGCTTTCGTCGTGGTCGTTCGGCTGGTGACCTTCTTGTATACCTTACACATAGATGGGCAGAGGCAATTGAGTCCAAGGGGGAGGCGCTAGCGGTTAGTTTGGACATAGCGAAAGCCTTCGATCGGGTGTGGCACAGAGCACTGCTCTCGAAGCTTCCAGCCTATGGGCTTCCCGAGAAATTACGCAATTGGATCTCCAGCTTTCTGGCCGATCGGAGCATCAAGGTCGTCATCGACGGAGCATGTTCCGACCTAAAACCCGTAAACGCTGGGGTCCCACAAGGCTGTGTTCTATCCCCGACCCTATTTCTTCTGCATATCAATGATATGTTGAAACTTAGCAACATTCATTGCTATGCGGATGACAGTACTGGGGATACTTTTTACACTGGCCGGGCAGGTATTTCTCGGGCAGTTGTTGATGAGTACCGGAACAAACTTGTGTCTGAAGTTGAAACTCTACTTCGTGGAGTCTCAGATTGGGGCAGACAAAACCTAGTCCAATTTAACCCCAAGAAGACACAAGTTTGCGCGTTTTCCGCTAAAAAAACACCCTTTGTCGCTACTCCTCTTTTCGAAAACACTCTTCTTAAAGCCACAGCCAGCATTGGAATACTTGGCGTTGACATATCGAGCGACGTTCAGTTTCGCGGTCACTTGGAGGGAAAGGCTAAATTAGCCTCCAAAAAGCTTGGTGTGCTCAGTAAGGCGAGACGGTACTTCACTCCGGGCCACCGCATGCAACTATATAAAGCGCAAATTCGGCCCCACATGGAGTACTGCTCTCACCTCTGGGCGGGGGCTCCCCAGTACCAGCTCCTTCCACTTGACCGTATACAACGCAGAGCGGTTCGAATCGTTGACGACCAATCCCTCTCCGAGCGGCTTGATCCTTTGGCGTTGCGTAGAGATGTGGGGTCACTCTGCATCTTCTACCGCATTTACCATGGAGAGTGTTCAGAGGAGTTGTTCGGATTAATACCTGCAGCTGAGTTTCATCATCGGACGTCGAGGCAGAATACGAAATTCCACCCGTATCACCTCGACGTCCGACGTTCCACAACTGAGCGTTTCTCAAGGCAGTTTTTGCCGCGCACCACCACTATGTGGAACCAGCTGCCCACTGAAGTATTCCCGAACCAATTCGACTTAGGGTCCTTCAAGAAAAGAGCGTACCAATTTTTAAAAGGCTGGCAACGCACTCGCGAGCCCTCTGGCATTGAGAGTGTCCATGGGCGGCGGTATCACTTAACATCAGGTGAGCCTCCTGCCCGTTTGCCCCCGTTCTATAAAAAAAAAAAAAAAAAAAAATATTAGATTGATATGAAACAGATACAGTCAAACCTGGATAAGCGAGAGTTCAAGGGAGCCCAATCTCATTCTCGCTTATAGAGGTTTCTCACTAACCCGAGTTTCCCGCTAATGCCGGTACATGGGTAACGTTTCTCTCTTATAAAGGTACGAATGTAGTAAGTATGTAATATGATAAAATTATGTCCATAATGTGCACAACATATATTATATACATATATATTTTATTTTATTTAGAACTTAAAAAATCCGTCAATTTCGTTTGAGTTTCTGTTTTTGTATTTTGAATGTTTTTCTCTAACTAATAAATTTTGTCGAATATTGCTTGATCAACAACCGCCGCGTATTCAAAGTACAAGCTCGACTGTCGCTTATAGAGGTATAGATAAGTAGCAGTCTCACTTACGGAGGTCCAAGAGGGAAAAACGACTCTCTTTTACAGAGGTTTCTGTTTCTCGCTAATAGAGGTTTTGGGACCTTAAAATTACGGGTCCCGGCTATTACTCTCACTTATAGAGTTTTCTCACTAATCCAGTTCTCACTTACCCAGGTTTGACTGTACACACATCTGAGGCCCAGGCCTAAAAAGGTTGTAAGTGGCCGTTCAAGTAATACGTAAGCATTATAGGGTGAGGGGGCCTTTGATTTTCTTATTCGGTGATGACGTCAACAGTAATTATTTACTTTTTTACACATATTGTCTATGCTTGAAAACTAAATGCATTTTCGAGTATTTCTACAAAAATTAATATGTCTATGTACTCGGTTTTTTGAGAGCTTTGCTTACTTTTGCTGACAAGAGGAGGGGGGGAATAAATTGCAGTATATACTACTAGCTGATCCGGGAAACGTCATTTTGCCATGTATTTCATTTATAATAAAAAATAGGGGTTGATCGTAGAGGGGTGAAAATTAGGGGTTGTATGTATTTTTTAATGCTGTATCATAAAAAAATATAAAATAAGTAATTTATCTAAAAATTAAAAAGAATAATTTAGGGGTGGACTACCCTTAACATTTAGGGGGATGAAAAATAGATGTTGTCCGATTCTCAGACATACCCAATATGCACAAAAAATTTCATAAGAATCGGTCAAGCCGTTTCGGAGGAGTATGGCAACGAAAACTGTGACACGAGAATTTTATATATTAGATTTATTGGAGATTGCTAAAAATATCCTTGGTATTGAGACGAGGGGGCTATAACAACATGTATTAATAATAATAATATGAGTCTTTATTCAGACAAGATACCATTTTCCTTAAGCTAGACTATACATGTACTGAAAAAAAAATAACTTAAATATAACATTTCCTTGACAACCTTGTCTGTTTACCTTTTTTTGGCTAAGGCCTCCTCCGATTGCCACCATAAATTTCTGACCTGGGCAGTCCAATAACAACATGTACTTGGTATAAATATTAGAATCTTAAAAGTAACTTATAAAATACTAGTAGACTCGGCCAAGCGTTGCTGTGGCTAAGATTTTTGTTATATTACATAGTAGTAAACTATTCAAGGTAAAGGGTAGGAGAACACTAGTCATGGGGACCACCATGCTTTTTTGGTGGTTATGCCATTAAATTGTAGCTTATGTGAAACGTTGGTATTTATTTTGATAAGGACCTAGGTACGAATAAAGAGCCTTTTCTAGCGGTGGTATTTTAATTAAGAAAATTAATAAAAGAACGCTTATTGTGACGTAACTATAAAAGATAGAGACATGCTGTCGCGACATTTTTTATAGATAGTGATGTGTCCTGAAAAATTGTAATACATCATTTTGTTCTATAATTAATACTTTTCGCAGCGCACACGATTGAAGGAAGTTTTTTGTTTATTTTTTACACCTTGAGTTAGATTATTCAAGTTTTAGTAGGCATCCCTATTTTTTTTGAAAATGAAACATAGCCTATGTCACTCGGGAATAGTGTAGCTTGACAACGGTGAAAGAATTTTTGAAATCGGTCTAGTAGTTTCGGAACCTATTCATTTCAAACAAACCAAAAAATCAAACCTTTTTTTTTTTTTTTTAAATTATTTGTATTTCAGGATAATGAAAACCTTATAAATAGATTAGTGGGTTGGGCTACAAATTCACAAGAACCATTACAATCCTATGCAACAGGTCTACTCGCTGCTGCAATGGAAGTTCAGGAAATTGCCACAAACTTTCGGTAAATAAAAATCATTTAAACATATAGTAACATAATGTACACTTATGACTTGTCAGTAAAGATATACATATTAATGCTACTAATTTTACATTTACTGCCAGTTCTCAAATTAAGGGCATAGAACGGGAGAGAAGAACTGGCAATAAACTCTCCGCCACTCTTTTTAATCGCCAAGTTTTTTGTTTTACACAACGTTTGTAAGGAGCTGCAACCATTACACCATGTGACATTTTAAGTAATTAAGAATAAAATAAATTAAAAACAAAGATTTGTCCTCTATCAGCAGGAGGCATGGTGAAATAGGAGCACGCACTTACATTCTCGAGGGAACAACACGCAAATACATAGTCGAAATAACTTACTCTGCGAACTCTGTAACTGACCTTGCGATAGTAACCAACTCACTTTCAATTAGTTATATTAGCTAGTAATTTTGATATTATATAAATTTGTTTCTTATACACAAACGATTTGAACTATTCGCTGATTTTTAATTCCGTGGAATTGTGACATTTCATAAGTGATGCTACTAAAAAGTTCTCCACCGAAAAAGGGACAAATTTGACCCATGAGGGCAAAAAATAAAATGCCACTTCTTTATGTTTTACTTACAAAAAGGTTAATCTAATTACTTACCCAAGTGAGTAATACAAAAATAACAAATGTTTCAATATTACGAACAATATATCGAATTAACTTTAATTACTTTATTTTATTCTTTAGCTGGCATCACTGCCTACCAATTTAGTATACCGTTAAAAATATTTTCTTGTCTTGTGCGTTTTTTACTGTTTGTGATGAAAAGGAACGTAATCACTCGCCGTAAACCCACTTAATGTGGAGCACCGCACTTAATAAAATGGATACATTCACTAACAAATAAAATATGTATAGACTCAGATGTTCAAATTCGTATTGAAATTGACAAAATGTGCCCGGCCAAAAAGGTTTGCTATCTCTGACATGTTAAAAATTGACAGCTGTCAGAAGTCTATGGAATTAAAAATCAGAGTATTAAATCCATTAGGTGTCCTGTCAATTCACATTATTTTAAAATATAAATACCTTGAGTTACCTACATTCTTGAGTTCTGGTGTTCGTCCCATCAAAAAATTTTTGCTTCTCTGTTTTTAATTATGTAGACTTTATCTTTTCTCTCTGTCTTTCATGCCCTAATTGTGTACTAATGGATTAAATATTCATTGTTATCTAAGGGAGCCTTCAAGTATTACGTAAAGAATTGGGGGGGTCCTTTTGTAAAACGTTACGATGCAGGGCGGGGATTGAATTACGACTTTCCAGTACTTTACACCACATAATGGTAACTTTTAGGTATAAACAGTCACTGGGTGGTCACGAAACGTTACTATTGGGTACAGAAAAACGTTACGGCGCCTTACATGGGGGGGATCAATAATCTCCGTGACGTGCGTAATTTGCGTGACGTAATACTTAAGGTTGTACTGATGGATATTTTTTTAAAATATTTTCAGTGATTTAAACGCAATGTTAGTACCACTAATGCTGGGAAGACTACATAACCTAAGGAATAAATCACTTGAAGAAAAGGTAAAATATTTTTTTTTTAATTAATTACTTTTTTTTTTTAATTAATTACTTACAAATATCCAACTGTCCGTGGTTTATAAAAACATCGGAAATTCATGAGCACCTCAAAATCAGGACTGTCATAGAGGAGATCAAGACCTGGAGTATGAAATACAGAAAAAGGCTAGAAATGCATCATAATAAGCTTGCCACGCAACTAACCATACCGGACCTAATAGATAGGCTTAAAGGGCGACAAATCCTAAGTCTTGATAGACACGGTTGAAAGAGAGGAGATTTTGGTCTGAACGTCTAACAGCCCTGCGATTCTGTAACTCACTTTTCGAACTCACACAGCGGTTTTCGCATCAGCGGTCGATCTCAAATCAGTCGTGAAGCAGTCATTTTATGATTTGGCATTCTGATAAACAATAAACTACAAGCTCCCACCTTTTCGAATGGCCAATTCAAAAAATGGCTTCTTCACACTGATTTGAGATAACACTCCGATTGGAAAAAGATGTGCAATTTTAAAATAAGTGATTAAAACGCCGGCAGGCCGGCCCCAAAAATTTTTTTTTTTAAAAAATTGGGATTAAAATAAAAATTTAAAAAAAAATATAAAAAAATTATTTTTTTAAAGTGGGGGGGGGGGGTTGGGGGGGTTGTGGAAAAAAAAAATCACTATTTTTTTGGGGTTTTTAAAATTTTACTATAATATTTTTAAAAAATTTTTAAAACAAAATTTTTTTTTTTTGGGGCGGCCCCCCCCTTTTTTTTTTTTTTTTTTTTTTTTTTGTACTATTTTTAAAAATATGGGGGTGGGCCCCCCGGGGGCCCCCCGCCCGGCCCGGGGGGGGGGGGGGGGGGGGGGGGGGGGGGGGGAAGGAGAAGACCCTATAAAAAAATAAAAGAAGAGTGATAGGGGGGACGTCACCACTTTTTCCATCTTTTTTTAACAACATTTTTACTTTTTTTTTCTTTTTAAAAATAAAAAAAAAATTTTTTTATTTATTTTTAAAAATTTTTTTTAATATTCACACATACCTACTTTTTTTTTTTTTTTTTTTTTTATTTTATTTATTTTTTTTTTTTAATTTTATTGTTACGAAGACGGGTCGACTGCAATGTTTTTAGATTTTTCCACTACTTAGAGAACTTTTCAGCAGGCTGAAATGTGATTTCTGACCGTTTCAGGGGAGGGTCAATCACATATTAGAAAATCGCAATTTAGATAATGTTACCCTAGTTTTCAGGAGCCTGAAACATTTTTTCAGGCCGTTTCAGAACACGCGTAGTCGAATGGTACACTTTTCAGGAAACCCGTTTTCAGGCGTTTTCAGGCCTGGTTATACCCCTTTGACGAAGGAATGTTCTAGAACGAATTTTCTAGGTGTGGGAGAAGGACGGAACGATACGCGAGAGAGAGGGAAGATCGGAACCTTCTCGAAGCTAGACCGAGCACTCTAGAACGCCGTACGACAAGGACGGAGCAATGTGCGAAAGAGATAGCTAGTACGCACGTTCTAGAATTGTGCGATCGCTACTCAGTTGCGCCGCCGCCTAGAGAGTTCTCGAACATCGCTCCCAGGGATATATAAGCGAGCCGAAACGCGACCAGTTAGTTCAGTTTTGAATGCGATACCAAGCGATAAACACCGGAGTGACAAAGTGCGAATATAGTAAAGAAAAGTGAATACAAGTACTGTGTGAAGTGCGTGTTATTAGAGTAATTAGTGACATTATTTTGTGTGTGTATTTAGTGAATTTCAGTGCGTAATTATAATTTTTAGTGTTAACAAATTCCTCGTAGATTTAATTAGAAATAAACCCTTGAAGAAATCTACGGCGTTTCTATCCGATCCCCTAGCTCGTAACATTTTGGTGTCAGAAGTGGGATAGAAAAATGCCAATTACTCCAAGGGAGAATCAAGAGGAGTTTGTAGCTGAGTCTCCAGCTGCGGAGGGAGTCCAGACAAGGGCGCAATCAGCACGCGACGCTGCCCGACGACAAAGTTTCGATGCGAACCGCGGGATGGGTGAAAGCAACGATGCCAACATGCTTCTTGCTCTGCGCCAAATGATGGAAGAACAGGCACGACGTCAAGAGGAACAGGCACGACGTCAAGAGGAACAGGCACGACAAATGATGGAGGAACAGGCACGCCAAAGAAGAACAGGCACGCCGTCAAGAAGAACAGGCACGCCGTCAAGAAGAACAGGCACGCCTAATGATGGAAGAACAGGCTCAGACACGTCGTATGATGGAGGAACAGGCACGGCGTCAAGAGGAGCAGGCTCATCAGATGATGGAGGAACAGGCCCGCCGTATCGGAGAAAAACTTGGTGACCTGAAAATACAGGTAGAGAAAAAGATCGAGAACTTGGAATCTGATATGGACTGCAAATTTTCGAAACAGGACAAACGTATTCTCGGATTAGAACAAGAGATGCAGTGCCTGAAGACCAAAGGTGTCGTAACGACTGTAGCACCATCTGGAAATCTGAAAGTACCTCCCTTTGACGGTACATCTTCCTGGGGCGCGTACAAAATACAGTTTGAGACTGTGGCAGAGTCAAACGGGTGGAATGACGATCAGGCTGTCACCGCCCTTATTATGGGACTGCGAGATGAAGCCCTCACCATATTAGATACCAAGACAGGTAAAGTGACGTTGAAGCAACTGCTGGATGCCTTGGAATCACGGTACGGAGACGCACATTTAGAGCACGTCTATAGGGCTCAATTAAAGGATAGAATACAGCAGACAAATGAAAGTTTGCAAAAATGGGGATGTGAAATAGAGAAGCTGGTTAGGAAAGCCTATGCATCCTCACCAGACGTTGCAGACAAGATGTTGGTTCAAGCCTTCGTCGACGGTATTCGAGACCGTGAAATTCGAATGGCTGTGAACCTAGGTCACCATAAGGACCTCAAGAATGCTCTTGCTCATGCGTTGGAAGTGGAAGCATTTTGCAAGGATTCTCGACCTAACCGCATTAGGGCTGTCTCGGAAAAACGTAGTTCCCAACATGGACCCACCTGTTACCTCTGCGGGGAAGTAGGGCATATGAGGTTTTCGTGCCCTAAGAGAGATCCCCGAGGCGAAATGAAGACAAGACGTGGGGAGCCCGATGACGTGGATGTGACTGCCGCTGAACAGCGGCAGGGAAACGAATAGAAGCCAGGACCACGGGGCGGGTGCTGGCCGGTTCTGTAAGGAAGGCCCCAAATGTTATGATCTCTCAAACTCAGGATGGGAATACCATTGTCATCGACGGAGAAGTTAACGGCACTAGGTGTGAGTTAACCCTTGATACTGGAGCTTCCCGGACAGTAATCAGATACCAACTTCTGAAGTCATTTTACAAGAGCCTTTCTGGTGGAAATGTACAGCTCCTTACAGCTACTGGTCAGCACATAACCGTTCGAGGAGAAGGTATCGCTACCTTCAAGATTGGTGGGAGAACATACAGACATAAGGTGGTTATTGCTGACATCGTGGATGACTGTATTATCGGTTTAGACTTCATGAAGCATTACAACTGTAAGATTGACCTGAAGAACGGCACATTCAATTGTAGAGATGAAGTAGTTTCCTAAAAGATAACACATTGAAGAACGGGTACGACGTGTATAGAGCTATCATTGAAGATGGTACAGTTAGTAAACAACGAGATATAGTTCAAGCAATACTGGAGGACTGTAAGGAAACCTTGACGAGGGAAGAAATGTCGAAAGCAAAGGGACTATTAAAAACATTTTCTGACATGTTTGCTACACACGATGGAGATCTAGGAAGGACAGGTGTAGTTAAACATCGAATTGAGACTGGAACCGAAGCACCTATACGTTTAAGACCGCGACGAGTACCTGTCGCATATGAAAAGAATATAGACAAGATGATTGCAGAAATGTCAAACCATAATGTTATTGAAGCATCTTCCAGCCCTTGGTGCTCTCCAGTAGTTTTAGTCAAGAAAAAGGATAACAGTTTAAGGTTCTGCGTCGACTACCGTCGTCTTAACGATATCACGAAGAAGGACAGTTATCCGTTACCTAGAATAGATGACACCTTGGATACCTTAAGTGGGGCAAAATGGTTTACAACTTTAGACTTGAAAAGTGGGTACTGGCAAGTGGAAATAGACTCAAGTCATAAAGAGAAAACAGCGTTCTCAACTGGTAAAGGACTATGGCAGTTTAAAGTTATGCCGTTTGGACTTTGCAATGCACCTGCCACCTTTGAAAGACTAATGGAAAAAGTGCTGTCAGGACTGATAGGAGAAGCCTGCTTAGTGTACTTGGATGATGTAGTCATCATTGGGAAGGATTTTGATGATCACATACGAAATCTGCAACGGGTGCTCTCCAGACTGCATAAAGCCAACCTGAAACTAAGTGCAAAGAAATGTTTATTTTTCAAGAGAGCAGTGAGCTACTTGGGGCACATTATATCAGAGGATGGAGTTCGAACAGACCCTGAGAAGATAGTTGCGGTGAAGGATTGGCCAGTACCTAAAGATAAAACTGAAGTCCGCGCTTTCTTAGGCTTATGTTCTTACTACCGAAGATTTGTGAGAAATTTCGCGGATATTGCAAAACCACTTCACAGACTCACCGAACAGAAGAGGAAATTCACATGGGATGGAGAGTGTGAAGATGCGTTTAATGAGCTCAAGAACCGACTGTGTGAGACTCCAATACTAGGCTACCCGGATCAAGATGGTGAATATGTGGTAGATACAGATGCCAGTGGAATTGGCATTGGAGGTGTACTATCACAAGTAAAAGGTGAGCACGAGCAAGTAATAGCCTACTTTAGCAAGTCATTGTCGAAACCAGAACGGAACTACTGTGTCACTCGGAGGGAACTACTGGCTGTTGTGAAGACGCTGCAGCACTTCAGTAAATACTTGCTAGGTCGCAAGTTCCGTCTTAGGACAGATCATGCTGCATTAAAATGGCTACTTCAGTTCAAGAATCCAGAAGGACAAGTGGCTCGATGGATCGAACAACTGCAAGAGTATGACTTTGCTACTGAACATCGCAAGGGCAGAGCCCACGGGAACGCAGATGCATTGTCTCGAAGGCCATGTGAGGAGGATTGCAAACATTGTACAAGACACGAAGGTAGAGAGGTAGCCCATGTAAGGATACTAAGGACAGACACCATTAGTCCAGATTGGTGCGGGAAATTAATTCAGGAAGAGCAACAACAAGATTCTGACATTAAACCAATTCTGGACTGGATTAAATCTTCAGCTAGCAAGCCGCGGTGGAATGATGTTGCATCTACTAGCACCACGACCAAGAGTTACTGGGCTCAATGGGATAGCTTAGTTCTTCATAATGGAGTGTTATGTCGCAAATGGGAAAACACTCGAGGGGATGCATCTCATCTACAGTTAGTGGTGCCAAGATCCAAGGTTCGCGATATCTTGGAAATGTTTCATGATGGCTCATCAGGCGGACACTTAGGAGTAAAAAGGACTCTTCTAAAAATTAAAGAGAGATTTTATTGGATACATTGCCGCGAAGATGTAGAAGACTGGATTCGGAAATGTAAAGCTTGTGCAGCTGTTAAAGGCCCACAGACGAGAACCAGAGCTGGTATGAAGCAATACAATGTCGGAGCTCCATGGGAGAGGATAGCCGTTGACATAGCTGGACCATTTCCATTAACAGAAAAAGGAAATAAGTACATCATGGTTGTTATGGATTACTTTACGAAGTGGCCCGAAGTGTTCGCTATTCCCAATCAAGAGGCAGTTACAGTAGCTGAGATACTTGTAAATGACGTATTCTCTAGATTCGGAGTACCCTTGGAGATTCACAGTGATCAGGGAAGAAATTTTGAGTCTTTATTGTTTCAAGAAGTATGCCGACTAATGGGAATTCATAAGACGCGGACTACTCCATATCACCCACAGTCAGATGGAATGGTGGAACGCTTTAATCAAACCTTGGAAAGGCACTTGGCAAAACTGGTGGACAGCCATCAAAAAGACTGGGACAAGTATATTCCATTATTTTTAATGTCATACCGGTCTGCGGTTCATGAAACCACGAATGTTACACCTGCTTTAGCCATGTTTGGGAGACAACTTAGATTACCAGCAGACATTGTAACGGGACGACCACCTGACACCCCGGAGAGTGTTACAGAATATGCTGCGGATTTGCGTAATAAACTGCATGAAATCCATGAACACGTACGAGCATCACAAAGCAAAATAAGTGAGACTACGAAGATTAGGTATGACAGAAAGACGAATCACATAGAATTTAAAGAAGGCTCGCAAGTATGGCTCCATAATCCAACAAAACGCAAAGGCAAATCACCAAAGCTTCAAGCTGACTGGGATGGTCCATACGCAATAATCACGAAGATTAATGACGTTACTTACCGGATAAAGAAAATGAGTGGTTTAAGAAGCAAACCGAAAGTCGTTCACATAAATCGATTGGCTCCCTATAAAGGAAGTAATGATGCTCGGGACGAGCATGTCTAAGGAGGGGGTAGTGTTACGAAGACGGGTCGACTGCAATGTTTTTAGATTTTTCCACTACTTAGAGAACTTTTCAGCAGGCTGAAATGTGATTTCTGACCGTTTCAGGGGAGGGTCAATCACATATTAGAAAATCGCAATTTAGATAATGTTACCCTAGTTTTCAGGAGCCTGAAACATTTTTTCAGGCCGTTTCAGAACACGCGTAGTCGAATGGTACACTTTTCAGGAAACCCGTTTTCAGGCGTTTTCAGGCCTGGTTATACCCCTTTGACGAAGGAATGTTCTAGAACGAATTTTCTAGGTGTGGGAGAAGGACGGAACGATACGCGAGAGAGAGGGAAGATCGGAACCTTCTCGAAGCTAGACCGAGCACTCTAGAACGCCGTACGACAAGGACGGAGCAATGTGCGAAAGAGATAGCTAGTACGCACGTTCTAGAATTGTGCGATCGCTACTCAGTTGCGCCGCCGCCTAGAGAGTTCTCGAACATCGCTCCCAGGGATATATAAGCGAGCCGAAACGCGACCAGTTAGTTCAGTTTTGAATGCGATACCAAGCGATAAACACCGGAGTGACAAAGTGCGAATATAGTAAAGAAAAGTGAATACAAGTACTGTGTGAAGTGCGTGTTATTAGAGTAATTAGTGACATTATTTTGTGTGTGTATTTAGTGAATTTCAGTGCGTAATTATAATTTTTAGTGTTAACAAATTCCTCGTAGATTTAATTAGAAATAAACCCTTGAAGAAATCTACGGCGTTTCTATCCGATCCCCTAGCTCGTAACAATATAATAAAATAATAAATAATAATTATTATTAATATTAATTAATAATTGAATAATATACTAAAATATATTAAATATTGGTAAATAATTAAGGCTAAATTTATTATAAATTATTTAATATTTAAAAAAAATAAAGGAAGCCAAAGAAGTATAACTTCTTACGCGCGTACATAAGTACACGCACCATTTTTTTTATTAATTTAAAACATATATTTCTTATTATATGTTATAAGAATTATATATTTTCAGCCTCAAAATCAAAGCAATCAAACGCGTCACTTCGCCCGTTTTGACAAAAGGACAAGCAACGAATTCAAGCCAAATGGACCGAGTAATGGTAAAGGTATAGTTTTTGTAATACTAGCCCGACAGAACAAACGAACCAAAGGCCGGCAACGCACTTGAGTCTTCTGGCAATGTGTCCATGGATGGCGGTATCGCTTAACATCAGCTGAGCCAGTTTTCCTCCTGTTAGATAACAAAATCTAATTGTATAGCTTAGGTTTCCTAGAAAAGCGGTGCCGTTATCTAACGGCCGTAATATAACGTTGGGTGACGTCACCCATACGTTGTCTATAAATAACATTGGAATAGGTTTTCCAGAGAACGTTGAGTGTCACCGTAACGTCAAATAACGGTGCTGTCATTTGCATGACGGCCGTCATAGCGGTGATAAATTTTAGTTCAACGTTTTTCGCTTGTAGCGGTGCCCATATTTAATTAATACACACGGAAACGTGACTTGGACGAGCGAAAATGATGTTTGTTATGCATTATGTTAAAAAGACGGTCCTTATTAACAACCGTAAAATGACGGCCGTTAGTTAACGGCACCGCTTTTCTAGGAAACCTAAGCTTTAGTGTACACTATTCTAGAATCCACTTGATCGCACACAATGTTGTCTAAATCTGTCTAGCCGATGAGTAGAATTACATATGCACATAACAACAGAAGGATATTATAAAATTACTGATAAAATTGCTGACTAATGAATAATAATAATAATATAAAAATAAATCAGTGGCGCCACAACCTCTTTAGGTCTTGACCTCAGAGTTCTGAATCTGTTTCGTGATCATTTATAAAATATGTAATAGGCAAGTAGGTGATCAGCCTCGAAATTTTAAATCAATAGAAATATTAAAATTAATTATTATGAATAATTAAATTATTATGAATAATTAAATTATTAATTAATTATTATTATTAAATTTAATTATTAATTATTATTCTATGTATATGCTCCAATTATATTCTTTATGTAGCAACAAAGCAATTTTGAACGTTTCTCAGAAGCAGAGGACGCCGGTGGAGGGGAAATGGAGTTGGACTCTTCGGGGGTTGGATCAAGCTCCAATTTAATTAAATCTCCTCCAACGCCTCAGAAGAATAACAGTAAGTACATAGTGTAATGGTTGCAGCTCCTTACAAACGTTGTGTTAAACAAAAAACTTGGTGATTTAAAAGAGTGGCGGAGAGTTTATTGCCAGTTCTTCTCTTCCGTTCTACGCCCTTGATTTGAGAACTGGCAGTAAATGTAAAATTAGAAGCATTTAATGTATATTTTTTGACGTTCATAAGTGTACATTGTGTTAGCTATATGATTAAATGATTTTTGACTTGACTATTTTCATATCATATCGTTCATTTTATTTATTAACTAGCTGCCCCCGCGAACTTCGTTTCTCCTTAATGTGATTTTACTTAGCCTACCTTTTTAGTAGATACAACACTTAATTTTCACCCCTCTACGATCAACCCCTATTTTTTATTTGTTAATTAATATCTTATGACTTGAACTCTGAGGTTTATATAGAGAAATCACAGAAAAACCCAAAAAGGTTTTCATTCCGGAAAACCGAACAGTCTCTGGGGTAGCATAGCAAAATTTTCCATGTTGGTTTGTTCTAAACCGGATTGTTTGATCCACATTTATCAGCATTTGGTTACTTGAATACGCCTGGAATTGGAGGTTATATATAGATTTTCTCTCATTACAGGTGTCCTATGGTCACCGCCTGGTACGCACAGGACCCTCCCTCCCCCCCTCATCCTCATGAGACGTCATCGAACTCCAGCTGGGTCGAAATGGAGACGTATGTTATTGGTGAGTAATTTTTGAAGTCTCTTTTCGGATAGAAAATCATAAACAATGTATACCCAATACCTTTAGTCATAATCTCTGGAGTGCTGTCAAATATGTCAAAATTACTACAGAAAAAAGGTTTGACAGCTCGTGAAACTAGAATTAAATGTGATTTATACTTTGATTTTTCATTCCGTAGAATTCTGTCATTTTATATGTGTTGATACTAAAAAGTTTTCGGTGGAGAAACTTTTGGGACAGGGACAAATTTGACTTATTTGAGGGCAATAAAAAAATGCTTCGTATTTTTTATGTTCTACCTTCAAAAAGGTTAAATCTAAATATTTACTTACTCAAGTGACCTAAATAACCAATATTTCAATATCACGAACAATATATCGAATTAACTTTAATTACTTTATTTTATTCTTTAGCTGGCATCACTGCCTACTAATTCCAGGTTTAGTAAACCTTTAAAAAAAAATATTTTCTTTACTTGTGCGTTTTTTACTGTTTGTGATGAAAAGGGACGTAATTATCAGTCGCCGTAAAACCACTTTTAATGTTGAGCACCGCACTTAATAAAATGGGTAACTAACAAATAAAATGTTTGTATAGAGACCGATGTTGACTCGTATTGAAATTAAAAAATGTGCCCGGCCAAAAAGCTTTGCAATCTCTGACATGTCAAAAAATGATAGCTGTCAGAATTCTACGGAATTAAATCAGAGTATAGCATTGTAATAGTGAAAGAATTTTTGAAAATACTTGATGACATACAATTTATGAAGAGCAGTCAATACTGAGACTGAGTCAATATGAGGCTGAGTCAATATGAGACTGAGTCAATATGAGGCTCAGTCAATATGAGACTGAGTCAATATGAGACTGAGTCAATATGAGACTGAGTCAATATGAGACTGAGTCAATATGAGACTGAGTCAATATGAGACTGAGTCAATATGAGACTGAGTCAATATGAGACTGAGTCAATATGAGACTGAGTCAATATGAGGCTGAGTCAATATGAGGCTGAGTCAATATGAGACTGAGTCAATATGAGACTGAGTCAATCTCATAACTCAGACTGAGTCAATATGAGGCTGAGTCAATATGAGGCTGAGTCAATATGAGACTGAGTCAATATGAGGCTGAGTCAATATGAGACTGAGTCAATATGAGGCTGAGTCAATATGAGACTGAGTCAATATGAGGCTGAGTCAATATGAGACTGAGTCAATATGAGACTGAGTCAATATGAGACTGAGTCAATATGAGAGTTGAACGCTGAAGCCACGTTCAACTCTCATCCCTAAGGTCGTAGGTTCGATCCCCGGCTGTGCACCAATGGACTTAATGGACAATGGAAAAAGGTTGTAGCGGCACTGATTTATTTATTTTATTTCAACAATTTATGAATTGTCAGGATTCAAACACCTTGAGAGACTCCTTATGACAAATCGTTAACTCGTTAAAAATAATTTTCAGGTAATATTCAAATTCATCCTCTGACGGACGCAACCAAACAAATGTTAATACTCCGATATTTGACGCCGATGGGGGAATATCAAGAGGTAACTTTATCATTTTCTGCTTAGCATTTTGTTTAATCCTAGCATACACATAACATGTTTTGTTTTATTATCATTCTTTAATAACACTAATACACACAAAATTAAATTCCAAAGCAGTATAATTAGAATCAAGACATTGTTTACAAGCATGCTACGTCATCGTTGATTCGACTAACTGTCTTGTGTCACGTGACTATGAAAATCATTCTGAAATATAGATTGTTGAAGTGAAACTTCTTTAAAAAGGCTAAATTTTTTACGGACGGTAACGCAATAATAATATTAGCGTCACGAAGATGTGTAGTGTTTTTGTCGAAGGGAGAGAGCGAGAAGGGCGAATTACCTTATAGAAATTATATTTTTAACATAAAAATTTCGTAAAGAGAATTTATGAAATATTAGTATTTTATATTTAAAGCAAAATAATTTATTCAAATGACGAGTATCAATCGCTTATTCTGGGAATAAATAAGGCGCAACTGCGTTTCTCTGTGAATACAAAAGATTTATTTACAAAAGAAATATCTATTAATTTACATTTAATAAATATATTCTAGGTTTTATAAAGTAAAATAATATAATGAAAAAATTAAAATATCTTACATATATTATGTCAAGTGACAAATTAAACATCGTCGATCAGACGGCAAGGACAACATTACAAAATAGTTTATATAAAATACAATATAGATGTTAACGTAAAATTGTAAACACCGTTAGATTGTAATCTATCTCGCGAGATTATAAACTGTCGAAAGATTGTGAACCTCAGCTTACTGCTTACAATTTAACGTATTATTGTTAACGTAAAATTGTAAAAACCGTTAGATTGTAATCTATCTCGCAAGATTATAAACTGTCGAAAGATTGTGAACCTCAGCGTACTGCTTACAATTTAACGTATTATTGTTAACGTAAAATTGTAAAAACCGTTAGATTGTAATCTATCTCGCAAGATTATAAACTGTCGAAAGATTGTGAACCTCAGCTTACTGCTTACAATTTAACGTATTATTGTTAACGTAAAATTGTAAAAACCGTTAGATTGTAATCTATCTCGCAAGATTATAAACTGTCGAAAGATTGTGAACCTCAGCGTACTGCTTACAATTTAACGTATTATTATTCGGTAGATTGTACTACACTTACTTAGTTATCATTCAAACTTCTATGGTCAATTACAGATTAATTTTACTTCCCAACAATTTCATATAACTACCGAATAATAATACCTTAAATTGTAAGCAGTTCGTTGAGGTTCACAATCTTTCGACAGTTTACAATCTCGCGAGATATATTACAATCTAACGGTGTTTACAATTTTACGGTGACATTATTATTCGGTAGATTGTACTACACTAACTTAGTTATCATTCAAACTTCTTTGGTCAATTACAGATTAATTTTACTTCCCAACAATTTCATATAACTACCGAATAATAATACGTTAAATTGTTAGCAGTTCGTTGAGGTTCACAATCTTTCGACAGTTTATAATCTCGCGAGATAGATTACAATCTAACGGTGTTTACAATTTTACGGTGACATAGACAAGAGTTTGTATAGGAAAATATATTATGTTTTCATTACATATATATATAACGCTTTTGAAAGTCCTCATACAGATTTCTCTCAATAACACAATTTGTCTAATATTTCAGTTCCTGTCGCACGTGTTCGAGAAGGACGCGTTAGGTCTTATTCTAGGATACCTAAACGTTCGTGAGTCCAAAGATTCGAGGCTGGCTTTCGAAGCACTGAAGTATTTAGCTGCCTTACTCTGTCATAAGAAGTTTTCTATAGATTTCATTAACATGGGAGGATTGCAGGTACATATATCATCTATTTATAAATGTCGGAACAGTGGCGCTACTGTCAGCTGTCACTGTCATGTCACAGAGGTTATAAATTAACGTTTAAGTCAAATCTGTCAATACTTGTGGTTTATTTAATACTGATATTGCTAGTTCTACAAATTAACGACTATTTATTGTATCGGGGCAATGGCGTTACTGTCAGATGTCACTGTCAAGTCACAGAGCTTATAAATTAACGTCAAAGTCAAATCTGGCAATACTTGTGGTTTATTTAATACTGATATTGCTAGTTCTACAAATTAACGACTATTTATAAATGTCGGAACAGTGGCGCTACTGTCAGATGTCACTGTCAAGTCACAGAGCTTATAAATTAACATCAAAGTCAAATCTGGCAATACTTGTGGTTTATTTAATACTGATATTGCTAGTTCTACAAATTAACGACTATTTATAAATGTCGGAACAGTGGCGCTACTGTCAGCTGTCACTGTCAAGTCACAGAGCTTATAAATTAACATCAAAGTCAAATCTGGCAATACTTGTGGTTTATTTAATACTGATATTGCTAGTTCTACAAATTAACGACTATTTATAAATATCGGAACAATGGCGCTACTGTCAGCTGTCAATGTCATGTCACAGAGGTTATAAATTAACGTCAAAGTCAAATCTGGCAATACTTGTGGTTTATTTAATACTGATATTGCTAGTTCTACAAATTAACGACTATTTATAAATGTCGGAACAGTGGCGCTACTGTCATCTGTCAATGTCATGTCACAGAGGTTATAGATTAACGTCAAAGTCAAATCTGGCAATACTTATGGTTTATTTAATACTGATATTGCTAGTTCTACAAATTAACGACTATTTATAAATGTCGGAACAGTGGCGCTACTGTCAGCTGTCAATGTCATGTCACAGAGGTTATAAATTAACGTCAAAGTCAAATCTGGCAATACTTGTGGTTTATTTAATACTGATATTGCTAGTTCTACAAATTAACGACTATTTATAAATGTCGGAACAGTGGCGCTACTGTCAGCTGTCAATGTCATGTCACAGAGGTTATAAATTAACGTCAAAGTCAAATCTGGCAATACTTGTGGTTTATTTAATACTGATATTGCTAGTTCTACAAATTAACGACTATTTATAAATGTCGGAACAGTGGCGCTACTGTCAGCTGTCAATGTCATGTCACAGAAGTTATAAATTAACGTCAAAGTCAAATCTGGCAATACTTGTGGTTTATTTAATACTGATATTGCTAGTTCTACAAATTAACGACTATTTATAAATGTCGGAACAGTGGCGCTACTGTCAGCTGTCACTGTCAAGTCACAGAGCTTACAAATTAACGTCAAAGTCAAAACAGTTTAAAGCAGTTCCCAGTGGCTGGAAAGTAATAGACTAAAGTATTATAAACTAACGAAATTAACGATGTATATTACAAATTATTTTATCTAAAATGTATGACAATTAAGGTAACATAAATTATACAAAATATATATTATATACAAGCTACTAGCTGACCCGGCAAACGTTGTTTTGTCTTGTATATTATTGCTATGAATTTTTGTAGGTTTAATAAAAATAACTATCTACTATAATAAAAAATAGGGGTTGATTGTAGAGGGGTGAAAATTAGGGGGTTGTATGTATTTTTGTATGCTGTACCATAGAAAAATTAAATTTCGATTTTTTTTTTGGTGTACACCCCTTATCACTTAGGGGTTTGAAAGATAGTAGCCGATTCTCAGACTTAGTGAATATGCATTAAAAAATTCATAAGACTCGTTCGAGCCGTTTCAGAGGAGTATGGGAACGAATATTGTGACACGAGAATTTTATATATTAGATTATTAACTAAAACATATATATATATATGTTACTTAACTAATGTTAGGTTATATAAGTGATGATTTTTTTTTTCAGAAATTTCTAGAAGTCCCACGGCCATCTGTGGCTGCCACAGGTGTGTCTATATGCTTATATTATCTGGCTTATTGTGAGGATGCGATGGAGAGAGTCTGCCAGCTGCCCCGAAGGACTTTGGCCGACTTAGTACGGTACGAATGTTTTTAGACCCATGTGGGGCCGTTCAAGTACGTAAGCATTGTAGAGGGGAGGGGAGGGGAGGGGTGTCTTTGATATTCTTATTAATAGGAGCACGCACGATTACGTCGACAGTAATTATTTATTATATATTATTTTATATTACTTTTTTTTTGCTGACAAGAGGAGGGGGGAGATAAACTATAGTAAATCTGCTTACGTAATACTTGAACGGTCCCAAACGGTTATTTTAACCGACTCCAAAAAGGAGGTTTATGTATGTGATATCGTTGGATTGTTTGTCTATAAATTTATTGTAAACCAAGGGCCGTAGAACGTTTATCAACTTAAATATACTTTCGAGACCTGCCTGTTTGACATATTTGACAGCGCGAGGTACAAAGTCAAAATAATTTGTTCATATAGGTGACACAATGTACACTTCTGGACGTCAAAAAAGAAATGCTTATAATATATTAAATGCTTCTAATTTTACATTTACTGCCAGTTCTCAAATCAAGGGCGTAGAACGGAAGAGAAGAACTCTCCGCCAATTTTTAATCGCCAAGTTTTAAGGAGCAAGGAGCTGCAACCATTACACCATGTTCCACATGACATCTTAAGTAATAAATAATAATTACATAAATTAAAAACAAAGATTTGTCCTCTCTCAGCAGGAGGCATGGTGAAATAGGAGCACGCACTTATATTCTGGAAAAAACACGAATTAGAATACCTATACATCGTAATCGTATCGAGATTACAATTTAATTCAGTATTATGAATTTCATGAAAAACGGTCCAGTAGTTTTTGATTCCATAGAGATGTTATGTTTTTCCTTATGTATATATTTGTATGGAGTAAACGTTTTTACATCTGTTATTGAAGTGAAACTTCTCTATCGGGGTTGGAAAAAAATTTAGTGTAACATTTTTGCGTTACGCCTCACATTTTTCCGTTTCGCGCCATGTTGCTTTTTGAAGTCAAACTTCTTTATCGGCGTTAAAATATGACATATATTATGTTTTTGACTTTGAAGTTTGACAACGGATTACATTTTCGACTTGAAATTTGCTAATCGCAATTTGCAGCAATTAATTTGTAAATTGTATGCTAGGCAGTGTATCAAAATTTACTGTGTTTAAAGAAATAGTTTCTAATAAGGTCATAAAGAAGTTTCACTTCTTACGTGTGTACACCTAGTACACGCACACATTTTTGTATAAGTTATACTTCTTTAGGCGCGTTATGAAAAATTTATGAGAGTGAAATTTTACGATGCGCGCGCACCGTGACACAAAATTAGGAGTGTGATTATAGCGTGCGCGAGCGAGATAGGAATAAGACAATCTACAAGTAAAAAGAAATAGAATATGCGTGAAGTTCGTATGCCAACAATTTTGAATGACCATAATGACATTTGTCATTTACCTTTTAAACAAATAAAGGAGTTTTAATTATTTTTTCAAAGAAATTTAGCAATGCTTTTTGAATTATAATCAGAAGTGATTTAAATTGAATATTTAAACCAATACTAATTAATATTTGTGAAAAAACTGTGCTCATCAACCTTCCTAAGTGCTTCATTACAATTGAGGTTAACTATCAGTTTGTATTATTATTATCGAGTAATGTTTTGATTAAAAAAATTACCACATTGTTTAATCAAAACATGTAATTTTTCTCTAGCAAATATAAGGACAAGAGACAAAAAACAATTGATGAATCAGTGTAAGTGCACTAAATTGAATACAAAAAAAGAGTTGTCATCTTATCGCTGTGAAACATCAAAAACTGGAGGTGGAACAAAGCCAAACTATTTTTAATAATGCCAAAGAAGTATAACTTCTTACGCGCGTACATAAGTACACGCACACATTTTTTTTAATATATATCGAACCCTCTAAATACTGAAAATATTAAGGCAATTTTAAATTTCAGATACGCCCTTTGGTTGTTAGAATGTTCCCATGACTCGGGGAGATGTCACGCGACCATGTTCTTCGGCCTCTCATTCCAGTTTAGAGTTATTTTGGAAGAGTTTGACAATCAGGTAATTTTATTCTTAATTATTTTAAAGTCTTTCTCTCTCACTCTGCAAAGTACACATGACAGAAGTGAAACTTCTTTGACAAACGAATTTTTAAGTCTTGTTCATATTTATACAAATCTAAAACTTTACATTTCCGAGACTTAGAGGGAGGGAAAAAGGAAGATATCTTAGGAATTTAATGAATTTAATTGTCGTTACAATATTAAATGTCAAAAATTAATAGAAATTATAATATTAATATTTTAAATTTATTTCTTCGATAATAAAAACACGTGGCATTTTAATTTGCAATTCGTCATTTGAGATTTCAGTAAATTATTTTCCATGAAATATAAAATACTAATATTTCATAAATCTTAACGAAATTTTAATTTTAAAAATATAATTTATATAAGGTAATTCGCCCTTCTCACTCTCTCTCAATCGCTCTCTCCCTTCGACAAATACGCTGCTTATTTTCGTGACGTTCCGTAAAAATTTTACCCTCATGCGCCTAAAGAATTTTCACTACAATAAATGTAATTAAATTTAATAGGATGGTCTTCGGAAACTATACAATGTGATATCAACACTCCCGATCCTTGGGTCTGATGAAGAGGAACTTCGGGTGTCTGACGATGAGACCTGCGCTGCACGACAGATAGTCCGGCACGTGTGTGTGGCTCTTAGAAGGTAACAGACATACACAACATTTATTACTAACGAAACACACACAATAACATTTATTACAAACAAAAATACACACACAAAATAACAATAATCAAAGAAAAAAATATGTGTGATATAAAAAAAAATTCCCTTTTCCCATTCGGTTTGTTTCAAGTGTGTAATGCGTGTGTGCTGTGGTTGTAATTGGCCCTGGCTCAGCATTATGCTAAAGCCGAATTTACATTACGAAACTAGTGCCTCGGAGTTTTATGACATAAATTTCATCAACAATTTCACGTGTAAATTTACAGTTTCATAATGCATGCATCGGTTTCGCGACACTGGATAAATTAATGTCACGCAACTACTTTCACGATGAAAACGCGACACGAAACTAGTGTCGCGAAAGCATTTGCACAGGGCAGACGTGTGTGTTTGAGTGCATCGTGCAGCTAAATGACCGCCAAAATGGCAAACCAACGTTGGTCAGTTGATAAAAATATAATTTTCGAATTTTATATATTAACATCTGTACCACGACGTTCTGCATCGCAAAATGAAGCTTTGATGTTGACAGAGCCATGTCGTTGGTGATACTGTTGATTTCACGACACTATTATTTTTTGTTAAAGTAGTTTCACACGTGCTGCAACTATTTTCATGAAACTCATTCCAACATGCATAACACTAGTTTCGTAATGTAAATTCGGCTTAAGGAGCAGACTTCACACTGGTCATTCTGCCAGAGATAGCAGCTAGTTTGCGCCTCAGTCGAAAAAAAAGAAAGAAAAAGAATGTAATAATACTTAGTAGAAAAAAAGATAATAAATTCAATAAACATCTAGAATAATTAATGGGGAAGGTTTAGGTGTATAACTTTTTAAGGTTCCGGTCACGGACCATGTGTAAATTAAGCAATGAAAATATTTGTTCTAATATACTTACTATCAACTCGATACATTGATGAATATATCCCAAAAGCGAGCAGTGATGGCCTAGTGGCCTTCAGCGTGCGACTCTCATACCTGAGGACGTAGGATCGATCCCCGGCTGTGCACCAATGGACTTTCTATCCGTGTGCGCATTTAACATTGGAAAACATCGTGAGGAAATTGACAAGTCTTAGACCCAAAAAGTCGACAGCGTGTGTCAGGCACAGTAGGCTGTTCACCTACGGCTTCTACGGATTCACGGCTGAAATCTACAAATCAGACCCAAAAAGATTGCGTTACTGATTTTTTTTACAAATATATTGTTAATAGACTTACACTTAAGTAATAAATATAAAACATACACAGACACCCACACACACACATACACATAATTTACACATACACACATACCCCATGTGGTTTCCTTAAATATTGTAATGTTCTGTCGATCCGAAGTGGTGGAGGCCTGATGACCTGTAACATAGGTACTCTAACCTTTAGCAGGCATCAGTCTCACACAGACTAGCTTTTTCCATTAACAGAAGTGAGAATACAACTGTCACTTGCTTATTTCCTAAGTTTAAGTTTTAATAAATAAATAAATAGACAATAGTCCCTTCGCTAAGCAAATTTGCGTTCCCAATATACCGTCTTACGGTAAAATACTCTATTGTCTCTTTCTGTTAAATTCTGTTTACCCTGTAATGAAAGGAGATAGCATTCACATAGGTCCAGACATCTATAGCTGAACTATTCATATAGACTTATGGAAATCAATAAAAAAATATCCTTATTGTACGTTTAGATATTTCGAGCCGCACCTACGTATACGCGCGTCGCTGGTTGCTAGGCAACAAGGGGATACGCTACCAGAACCACCGCCCTATAAGGTATGAACAATTCTGTCACAAATATTATACAGGCGGTGATAAAACTGATTTTTTTTCTTTAAAAAATTAATATTTTTTATTAAAAGGCAAGTAAAAAAAAGGATGCGTGTACGCGCGTAAGAAGTTATACTTCTTTGGCATTGTTAATAGTTTTTGATTGCATGCAAATAATTAATTACAATTAAATAATCAAAGACTGGAAAAGGAGTCATTATAGTCAATAAAGTTCAGTTTACATTTGAAAAATTAAATAAATAAATATTTATTATTATTCTCTTACATTAAGTGTAATATAAATTCTGTTATTATTCGCATATTGTTTTTAAATTATGTCCAATGCCGTAGCATCTTCCGTGGGCAACTTCATTCTGTTAATTTTGTGTCACGGCGCGCGCATCGTAAAATTTCACTCTCATCAATTTTTCATAACGCGCCTAAAGAAGTATAACTTCAAAAAGTCACAATATATTTCTCTATAATTTTCCTGTTAATTGACCGACTCCATATGTGCGCAATTAACCGCGTGAAGGAAAACATTATGAGGAAACCGCCATTAGAACTGAAAGCTATCAGGCACAGAAGGCTGATCACCAAAAAACCACATACAGAATACCAAGGGAGCGTACAAGTATTACGTGACGAATATTGGGGGGGGTCCTTTTGTAAAACGTTACGATGCGGGGCGGGGATTGAATTACGCGTTATTGTTAATATTATTTTCGACTTTCCAATACTTTACACTACAAAATGGTAGCTTTTAGGTATAAAGAGTCACTGGGTGGTCACGAAACGTTTTACTATTGGGTACAGAAAAACGTTACGACGCGTTACATGGGGGGGTCCAATAATCTCCAAAAATTGCGTGACGTAATACTAGAACGCTCCCCAAGACCCAGCTGCCCAGCTGTAGCGCTACTGGTTTCTTTTTCAGGCATCCAAGTCCTCGCCAGAAGAGATACAGGAGCAGATAGAAATAGTCCAACACGCGCCATGGTCGCGTTGGCCTCCAGTAGACGAACTTTTGGAGTTGGGAGGTGTAACGCTGCTTTTGCAGGTGGTCGGATTCGCGTATGACTGGAACTATAATGGCCGGTAAGTTCACACAATCCCCTCTTGGGCGCTGTCAAATCACATACACACACACACATTGGGAAACATTGACAGCTGTTGAAATTAGATCAAGATAAATGTAGCCTGTAGTATAGTGATGAACATAGAAACATTTTTTGTATTTGATATTGCATTGCACTACCCTCAAATTATATTTAAAAAAAATCGTATCTATTTAGTGGCTTCTAATAGGCAAGTATGTAGGCCCTCTGTGTCTAACACACGCCGTTGATATAGTGGGTCTAAAGCGTGACGGTTACCTCGCGATGTTTTCAAAAATTTCGAAATACCCTCCGAAAAATAGTCGTTAAAAAAAATTTAATACCCTCCGAAAAATTGTTACGTTAAAAATTTCGTACTACCCTCCGGAAAATTGTCACGTTAAAATTTCGAACTACCCTCCGATTGATAATTTTGTTTTTCAGGGCAGAAACGGTGCGATCAGCCCTCGACGTGATATCCGTGTGCTGTGTGGCGCCACGCGTTCAACTTCTGCTCACCGAGAAGATCAGCATGAGGGAGTCGGAAATGATTGCAGGCGTCAGTATAGTGCTGGGTGAGTTTTTAGATATTTTTCAGTATATAGCAATTAAGTTATATACAAGTAATAAAAAAAATTGGTAAATTACGATAATTTTACGTGATAAAGTGTATACAACCAAAATATTGAAAAATTTAATTTTTTCAATAAATTAACATAATAAAGCCCGTTTATTTTTTTACTTAGAGAGCGTTCAAGTATTTTTTAGTAAGTAAGTAAGATTATTAAACCCCCCCCCCATGTAACGCGCCGTAACGTTTTTCTGTACCCAAGTATAGTAAAACGTTTCGTGACCACCTAGTGACTCTTTATACCTAAAATAATATTAATAACGCGTAATTCAATCCCCGCCCCGCATCGTAACGTTTTACAAATAGACCCCCCCCCTCCCAAAATTCGTTACGTAATACTTGAACACACAGTTTCACAGTTAATTTTTATTATTATTTTTCTTTTTTTTGCGTCTGCGCAAACTAACTGTTGTGGTCTCCGGCAGAATGGCCAGCGCTTTGGAACTTGTCTGCTCCACAGCATAATGCTGAGCCAGGGCCTGTTACAACAACACACACACACACACACACACATTACACACTTAAAATATACCTTGTTCCTTAAAAACTGAAAGTTGTTTACTTCTTTCTATATATCACGAAGATCTGATGTCAACATGAAGTATAGCGCCAGTGCAAGTGGTTTTTTCTTAATTAAATATGTATTTACAGCGGCGGCAGATGGTGACATAATAGTGGAGCCGGAAGTTCAAAAGGCCGCTCTGAATGTGTTAGTCAATTGCGTGTGCGCACCTTTACACAGGGTGAGTTTTTTCTTTATGGAATGGAGGGCAAATGGGCCGGAGGCTCACCTTGATGTTAAGTGATACTGCCGCTCATGGATACTCTCAATGACAGAGGGCTCGCGAGTGCGTCGCCGGCCTTTTAAGAATTGGAACGCTCTTTTCTTGAAGGACCCTAAGTCGAATTGGTTCGGAAATAAGCGGGCAGCTTATTCCAAAAAGTGGTGGTGCGCGGCAAAAACTGCCTTGAAAAACGCTCAGTTGTGGAACGGCGGACGTCGAGGTGATACGGGTGGAATTTCGTATTCTCCCTCGACGTCCGATGATGAAACTCGGAGATGTGGGGTCTCTCTGCATCTCCTACCGCATTTACCATGGAGAGTGTTCAGAGGAGTTGTTAGGACTTATACCTGCAGCTGAGTTTCATCATCGGGCTACAGAATACAAAATACCATCCGTGATAACTTAAAATTTGTGAGCAACCACTGCCCACTGAAGTATTTCAGTACCAGTTCGACGTAGGGCGCGAGCCCTCTGGGATTGAGTGTCCATGGCCGGCATCACTGTTCAGTGCAGGAAGCTCGCCGTTTGTAATAATTGTATTACATAAAAAATAACTAAAATAACGTAGTACAGATATAATCTAAAATAAATGAGTTATATCGTCACTGTAGAATGATAATCTCGTATGCCAAAAAACCATTATTTTATGAAGTGAAACTTCTTTATCGAGGTTGGAAAAAATTTAGTGTAACATTTTTTCGTTACGCGTCACATTTTTCGGTTACGCGCCATGTTGCTTTTTGAAGTCAAACTTCTTTATCGGCGTTGGAATGAAACTTCTTTATCGACGTATGGGAGAAATTTTGTAGCAAATCGTCACGTTTTTCAATGATAGTAATAATTCTATTACAATTAATGAAATTCTATAATAATCTTCGTAGTAATAAGGTAAAATGAAATATTTGTATTCATGTCTATGATAATAAAAGCCTTTTGTTAAACTTTATCTAATTTAACGAATTTCTGTAAAGTTGCATATAGTAGATCATTTTTCGAAAAATAAGATCATAAAGAAGTTTCACTTCTTACGTGTGTACACCTAGTACACGCACAATTTATTTTGTATGTATGAATTCTAGTCTGGAATATCAACGGCTCGCTTTTCGATACCTGGTTCCTCAAAGAAGAAGACAATGAAATCCTATGAAGACGTGATTCAGAAAGTCTGGGAGAGCGTCAGAACCAATAATGGAATTATGGTAAGTAAAATATGTTAACAAAAATAAATCTGGTTCCTTCCTTTTGTAAAACGTTACGATATGGGACGGGGATTGAATTACGCGTTATTTTTAATATTATTTTCGACTTTCCAGTACTTTACACCACGTAATGGTAACTTTTAGGTATAAACAGTCACTGGGTGGTCACGAAACGTTTTACTATTTACAGAAAAACGTTACGGTGCGTTAGAGAGCGTTCAAGTATTACGTAACGAATTTCGGGGGAGGGGGTCCTTTTGTAAAACGTTACGATGCGGGGCGGGGATTGAATTACGCGTTATTTTTAATATTATTTTCGACTTTCCAGTACTTTACACCACGTAATGGTAACTTTTAGGTATAAACAGTCACTGGGTGGTCACGAAACGTTTTACTATTTACAGAAAAACGTTACTACGCGTTAAAAATCTCCAATAATTGCGTAGCGTTATACTACAATTTAAAAGAGGTTATCGCGCCACAGATTAAATTTATTTTTATTCTATTGACGTCGGTTTGGCGTTAATTATTAATATTGAATTATTTGTATAACTAAATTAAAATTTCAGGTTCTCCTTTCATTAATGATGACGAAATCGCCGATAACAGACGCAGACAGGATCCGGGGGCTGGCGTGTAGGGCTTTGTGCGGCTTGGCCCGGTGCTCCACTGTCCGGCAGATCATCTCGAAGCTACCTTTGTTTACCACATCACAAATACAAGGTACGTCTTGGGCTATTGTAGTACTACGTACTAACGTTTGAGTGTGATCCCTTAATGTACCCAACATTATTAAGCTATTGCATATAGGTGCGGCCAATACGCGTTAGAGTGAGACAGAACGCATACTGCGTATTCACATCTCTCTGACGAGATCGGTGACGTAGCGTGAGCGCGGCTGGTGCAGCCGGTACGCGTTAGAGTGAGACAGACTATATAGGCGTGTTAGTCTGAGTCTGGTAGAGTGGTAGATTGAAATAATATCAAAGAAAAAAACTTGAATTAATATCAAAGAAAAACAAGTACTGCATAGTATTGTCTTTGATTTACATAACCTTTACACATTTAAAGAAAAAACTGTTTAACCGGATTGAAGTTATGTATTATTATAAATTTACAACTATTTAACATAATTTTAAATTTATCCGACGTTTCGCGTGCTTTACAGCGTGCGTGGTCACGGTGACTGAAGACAAAAGATGTTGGATGTCAAAAAGTATCACTCATCGACTAAAAGACCCTCCATCTTTTAGCCAACCAACCAACTCCGGGGAAATAAATACAGATAAGGCAACTTTCTCTACAGCTGTGATACATAACTTCAATCCAGAAAAGAGTTTTTTCTTTAAATACTGCATAAATAAATAATTATAATTGCATAAGTTGATAAAAAATTCTATCCAATAGCTTTACCGCGGCAGTCCCCGAGTGCCACGCGTATTTTTTTCTTAATTTTATCGACGTAAAAACATTGTATATACTCTTTCAGTACTAATGCGTGATCCAATACTCCAAGAGAAACGTCAGGAGCACGTGATGTTCCAGAAGTATGCTCTGGAGCTTCTAGAACGAGTTTCCGGCAAGAGCAAACACATGGGAGCGGAGTTTGAGACTTCGCTCGCTAATATACATAGGGTGAGTATTTTTAAATAAGGGAGCGTTCAAGTATGACGTAACGCAATTTTTGGAGATTATTAACCCCCCCCCCATGTAACTCGCCGTAACGTTTTTCAGTACCCAAGCACAGTACTGTACCCAAGTATAGTAAAACGTTTCGTGACCACCTAGTGACTTTTAAGTTACTATTATATGGTGTAAGTCGAAAAAAATATTAACAATAACGCGTAATTTAATCCCCGCCCCGCATCGTAACGTTTTACAAAAGGACCCCCCCCCCCACCAAAATACGTTACGTAATACTGGAACGCTCCCTAAACTAGCGGACCCGACAGAGGTTGTCCTGCATGATATTTCAAGCGATTAGGATATTAAACAAAGTTTGAAAGTACCGACTGCAGCGCCACCTGCCGGGCTGATTTGTGAATCTAAACCATCCAGGGCTCCACCCAAACGCATACAAAAAAAATCATTCAAATCTGTCCAGCCGATGAAGAGGACTTCAGAGTCATACACACCTACAGTAGAATTATACAGGGTGGCCAAAAAGTCGTGGATCAAACGCAACTAGGGGATAGATGAGGTGCAAACAATTGTTCTACGGGAGGTCTCTAAGCTCAACCCCTGCAGAGTTATAATTTCTTTTGCATTTTTATAAGAAAATTGTTTTTTTTTACTAATTCTTATTAAAATTCGAAAAAATCTACACCCTGTATCTTTTTTATAATATCCACTAGATTGGTACTGATGAGTCCTTGCGTTAGACATACTATTCAAAGTTGTTTATTGAGTGTATTAAATAAGTTATACGATATAAATTATTTTCAAATCAAAATTTTTTGTTTACTTCGGACCCCACTGTGAAAAAAAAATCGGTTTACTGACGATAGTTCAACGTGACAACGTCATAAGAAAATATTGATGGAATGGTTTCATTTTTCAAAAGAAAATTTAAATTCTATTTGTTTGATAGATATTTTGTATGGATATACAGAAGGAGGTAAATGGAAATCACAATTGAATTTATCAAGGTACATTTATTTGTACGCATAAATACAATATGTCAATTTTTGTGCCTCTTTGTCGCTCGTTCCGCGTTCTCGCTTGCACTTCAAGCCTTAAATGGAACGCCTCAGAGGTAACGCCTCATGAGTCATGTTTTTTCGTGCGTGCAGCCGGCTCCATCGAATTATAAGACGTTGTCACGTCAAAATTACTCTACCGAAAAGTGCCCCTGTATTACAAGTTTTGGCGCATTTAATAGGGATTCTGAAAAGGTATTACACATGGCCATGAGTCGCTGATGACCTCATCTATCCCCTATTTGCGTTCCACTACTTTTTGACCACAGTGTGAATATGTAAGCTATCCTATCTTTTAAGTTAGATCAGACTGTACATGGTGTGCAAATTTGATTGAAATCGGTTAAGTAGTTTAGGAGTCCATAGCGGACAAACAACGTGACACGTAATTTATATATATTAAGATTTATTTCTTTCGTCGTGTTCTCGTGTTCGTCATTAGCGTAGTGGGCGTCATGAAGGTAAAGTGAGAGAGTAAGAGAGACACGAATTATCGTACAGTATTTAATTTAGATTGATTCCTTTAAACACAAATAATAGAAGCGGTAGCAAACGAATGGAGAATGAGAGCCATAGACACAGTCAGTTGGAAAAAGCTGGAGGAGGCCTTTACCCGTGAAGGGGTTCCGATCGTCGGTACTGAAGGAAGCTAGAATATAGAATAACAAGCAAAAGAAATAAATTGTGCGTGTACTAGGTGTACACACGTAAGAAGTGAAACTTCTTTATGATCTTATTTTTCGAAAAATGATCTACTATATGCAACTTTACAGAAATTCGTTAAATTAGATAAAGTTTAACAAAAGGCTTTTATTATCATAGACATGAATACAAATATTTCATTTTACCTTATTACTACGAAGATTATTATAGAATTTCATTAATTGTAATAGAATTATTACTATCATTGAAAAACGTGACGATTTGCTACAAAATTTCTCCCATACGTCGATAAAGAAGTTTCATTCCAACGCCGATAAAGAAGTTTGACTTCAAAAAGCAACATGGCGCGTAACCGAAAAATGTGACGCGTAACGTAAAAATGTTACACTAAATTTTTTTCCAACCTCGATAAAGAAGTTTCACTTCAAAAAAAATGTTTAAAATTGTGTAATAATCTAAGCTGTGTATAATAATTTGTTTTTTTGTCATGATTGGAAATAAAACGGGCTTTATTATTATTATAAAACACAAATAACACCAGTTTAAATTATAACGAGCGGGTTTCAAAGCACCGATCTCTCTTTTAATCACAATTTACGACCTAACTCGGTCCAAAATCATCACCACAATGCTCCACTGAATACTCCATCAAAATTGTTTGAATCGTTAATGATAATTTTGTTTTTAAGAAAGTGGTTGAAGAGGATGCAAATAGGTGATCAGCCATCGGTGTCATGTCGATTTTTGGGGCTAAAAAGTGGGGTTCAAACATTGACCTCGGAGATTTTTTTATTTTTATGTTTGAACAATTCACACCAATTGACCTAGTCCCATGCTAAGCTGGTGAAGCTTGTGTTATGGGTACTAGGCAACGGATATACATACATATTATAAAATAAAATAAATAAAAAATAAAATATGTTTATTATGGAACATAAGATACATGTATCACTTATTCCACGTCATTACATTTGAAGGCATCCCTCCTCATCGGCAAAGAAGACAGAGGGTGTAGGCCGAGAGAAAAAGCCGGCGTAAAAAACTCTCGGTACTCTTTTAAAACAGCAAATCATCAAACAACACTTATTTAAAACAAATATCGCAAATTAATTAGAAGTAGCCTGTCTAGCACTAGTCCCAGGCCCTTTTATCAACTAGATAATCGTTGACTTTATAGTAAGCCTTTTTACACAGCTTTTCTTTAATACATTTCTTAAATTTATTGAAAGGCAGAGCCTCTGGGATTTTATTAAAGAAGAGTATCCCTTTCCCCAAAAAAAAAATAGATATAGAAAAAAGAAATATAGATAGATAGACATATAACCTTAATTGTTTTTAGTCTAAGTTTGGCCATTGAGCTGTTAATAAATAAATAAATAAATATAAATACATATTTAAACACCCAAGACCTAAGCACAACAAATGCTCATCACATCGATGTTTATCTCAGCCGATCGAACCCGGGACCCATGGATTCGCAGTCAGGGGTACTAACCAATGAGCCGTCAATTATGTAATTACTCCTGCTTCATGGCTGCTCTTGTCATATGGGCAACAGAATAAATTTGACGTTAAATATTTCCAGGCGAACGTGGTGGCCCAAACGAAAATCAACTACAACGAGAGACAGTTGTTGCAACTGGTTCAGCGCCACCTGGCGGCGAGGGGTTTGACCGAAAGTGCTGCTACTCTGCAGAGGGAGGCTGGTCTTCCGTGCCCATGTCCGGCTCCGGCCCCACCACCACCACCTGTGTATACACCTTCAACGCCTGTCAGGGTAATTGTTATGATTTGTCTTAAACAATAAATCGTATTCAGTACCTTTGGCACCAGTTTAGTACTGTTTTGCTCCAGTTTTCCACTTGCCATGCCCCGCCCATTTCCTCTTTAATTCATTTATCTGCTATGAACTGCTATCTGTTACTTAGCTTTTCTTTAAGCTGTATTCTTTATTTTGTCTATTCCTTTCTTCCCTATCATACATAGTTCAATGGATCTTTGACACACCTGTAGCTTTGTATGCTGCGCTAAATTAACTAACAAAATAAAACAAAAGCTCGAGTGTTTGTGGGTGTGTGAAAAATTTAATTCAAAGTCTTACACACACAAAGAAATACAGGAAATATATTATCATTATTATCGTGTCAGCGCGTCCTGTGACGCATAGGCATCTTCCAGCTGCTTCCATTCTTTTCTGGTGTTAGCTCTTCTTGTCCAAGTTGTGCCTCCTATTAACTTCTATTATCTTCCTCTTTTCCTTTTCCATCGCGTCTTTGTTATTCTGTAATTATTTTTGTCCATTTCAACCTGCTATCTCTAAAAAAATAAAAGATACAGCCGATATCAAAACTTACTCCATCTAATATGTTTCAGACTAGGATGTCAATATCCAGAACGAGTAGTAGCAGTTCCTTGCAAAGAGACAGCTTTGGCCTCGACCATCTGCACATGAATAACGAAGACAGTCCGATGCCTAGTGTTATCAAAATAAGGTAAGTTTCAAGCTTAAATTCCGGCAACGCACCCGCGAGCCCACTGGCATTGTGTCTATGGGCGGCGGTATTATCAGGTGAGAATCCTGTAAAAATCCAGATAACTTTGGAATATGCTGCTAAATTTCTTCATCAGATGTTGAGGAATCCGTTCCGTTCCACCATACCGTTCCTTCAGGCACTTGCGGGGGCTGCCAGTATATCCGAACGAATAAAGGCCGGCAACGTATTTACCAATTTCCTGGTGTTTTATGCGCCTGCGCTTATCTATTTAAGCGTGTGTATACTCTGATTTTTCATTCCGTAGAATTCTGACATTTCAAAGTGTTGCTACTAAAAAGTTCTCCACCGAAAAAGGGACTTATTTGAGGACAATAAAAAAATGCTACGTATTTTTTACCTATAAAATATAACAATAACAAATTAACTTTAATTACTTTATTTTAATTCTTTAGCTGCCATCACTGCCTACTAATTCCAGGTTTAGTAAACCTTTTTAATAAAATAAAATGTTATCTTAACTTAATAAAATGGATACATTCACTAACAAATAAAATATGACTCAGATGTTCAGACTCGTATTGAAATTGAAAAATGTGCCCGGCCAAAAAGGTTTGCCATCTCTGACATGTCACAAAATGATAGCTGTCAGAATTCTACGGAATTAAAAATCAGAGTATAGTAAATTTCGTAAATTTGATGGTATGATATCGAGATGGTCTTTTGATTAAATAATAATAGAATTTAATATAAACCCAAATAAGAAGTCCAGTCATTTAAATAAATATCTAAGTAATTGAAGAGTTCAAGTTTCATCGAAATAGGTTCAGTAATTTTGTGGTATAGGAACGTTTTGACAGTGTAAAATGATTTTTCAGAAAAGTTCAAAATCCAAACCCGTCGACGCCGACGTCGGAGCATAAGCGGTCCCTTCAGAAGCAGTTAAGCATCGCGGGCGCTGATCGTCCACCGTCACCTCCCAGGATCACCCTCCACTCCATCATCACGGAGTACCTCTACAACCAGCACGCCCTGTGCAAGAACCCGGTGGTTACTTGTCCGCAGTTTAATTTGTTTGAGTGAGTATTTATTTGTCAACTTGAACTAAAAAATTACTATTTAAAAGAATAGTTCACAATTAAACAGACAAACAGACGTTCTTCAATACACAAATTAAAAAAAAATGTAATTGTAAATCTAAACCATTTTCAAATCCACACACACACAAAAGGTTCATCAAAATCGGTTCAGTCGTTAAGGAGTAATTACAAATAAAAACTTTTTACTACAAAAATTTAAAAAAATACTGTAAAAATAATGTTTTCTGTCCATTCCCATTTACAGTATTGGATAAATTCGTCCGAGACTGTTTTCGATTCATAAATTGCATAATTACAAGCATATTACGTATTTACAAGCGTGTTACGTCACAGGCTGGTGAGACGCTATCTTGTCTAGCGTTAAAATTTAAATGATTAATAAATACTTAACAAATTAATAAATTTGTTTTGTACTCATAAATCTAAAATGGTTTTTGATACGTGTTAAATGCTACTAAAAATGAAATTTACATTGATTAGATAGATTAGTCCATATTGGAGTTATTACTCGTGTGTATGTTGTAACTGGCCCTGGCTCAGCATGATGCTGTGGAGCAGACGTGTTCCACAGCGCTGGTCATTCTGCCGGAGACCACAGCAGATATACTACGTATAACTAATTTTTCCGGGGCAGTGTAAAACAACTTTAAACAGATAAAAAGTCCTTAAGTGTTGCGGTAGTTTCCGAATCATAGCGCATAGAGTCTGGCTAATAACGATAACGAAAAAGCGCGGCAAATTCAAAAAATTTAGTATGGTATCCCTAAAAGTTTGATATTTTTTGTGGATTAAACTTACTTGATACTTGATTTTATTTTATTATTTTTTACCTTGATAGTAACGTATTTAGTCTTTTACTATTGATAATTAAAATGCATGGAAAACTAAAACTATATTTATTATAAAACACAACTTTATTCGGAATAATCAAAATCAGAATCCAAAAAAATCAATAAAACAAAATTTTGGCTATTATACCTGTTAACTATTCGGAAAAAAAATAGAAATAAAAATGAGTAATTGCATGAAGTGTCAAGACAATAAATCATACAAACCTAAGAAATTCAATGATATTCTGTGTTGCCATCCGAAAGTTTTCAAATACTTCAATTATCTTTTTTCATTAGCTTCAATCAGACTCTAGCTTTGAACTTTTTCGCGCAAGCGCAATACGTTCAAGACCCAATCGTGGCACTGCAGTTTTCGAACAAAGGATTTTTGTTTGTTGGATAATTGTAACACGCAAAGTGGGTCGGTTTGGGACGAACTTTTAGTATGGGTCCGTGCACGTATATATGCGAGTGATAATATAGTTTTGGTATATTTCTAAAATTGAGAATATTTGTGCGTTGTAGACCCCACAAATGTCCCGAACCCCGGCCGGGCGGTCTAACCTCCGTGAGCTCGCGGCACACCGAGCCCCTGAACATCTGCGGACGCCTCGTGAGGCGCGAGCTCGGCACGTCCAGCTCGTGCCGGGAGCACGCTGCGCTCGCGCACTCCAACTTCGCCGCCTCGCGCACGTTACGGCTCTCGGACGACGACGCCTATTTTACGCACGCTATATTCCATGTAAGTATACTAAACGAAATCTTTTGAGGTGAAAATTCTTTAGAGGTGAATTGAAATTAGTGGTGAGGTGTTCATCGATTTATTAGACGTTGTCACGTCAAAAATTGTTACGCCATGGCGCCTTCCCAGAAGTTATAATAATGTTAAATGTTTTTTTTTTATGTTTTAGCCAACACAACAGCAGTTACTAGCGGCGACATCTTCCGGGGACATCCGGGTGTTCAATTTGTTCAGCGGCACCGAGGAGCATTCCTATCGAGTGCACGATTCGTATATAATATATCATATACAGGTATTGTAATTGTTATCTTTATATATATAAATTACGTGTCACGTTGTTTGTCCGCTATGGACTCCTTAACTACTTAACCGATATCAATCAAATTTGCACATCGTGTACCGTTTGATCCAACTTAAAGGATAGGATAGCTTATATCTCAATTTATACCCGCAATATTATTTTATTGCAAAATATTTGTTTATTATTTGATATAAATTCTAACAGATGGCGCTGTGTTGAAGTACCAACGTTTCAAATAAGCTACAATTTAATGGCATAACCACCAGAAAAGCATGGTGGTCCCCATGACTGGTGTTCTCCTACCGTTTCCCTTGAATAGTTTACTACTATGTAATTTAACAAAAACCTTAGCCACAGCAACGCTTGGCCGGTCTGCTAGTTTACATAATATATTTATGAAGTTCTTTACTCTAACAGCTCTCTGAAAATATTCACAAAATTTGCTTTTATATGTGACCGTTATTCTCTCCCCCCTCCTCTCGTCAGCAAAAGTAAGCAAAGCTCTCAAATATTGTACCTAAACGTATTATTTTTTGTAGGAATCCTGGAAAATGCATTTCGTTTTCAATCATAGACAATGTGTGGGTAATATGTGTAAAAAAGTAAATAATTACTGTTGACGTAATCACCAAATAAGAAAATCAAAAACCCCCTGCCCCCCATAGTGCTTACGTAATACTTGAATACCAAAATGTATTAACAAAAAAATCTGTATTCTAATTTAAATGACAGACCAAAACTAGCGTCTCTTCCATAGACTAACAAACAAATCACCCATCAGTTAACACAAAATAGATAATTAATCATCTAATCTAATTTAAAAATTTAATTATTTCTTTACATATAATTAAATATATATATATTTAAACATCGAGCTAGTCATCTTTTGTCTCTCATATACAGTATTTGAATTTCAGTCAAGCAGAGACGGTTTGCTTCTCCTGGCTTCGTCGTCCACATCATGGCGGACGCATTCGGCTCTTTGGAACATGAAGGAATTTGAACATTGGTAATTTGAATATATTATTATTCTTATCGACTTTAAGATTCCATAAGAATTTCCAGATTTTCGCATTTAATGGAACGAATCCACGTTCCGATAAATGCGGATTTTAAAAGATCTTGTAAGCCCGGCAACGCAACCTCTAAAATACGTGTTCGTAGTTTTTTTTGAAATGAAAACTTCTTTAGCGGCGTTGTACACTTTTTTTGGAATGGGTAAAAAATGTTAAACTCGCGTCAGGACACGTGACCTGATCGAAAATTCGTAAGACGGATGGAGAGTAGACAGCTGGCGCGGCGTATTTAATTATAAATTGTCATGTTTGTGTACGATAGCGTAATAAATAAATATTGTATTCTACCACATAAATGATAGTACTTTTATATTGATAATTAAAGCAATTCGTGCAAAATTATTCCCTAACCATTCCAAAATATCAAAAATGCACAACGTTATTACAAGTGTTCACTTCTGCCGGCACTCCCGGAGTGCAACCCGTCGTTTTTTATTTATTTATTATATATCAATTTCAATTTCAAAGCCTTTATTTCAACTAATATAAGAGAAAGTTTACAAAATATAAATGTATATAAAAAAGTTATTTAAGAAGGTTTAGTTGCACAGCTGTCCTCTTGTACAGCTTGCCTTTGTGGCACAAAGGCCTCCTCCAGCTGTTTCCAGTGCTTCCTATCCCTGGCGAGTCTTTGCCACAGAGGACCAGTGGCTTTTCTAAAGTCATCAGCCCACCGAGGACATGGTCTTCCTCTCTTTCGCTTGTAGCGAGGTGTCCATTGAGTGACTTTTTTCGACCATTTTGCTCTCTGGCCTCTGAGCAGGTGTCCTGTCCATCTCTATTTAAGCCTTTTGGCTCTGGTCATTGCATCTTCCCAGTTGGTGATCCTTCGGAGATCTACAGTTCTTTTCCTATCATTCCGTGTGCAACCTAGTATGCTCCTTTCCATACTTCTCTGGCAAGTCACAAGCTTTTGACTTGGGACTTGCTTAGTGGTCCGAGTACGTTAGGATAGGTGAGATGCAGGTGTTGAAGATGCTCCTTTTGATCCTTAGTGGGTACTCTTTATTCTTTAGGATGTGTTTTAATGACCAGAATCTTTTCCACGCATTTGAGGGTCTTCTCTCTATTTCCTGCTGGGCTTGTTCTGTCATGGAGATGAGTTGTCCCAAGTTTGTCATGGCTTTTGTTTTTGATTTGTTCATTGTTAAACCCACCTACCCACTTTTGGTAGCCAGTTCTTCGATCATAGTTAGTAGTTATGAGCACAATGTCATCTGCAATGTGATAATTATATATACATGATCTTAAATAGAAAATAAGTTGGTGTGGTGGAAACACAAACTGGACACATATTAAATTTATTTTTCCAGCTTTTCACTAGACAACGAGGAGTACGTGGAGTTCTCAAAAATGACGGACGACCGGATCATCGGTACCAAGGGGGAGACGGCTACCATCTACGACACGTTAACGGGCAGAGAACTGATGACCCTGAAGCCGTCCATCAGCAATCAGTACGGGAAGAACAGAGCCACCTTCAATCCTACGGACGAGCTGGTGTTATCTGGTAGGTTTTTTCCGATTTCTAACAAAAATATATATTTGTACTGGTTCCAACTAAGAGAATATTTAATTAAAATCGTTTAGTCTCGCTAATGAAAGAATATAACGAAAAAGCGCGGCAAATTAAAAAAAAAATAGTATGGTATCCTTAAGAGTTTGATATATTCTGTGGATTAAACTTACTTGATACTTGATTTTATTTTATTATTTTTTACCTTGATAGTAACGTATTTAGTCTTCTACTATTGATAATTAAAATGACTAGCATTGCATGGAAAACTAAAACTATATTTATTATAAAACACAACTTTATTCGGAATAATCAAAATCAGAATCCAAAAAATCAAAGTTTAGGCTATTATACCTGTTAACTATTCGGAAAAAATATATAATATAAATAAAAATTAGTTATTGCATGAAGTATCAAGATCATACTAACCTAAGAAATTCAATGACATTCTGTGTTGCCATCCTAAAGTTTTCAAATAATTCAATTATCATTAGACAGACTATAGTAATTTTTGGTGGAATTAACTTTTAATTATTAATTTCTTATTACTACACACATATATATATTTCTGCTAACTTTTAATTAGAAAAATCGAAATGACTCAACTACGGGCGCACCCGTTGTTTTAACGTATAAAAAAGTATACGTTTAATATTTTAAATAAAAATTTTTCTCCGAAATAATTTTTTTATACAGCTTAAGGTCCTTGAAGAAAAGATGGTACCAATTCTTAAAAGGCCGTCAACACACTTGCGAGCCTTCTGGCAATGAGTGTCCATGGGCGGCGGTATCATATAACATCAGATGCCTATTGCCTGTTTGCTTCATAAAAAAGGGGGATATCGGGCAGGTGACTCACCCGTGAGTGATATCCATCAAACGCAGATGAGTACGTTGCCGGCCTATGACGATTAAATTCTAATTATTGAATTTTCTTTTTTCAGATGGTGTTCTATGGGACGTGAACTCGGGCAAAGAAATTCATAAATTTGATAAATTGAATCAAACGCATAGTGGAGTGTTTCATCCGAATGGACTTGAGGTGATTCAAAATTATCATTAGTTTGTTTGATTTTTTTATATAAAAAAGAAGTCGTTCAAGTTCAAGTGCAATTTATTCCCCCCTCCTCTTGCAAAAGTAAGCAAAGCTCTCAAAAATAATAGTACATAAACGTATTAATTTTTTGTAGGAATCCTCGAAAATGCATTTCCTTTTCAAGCATAGACAATGTGTGGGTAAAAAGTAAATAATTACTGCTGACGTATACTTGAACGAATTTTTAGCTACATTAACGTTTCACATCAATTTATAAACAGTGGACAAAACAGTTCACGTATTGTGCGCTGACGCTGCGTCCGAGTAAAAGAGAGATGCGACACAAGCCAAACGTTAGGCCGTTCGTGCCTATCGGCGTTCATTAATACGCTATTACGTCAATAAATAAAAAAAATCTCACGCTTATATTAACCATTGAAAACAATTGTATTTCAATGAATCGAACACAGTTCAAAGAAGGAATAAATGCTTAATTAAGTTTCATACACACCCACACACTCTTACATACATAAACACACATCCTACATTCACACACACACACTTACATACACACAAACACATACTTACTAACATTCACACACACACACACTTTTATTATTTTAATGTGAATTCTCGTCTGTCAGGTCTTCTGATAATATTAATATATTTCCAGGTCATATCAAATACCGAAGTGTGGGACCTTAGAGTATTTCACTTGTTAAGAACCGTACCATCGTTGGATAAGTCGGAAGTAAGTATGACAGTTGCGAGTACGTTGGCGGCCTTTATGGACCTTGCCTCTTAAATTTTAAAAGCTTTATACTTAGTTTGTTTAATTAAAAAAAAATTACACGTCTAATTGATTTTTGTTTTTTTTAAAGTCGGTTAAAACGTCAATCAGTCTTGGCCTAGTAGCTTCAGCGAATCTTATCCCTGAGGTTATAGGTTCGATCCCCGGCACCAATGGACTATGTGCGCATTTAACATTCGCTAGTACCAAGGAAAATATCGTGAGGAAACCGGCCTTAGATCCAAAAATCGATGGTGTCAGGCACAGGAGGCTGATCTACTTGCCTATTAGATTGACATATCATGAAACAGATACAGAAATCTGAGGCCGAGACCTAAAAAGGCCCAGAGATTTTTGTTCCCAGTCTCAATAGAATTTTTTTTGTAGGTTATTTTTAACCCGGGACGCACAGTGCTGTACGCCGTCTGCTCGGATCAGGACCCCGAAGAGAGGAGTCAGTTCGATACTAGTTTTAAAACTTTATCCGCTCACGACTACGCCAGTATAGGTATGTATTATTATTGGATATTCAAATAAAATCCTATACATACACAGTCTTTATAACGTCATTCGTTATGACAAAATACTTTCTATAACGTAAAAATTAGTTTCATTTGATTCTTTTAACACAAAACCCATACATTAGTTCACTCTTTATAACGCAACAGCCATTCTTTATAACGAAGAAATATCTTTATATTTAGACATCAACAACATACTTAAGTGTAATTGTTTTTATAATCAGCTTACAAAACTTAACTTTTGACGTAACAAAATTTCTAAGAAAGACACCTGAGGTCATAAACAGCCGTCTCGCCTTCGTTATTGTTAATTGCATTAACACGTGTGCCATTATTCTTAGATTACATTGCTTGTAGGAAATTTTGGTCTCAGTTACTAAACGCACCAACATTTTCTTTTCTATTCACTCCATATAACGATTTTTTTTTTGCCAGCTACCATAGACGTGAAACGGAACATATACGGCCTCAGCGTGTCACCCTACGGCACGCAGATCTCCGTCGTGGAGAATTTAGGTGATTTTGAGCAGGTTCAGGAGTCCTGCGTCAAGATTTACGACGTTGGACGAAAGCGGGACCATGAGGACGATGTGGTAAGTCATGGGAATTGGTGGCGCCTCCTACTGGATAGTTGGATTTCTCACTATTCACACACACAGCCGTGAATATGTTTTTTTACTAATTACACACACAGCCGTGGATAGGTTTTCTTAATATTCACACACACAGCCGTGGCTAGTAGGTTTTCTTAATATTCACACACACAGCCGTGGCTAGTAGGTTTTCTTAATATTCACACACACAGCCGTGGCTAGTAGGTTTTCTTAATATTCACACACACAGCCGTGGAAATGTTTTCTTACTATTCACACACACAGCCGTGGCTAGTAGGTTTTATTACTATTCACACACACAGCCGTGGAAATGTTTTCTTACTATTTACACACACAGCCGTGGCTAGTAGGTTTTATTACTATTCACACACACAGCCGTGGAAATGTTTTCTTAATATTCACACACACAGCCGTGGCTAGTAGGTTTTATTACTATTCACACACACAGCCGTGGATATGTTTTCTTATTACGCACACACACAGCCGTGGAAATGTTTTCTTACTATTTACACACACAGCCGTGGCTAGTAGGTTTTATTACTATTCACACACACAGCCGTGGAAATGTTTTCTTAATATTCACACACACAGCCGTGGCTAGTAGGTTTTCTTAATATTCACACACATAGCCGTGGCTAGTAGGTTTTCTTAATATTCACACACATAGCCGTGGCTAGTAGGTTTTCTTAATATTCACACACACAGCCGTGGCTAGTAGGTTTTCTTAATATTCACACACACAGCCGTGGAAATGTTTTCTTAATATTCACACACACAGCCGTGGCTAGTAGGTTTTATTACTATTCACACACACAGCCGTGGATATGTTTTCTTATTACGCACACACACAGCCGTGGAAATGTTTTCTTACTATTTACACACACAGCCGTGGCTAGTAGGTTTTATTACTATTCACACACACAGCCGTGGAAATGTTTTCTTAATATTCACACACACAGCCGTGGCTAGTAGGTTTTCTTAATATTCACACACATAGCCGTGGCTAGTAGGTTTTCTTAATATTCACACACATAGCCGTGGCTAGTAGGTTTTCTTAATATTCACACACACAGCCGTGGCTAGTAGGTTTTCTTAATATTCACACACACAGCCGTGGAAATGTTTTCTTAATATTCACACACACAGCCGTGGCTAGTAGGTTTTATTACTATTCACACACACAGCCGTGGATATGTTTTCTTATTACGCACACACACAGCCGTGGAAATGTTTTCTTACTATTTACACACACAGCCGTGGCTAGTAGGTTTTATTACTATTCACACACACAGCCGTGGAAATGTTTTCTTAATATTCACACACACAGCCGTGGCTAGTAGGTTTTCTTAATATTCACACACATAGCCGTGGCTAGTAGGTTTTCTTAATATTCACACACATAGCCGTGGCTAGTAGGTTTTCTTAATATTCACACACACAGCCGTGGCTAGTAGGTTTTCTTAATATTCACACACACAGCCGTGGAAATGTTTTCTTAATATTCACACACACAGCCGTGGCTAGTAGGTTTTATTACTATTCACACACACAGCCGTGGATATGTTTTCTTATTACGCACACACACAGCCGTGGAAATGTTTTCTTACTATTTACACACACAGCCGTGGCTAGTAGGTTTTATTACTATTCACACACACAGCCGTGGATATGTTTTCTTATTACGCACACACACAGCCGTGGAAATGTTTTCTTACTATTTACACACACAGCCGTGGCTAGTAGGTTTTATTACTATTCACACACACAGCCGTGGAAATGTTTTCTTAATATTCACACACACAGCCGTGGCTAGTAGGTTTTCTTAATATTCACACACATAGCCGTGGCTAGTAGGTTTTCTTAATATTCACACACATAGCCGTGGCTAGTAGGTTTTCTTAATATTCACACACACAGCCGTGGCTAGTAGGTTTTCTTAATATTTACACACACAGCCGTGGCTAGTAGGTTTTATTACTATTCACACACACAGCCGTGAATATGTTTTCTTATTACGCACACACACAGCCGTGGAAATGTTTTCTTACTATTTACACAGCCGTGGCTAGTAGGTTTTATTACTATTCACACACACAGCCGTGGAAATGTTTTCTTAATATTCACACACACAGCCGTGGCTAGTAGGTTTTCTTAATATTCACACACATAGCCGTGGCTAGTAGGTTTTCTTAATATTCACACACATAGCCGTGGCTAGTAGGTTTTCTTAATATTCACACACACAGCCGTGGCTAGTAGGTTTTCTTAATATTCACACACACAGCCGTGGAAATGTTTTCTTAATATTCACACACACAGCCGTGGCTAGTAGGTTTTATTACTATTCACACACACAGCCGTGGAAATGTTTTCTTAATATTCACACACACAGCCGTGGCTAGTAGGTTTTCTTAATATTCACACACATAGCCGTGGCTAGTAGGTTTTCTTAATATTCACACACACAGCCGTGGCTAGTAGGTTTTCTTAATATTCACACACACAGCCGTGGCTAGTAGGTTTTCTTAATATTCACACACACAGCCGTGGCTAGTTGGTTTTCTTAATATTCACACACACAGCCGTGGCTAGTTGGTTTTCTTAATATTCACACACACAGCCGTGGCTAGTAGGTTTTCTTAATATTCACACACACAGCCGTGGCTAGTAGGTTTTCTTAATATTCACACACACAGCCGTGGCTAGTAGGTTTTCTTAATTTTCACACACACAGCCGTGGCTAGTAGGTTTTCTTAATATTCACACACACAGCCGTGGCTAGTAGGTTTTCTTAATATTCACACACACAGCCGTGGCTAGTAGGTTTTCTTAATATTCACACACACAGCCGTGGCTAGTAGGTTTTCTTAATATTCACACACACAGCCGTGGCTAGTAGGTTTTCTTAATTTTCACACACACAGCCGTGGCTAGTAGGTTTTCTTAATATTCACACACACAGCCGTGGCTAGTAGGTTTTCTTAATATTCACACACACAGCCGTGGCTAGTAGGTTTTCTTAATATTCACACACACAGCCGTGGCTAGTAGGTTTTCTTAATATTCACACACACAGCCGTGGCTAGTAGGTTTTCTTAATTTTCACACACACAGCCGTGGCTAGTAGGTTTTCTTAATATTCACACACACAGCCGTGGCTAGTAGGTTTTCTTAATATTCACACACACAGCCGTGGCTAGTAGGTTTTCTTAATATTCACACACACAGCCGTGGCTAGTAGGTTTTCTTAATTTTCACACACACAGCCGTGGCTAGTAGGTTTTCTTAATATTCACACACACAGCCGTGGCTAGTAGGTTTTCTTAATATTCACACACACAGCCGTGGCTAGTAGGTTTTCTTAATATTCACACACACAGCCGTGGCTAGTAGGTTTTCTTAATATTCACACACACAGCCGTGGCTAGTAGGTTTTCTTAATATTCACACACACAGCCGTGGCTAGTTGGTTTTCTTAATATTCACACACACAGCCGTGGCTAGTTGGTTTTCTTAATATTCACACACACAGCCGTGGCTAGTAGGTTTTCTTAATATTCACACACACAGCCGTGGCTAGTAGGTTTTCTTAATATTCACACACACAGCCGTGGCTAGTAGGTTTTCTTAATTTTCACACACACAGCCGTGGCTAGTAGGTTTTCTTAATATTCACACACACAGCCGTGGCTAGTAGGTTTTCTTAATATTCACACACACAGCCGTGGCTAGTAGGTTTTCTTAATATTCACACACACAGCCGTGGCTAGTAGGTTTTCTTAATATTCACACACACAGCCGTGGCTAGTAGGTTTTCTTAATTTTCACACACACAGCCGTGGCTAGTAGGTTTTCTTAATATTCACACACACAGCCGTGGCTAGTAGGTTTTCTTAATATTCACACACACAGCCGTGGCTAGTAGGTTTTCTTAATATTCACACACACAGCCGTGGCTAGTAGGTTTTCTTAATATTCACACACACAGCCGTGGCTAGTAGGTTTTCTTAATATTCACACACACAGCCGTGGCTAGTAGGTTTTCTTAATATTCACACACACAGCCGTGGCTAGTAGGTTTTCTTAATATTCACACACACAGCCGTGACTAGTAGGTTTTCTTCATATTCACACACACAGCCGTGGATATGTTTTCTTATTACGCACACATACAGCCACAGTTAGTGAATTTATACTTTTTATTATTATAGGAGGAAGACGAAGAGGAGGATATGACAGGTCGCTCTGAAAATGATGATGGATCAGACTCAGGCTCCGAGAATGACGATGATTGTGAGTATTATGAACAGTACCGAAAGCAGTTTGTCTCTTTCTATCTTATTGTGTTTACGCTGTGACGAAAAGAGACGGGTTTAGTATTACAATTCATATATGTCGGAGAAATATCGTCACTCCATATCGATTTAGACATCATTAGCGGATCGAGATCCTAAAGATGTTTTCCTTCACCGTTCAAGCGTTGGTTCACAGGGAATCGAACCTACGATCAAGGATGAGGGTCCTGCGAAGCCCCTAATCCCCTATTAAGGGACTCTGTTCTTGAGTTATTTTTCACTTAGCACTTAAAATTAATGGAGCGTTCAAGTATTACGTCACGAAATTTTTGGAGATTATTGACCCCCCCCCCATGTAACGCGCCGTAAAGTTTTTCTGTGACCCAAGTATAGTAAAATGTTTCATGACTATACCTAAAAGTTACCATTATGTGGTGTAAGTCGAAAATAGTATTAAAAATAACGCGTAATTCAATCCCCGCCCCGCATCGTAACGTTAAGGATCCCCTTCATCCCCCCCCAAATTCGTTACGTAATACTCAAACGCTCCCTAATGGGCACCAACACATGAATTTTTCTGAATCTTCTAACTTGCGTGGAAGAAGTTGAATAGCCTCAACATTGAGGTGGATCCTTCGTTTGTGTTCCAGGATTATTTTATAACGGAACGGGAATCTATTAGAATTTTTTTGTCTTTATGATTTGTAGTAGCGTCGAGCCTGCTACGCAATGCAGTGATGGGTTTAGCTGAAGAAGAGAGCTCCGGAGAGTCTTCGAGGGGAGACAACGAGCCCGATAGAAGAGAGAGGAGAAGAGTCAGGACACGGAGACGGGTCAGTATTATAATCAAAGTCTACGCATTCATTTCATTCATTAACAAAACAAGTAAAAAAATGGTGAGTGTACTTATGTACGCGCGTAAGAAGTTATACTTCTTTGGCTTTCTTTATTTTTTTTAATATTAAATAATTCATAATAAATATTTAGCGTTAATAATTTAACAATATTTAATATTTAGTATATTATTCAATTATTAATTAATATTAATAATTATTATTATTATTACTTTATTTTATTATTCATTCAATTTTATAACTAGGTATGTTTCATAACCTTTTAACTAAGTAACAATATAGGTCTTTGTGAAAAAGCATTCTTTGAAAAAATAATTAAAACTCCTTTATTTGTTTAAAAGGTACAAATGTCATTATGGTCATTCAAAATTCTTGGCATACGAACTTCACGCATATTCTATTTCTTTTTACTTGTAGATTGTTTTATTCCTATCTCGCTCGCGCACGCTATAATCACACTCCCAATTTTGTGTCACGGTGCGCGCGCATCGTAAAATTTCACTCTCATAAATTTTTCATAACGCGCCTAAAGAAGTATAACTTCAAAATATCAACATTACCAACTATAATGGCGTAACGGTGTTGTCAGAATGTAGACTTAGGGTCCTCCAAGAAAAGAGCGTAATAATTCTTAAAAGGCCGGCTCGCGAGCCCTCTGGCATTGAGTGTCCATGGGCGGCATTACTTTACATCAGATGGGCATGGGCAGGAGGCTTCCAATCCCTAAATATCCCTCGTCTAAAACGGATCTTTCCGTAGACTCTGTTCAACTTCAAGTCATGATGAGGTCCAGAATCCAAATAAACCTTGAAGTTTTCCATTTGAATGTAATGTACTCGTAATTTTTACCTCTTTCATTTAAATAAATGCTCATCTCTGGCTTAGAGTATTTATTAAAGCACTAGAAATTGCGTTTGTTTACGTGTTTACTAGTATGTTCATCACGTCATAGATTCGGTGCGACGCCATTTTGCATACGTTTTGGCGGATTCTTAAAAAATATGAATTTTAATAGAGATAAAATAGGTACCGGGACTGTCTAAATAATCTGAGTACCAGGGTGGATAAATAATAGGAATACCGGGACTGACTAAACAATATGAGTACCGGGACTGACTAAATAATATGAGTACCGGGGTGGATAAATAATAGGAATACCGGGACTGACTAAATAATATGAGTACCGGGACTGACTAAATAATATGAGTACCGGGGTGGATAAATAATAGGAATACCGGGACTGACTAAACAATATGAGTACCGGGACTGACTAAATAATATGAGTACCGGGGTGGATAAATAATAGGAATACCGGGACTGACTAAACAATATGAGTACCGGGACTGACTAAATAATATGAGTACCGGGGTGGATAAATAATAGGAATACCGGGACTGACTAAACAATATGAGTACCGGGACTGACTAAATAATATGAGTACCGGGGTGGATAAATAATAGGAATACCGGGACTGACTAAACAATATGAGTACCGGGACTGACTAAATAATATGAGTACCGGGGTGGATAAATAATAGGAATACCGGGACTGACTAAACAATATGAGTACCGGGACTGACTAAATAATATGAGTACCGGGGTGGATAAATAATAGGAATACCGGGACTGACTAAACAATATGAGTACCGGGACTGACTAAATAATATGAGTACCGGGGTGGATAAATAATAGGAATACCGGGACTGACTAAACAATATGAGTACCGGGACTGACTAAATAATATGAGTACCGGGGTGGATAAATAATAGGAATACCGGGACTGACTAAACAATATGAGTACCGGGACTGACTAAATAATATGAGTACCGGGGTGGATAAATAATAGGAATACCGGGACTGACTAAACAATATGAGTACCGGGACTGACTAAATAATATGAGTACCGGGGTGGATAAATAATAGGAATACCGGGACTGACTAAACAATATGAGTACCGGGACTGACTAAATAATATGAGTACCGGGGTGGATAAATAATAGGAATACCGGGACTGACTAAACAATATGAGTACCGGGACTGACTAAATAATATGAGTACCGGGGTGGATAAATAATAGGAATACCGGGACTGACTAAACAATATGAGTACCGGGACTGACTAAATAATATGAGTACCGGGGTGGATAAATAATAGGAATACCGGGACTGACTAAACAATATGAGTACCGGGACTGACTAAATAATATGAGTACCGGGGTGGATAAATAATAGGAATACCGGGACTGACTAAACAATATGAGTACCGGGACTGACTAAATAATATGAGTACCGGGGTGGATAAATAATAGGAATACCGGGACTGACTAAACAATATGAGTACCGGGACTGACTAAATAATATGAGTACCGGGGTGGATAAATAATAGGAATACCGGGACTGACTAAACAATATGAGTACCGGGACTGACTAAATAATATGAGTACCGGGGTGGATAAATAATAGGAATACCGGGACTGACTAAACAATATGAGTACCGGGACTGACTAAATAATATGAGTACCGGGGTGGATAAATAATAGGAATACCGGGACTGACTAAACAATATGAGTACCGGGACTGACTAAATAATATGAGTACCGGGGTGGATAAATAATAGGAATACCGGGACTGACTAAACAATATGAGTACCGGGACTGACTAAATAATATGAGTACCGGGGTGGATAAATAATAGGAATACCGGGACTGACTAAACAATATGAGTACCGGGACTGACTAAATAATATGAGTACCGGGGTGGATAAATAATAGGAATACCGGGACTGACTAAACAATATGAGTACCGGGACTGACTAAATAATATGAGTACCGGGGTGGATAAATAATAGGAATACCGGGACTGACTAAACAATATGAGTACCGGGACTGACTAAATAATATGAGTACCGGGGTGGATAAATAATAGGAATACCGGGACTGACTAAACAATATGAGTACCGGGACTGACTAAATAATATGAGTACCGGGGTGGATAAATAATAGGAATACCGGGACTGACTAAACAATATGAGTACCGGGACTGACTAAATAATATGAGTACCGGGGTGGATAAATAATAGGAATACCGGGACTGACTAAACAATATGAGTACCGGGACTGACTAAACAATATGAGTACCGGGGTGGATAAATAATAGGAATACCGGGACTGACTAAACAATATGAGTACCGGGACTGACTAAACAATATGAGTACCGGGGTGGATAAATAATATGAGTACCGGGACTGACTAAACAATATGAGTACCGGGACTGACTAAATAATATGAGTACCGGGAGTGACTAAATAATATGAGTACCGGGACTGACTAAACAATATGAGTACCGGGACTGACTAAATAATATGAGTACCGGGAGTGACTAAATAATATGAGTACCGGGACTGACTAAATAATATGAGTACCGGGACTGACTAAATAATATGAGTACCGGGGTGGATAAATAATAGGAATACCGGGACTGACTAAATAATATTAGTACCGGGACTGGCTAAATAAAATGAATGAAACTTGTTTCAGGCCGCGGAGCAGCACAGTAGCGACAGCGATGGCGATATTGAACTTGGCGATATCGTTGAGTTTGACTTCGACTGATTTAATGCAATAAAGTTTTATAATGTTTTAATCGACTTTTATTTCAACCTCTTAGGAAATAAATAAAATAAAAAATCGATTGTCTGTAAAGTCGGTTTACTGACGATAGTTGAACGTGGCAACGTCATAAGAAAATACTAATGGTTGCATTTTTCAAAAGAAAATTTAAATTTATTTGTTTGATAGTACTGATATATACGTAGAGAAGGAGGTAAATCACAATAGAATTGATCAAGTTACATTTATTTGTACGCCTAAATACAATTATGTCGAACGCTGTGAACGCGGAGGCCGTTTGTGCCTCTTTGTCGCTCGTTCCTCGCTCTCGCTTGCACTTCGAGCCTTAAATGGAACACCTCAGAGCGAGGTAACGCCGCATGCGTGGTTATGTAAGTTACTATATTTAATTAGTACACGATCTCCGACTTCAAATTCTTCCATTTGTGTCTCATCACTGCTATGTGAGCCCAGGTTTCTGGTCCGGTCCTCTCTTTTTTTCTCACAACAGCATATTATTCGATCATCTTTATCTTATATAGAGTAGCATTTAGCTCGATTCAAATAGATAATCTGTAAGATAATATATTTTACTCATAGATATCGATCAACTGTCAACTGACAAACTGATATTTTGACAGCTGTCAGCACAAACCCTATACCTAGCTAGTTTAACATTGAAAAACGCGTAAACTGAAACTCAAATTAACTTTACTCATAGAAAGAAAATATGACATCACAAATTTAACACACATACACATCATATTAGCACATTAGTAATCTATCAAAAATTAAAACAAACAAACACTGCTCTGCGATTCTGTAACTCATTTTCGAACTCACAGAGCGGTTTTCGCATCGGCGGTCGCTCTCAAATCAGTCGTGAAGTAGTCATTTTATGATTTGGCATTCTGATAAACAATAAACTACAAGCCCCTCCTTTTCAGAATGCCAAATCATAAAATGACTGCTTCACGACTGATTTGAGAGCGACCGCCGATGCGAAAACCGCTCTGTGAGTTCGAAAAGTGAGTTACAGAATCGCAGGGCAGAATAAAAAGTAAAAAGATAAAAATTGCGATAATACTAATAATAAAAGCCTTTATTCAGATAGAAAATTTTACATAATTTTAAACTTAAACTATTATCACTAGTGAGTCGGTGACACCGACAACCCGTCTGTTGCAAAGGCCTCCTCCATTTCTTTCCACTCTGCTCTGTTCTTTTTTTTTTTTTTTTTACTTAGGGAAATGCATTGCGCATACCCTACCGCGGTGCGACTGCTTAGTGCGGGAGGGTTATGTGGGACTCGCGAATGTGCATACCCACTAAAACCCCAAGGCGCCACCAACAATCGCCTTAGGCGGGATGCGGTAACAGCAGAGCCTTATCCGCTTCCCGACATGCGATGCGGCAGTTGTGTCCGCCTCTCCCCGCCCATTGTTGATTTGTGAAGATACTTGACACAGCAAGTATCCTTCACAGATCGGGCCATACGCTTTAAGGAATAGCTAGGGGAGATCGGGTCCAGTGCTTGCAGGGATCACCATCCCTTCTTTTTTTCCCAGTTACGGATTTTATTTCGTCTTCCCACTTTCGAAACTGTCTACCTCGTTTTCTTTTCTTATTTCTTGGGTACCAATATATGATCTTTTTGTTCCACTTTTCTATACCTCTTATGTGACCAGCCCATTTCAATCTTCGTACCCTCGTTGTGACGTCTTCAATCATCGTGTGGTTTCTTATGATTTAATTATTGATTCTATTGGACTTCCTGATATTTAGCATGCTTCTTTTCATCGCCGTCTGGCATGTCTTCAGTTCCATGGTTTGCATTTTAGTGAGTGCCCAAGTTTGGCAGCCGTATGTTAATACTAGAAGTATGCAAGTGTTACACAGCTTTGATTTGACATTTATTTTTATTTCTGTGTTTTTCATGATGTCGCTAAGCCCCCAGTAACATTTCCATGCTTTCCCAATTCTTGTATCAATCTCCTTCGACATTATACCAGTGGTTGAGATCTGTTGGCCCAGGTATGTGTACTCTTTCACATAATCAATTGACTCTCCATTTACTATTATATCTTCTGATGCATTTGTCATGGCTTTAGTTAAATAACGATAATAACCGAAACTAAATGAACAGATCATGAAACAGATACAGAAATCTTAGGCAATGACCTCAAAACTGTAGCGTCAGTGATTTTATTATTTAATTAATAATATAGTAAATACTTTAGTATCAAAATATTATTGTACTGTAACTTTAGCGCAATAAAATGCTGTAATTGCTAGAATAATGGATAAACAAATTATTTAGTTTCTCCCTTAATATGGGGCAGGGGGCCAAGCTTTCTGAATCTATTCCTGCTAACACGAAACAAATCTTTTCCTACAATTGAATTCGGCATAAGTCTACGAGTTCGATGTTCAGTTCGTGGTAAATATCAAACTGAATCTTATCCCTGAGGTCGAGGTTCTTACCCCGGCTGTGCATCAATTGACTTTCTTACTGTGTATTTTAAACTCGCTAGTACAGGGAATAATATCGTAAGGGCTCATGCCCACGAGACGGTTTCAACAGGACCCGGTTTTTGGCCGGCGCCGGGTAGAAACCGTCCGAGCTTGCACACAAGACGGTTTGTACACGACCACCCGGTTTCATCGAGGTGCCGCCTTCATACGCTCTTTTCATTCAATGAATTGCGGACGTATAAAATGTTGAGTGTTAAAAAGAGGAAATGTATTATTGCGTGGTACATATTGTATAAAAAGCTAAAAAAAGACGAGAAAAAATACATAGACGACATTGGGTACCTCCCATGTTAACAGAAAGAGAAGATCATGGTGCATTTCATACGCTCATTCAGAAGCAACTATGACGAGAAATTTGAGAAGTACTTTCGAATGAAAAAAGAAACATTATAAAAATGTTACATATTTTATAACCCAAACTTAAACATGAAGATACAAATATGCGCAGTAGTATATCTCCAATTAATAATTCCTGGTCGACTTCAATAATTATATATAATATTGCGTTGTGCGTACTGCGTAAGTAGTCGGCACGCGCCGGGTGTAGGCCCGGTCTCGTGTACATGCGCTCATACACTGCCATACTCCACTGCGCACCGGGCGTAGACCCGGCGAGCACCGTGCCCGGTTGCGCGGAAAGCCGGCGCTAGCGCCGGCGTCGTGTGCATGGCGTCATAGTGTCCCATACAAGACTCTCGACCGGACATAGACCCGGTTTTTCGCCAGAGCTAGGCCCGGCGAAAAACCGGGTCGTGGGCATGAGCCATAAGTAAACTGTCATTCCAAAAAAACATGTGTCTACTTACACGCGTTAGAAGTTATACTTCTTTGGCGTAACAAGATAAAAATCGTTTTAAATTTTTTATCTTTCGCCTTATTCTACGTTTGTAGAAAAAACGACACTAACAATAGAAAAAATTTACTCTCATCATAACCTAACGCGCCAAAAGTATAACTTCAAAAAAACTATAAAGATGACTATAGCTATAAACTTTGTGACGGTATGCGCGCGCATCGTAAAAATTTACCCTCATAATTTTTCCCTAACGCGCCAAAAGAAGAATAACTTCAAAAATCGACAGCGTGTGTCGACAGGCTGATGAACTAGTAATAACAAATCACGAAACAGATTTGACTGAAAAGGTTGAAAAATAAATACAAGACTCGCTTGAAAATATATTTATTATCACTTAATAAAGGTATAACATACACCAACATTTAAATTTATATAATTTAGTACAACACAAAGAAACATTTGAGAATTATGACATCGGCGAAATCGCGTGAAATTTTTAAAGGGCAAGCCTTACGGCCACCTGTCTTGTGTATATTTTCCGTATTAATTCTAATCTCACATTGTCAAATTTAAACAGCAGGTATGGTCAGAAATCACCGAGGTTTTTGCCAGGACGCGCCATTTTTATTATTAATGACATTTAAAATACTAATTTTTAAGGCAAGTATAGCCTATACACATTCTGTGTAAGTCCTCAAAGGTACAGTACCCGGTCATTTATTATAATATATCTTTCTAAAGCACGATGCGACTTATTAATGGCCTGGTACTGTATAAGGATTGTTTTTCAAAACAGACAATCAAGGGCGTCGTCAGACTATGTCAAGGGGTAGACAAGGAATAGGAAACTGTTACGTTGTCTTAACTGTACAATAGTGCATATGAAAACAGTAAGTATGTCATAAAATTAAAAAAAAGTTTTCGATTCTCTAGTGTATACAATATTAATATCAAACATACAACAACAACAGAGTAAGGGTCCGTTCAAGTATTACGTAAGCACTATTTTTTATACATATTAAATTGTCTATACTTGAAAACGAAATGCATTTTCGAGGATTCCTACAAAAAATTAATACGTTTATGAACTACTTTTGAGAGCTTTGCTTACTTTTGCTGACTTTAATCTAGATAAAACATTGAATCGCTAAATGGGTGGCTAAGTTCACTCAAGACAGCTGGACCACTTCAACTAACTTTCTTTATTCTTTCAATTGTGAGAAAGGTTTTTATGGAGATAAAATAAAATACTTAGTACTTAGGTTTTTAATCTGGAAAAGGATATGGGACCGTTCAAGTATTACGTAACGCAATTTTTGGTGATTATTGACCCCCCATGAACTCGCCGTAACGTTTTTCAGTACCCAAGTACAGTACTGTATCCAAGTCTAGTAAAACGTTTCGTGACCACCTAGTGACTCTTTAGTTACTATTATGTGGTGTAAGTAGAAAATAATATTAACAATAACGCGTAATTTAATCCTCGCCCCGCATCGTAACGTTTCACAAAAGGACCCCCCCCTCCCAAAATTCGTTACGTAATACTGGAACGCTCCCTATGTTGGTATGTAAAAGGTAGGCTAAATAAAAAAACAAAAGTTTTTGGGCTAATAAACTAGCAATTTTCACCGATGCCATAAACTAACCTAAAAAATATTCAGTCACATTTTAA